AAAAAATCCCCCAATGTTTCTAGGGGGTCGAAAGCCTTCACTTCTTATTTTTCTAAACCTGATTCAGTCGCTATTTAAAACTCATAATAATGGTTTTGGGGTTGTTCAACCTGTCTTGAAGTTGTTTACTCCGAGAGGCTAGATTACTGTTTCTCTATGATGAGCTATGAAATCCAAGAGCTCAACTGAGTTGGTATTGTCTTATTTCACAAACAACCTCTGGTTTTATTGTCTAAGGCAGAGTGGACTGTTCAATCCCTTTCCCTGGGTTTATATCTTTCTGAGACGTGAGTTAATCCTCAGCATTGGTCTCCCAGACCCCAACCTGGGCTCTCTCTCTCTCTCTGGAGTGGTCATATTGTGATTTGGGGAACACAGCTATAAGACATTATAAACTGGGTGGTTCAAGCCCTGAATGCTGATTGGCATACCACGGGTATGACAAAACATTTATTTTTACTGCTCTAATTACGTTGGTAACCAGTTTATAATAGCAACAAGGTACCTTAGGGTTTTGTGGTATATTGCCAATATACCACAGCTAAGGGCTGTTTCCAGGCACTCCGCGTAGTTTTGTGCTTAAGAACAGCCCTTAGACGTGGTATATTGGCCATATACCACACCCCCTCAGGCCTTATTGCTTAAATAATATACAGTGCCCACAGAAAGTTGTGTGGGATTAAAATGTATTAAAATTTCATTTTTTTTCAACGATCTACACAAAATACTCTGGAATGTCAAAGTGGAAGAAAAATTCTAACATTTGTTAAAAATACTTGAAAATAAAACACTAACATATCTTGATTACATACGTATTGAACTCCCTGAGTCAATACATTATAGAATCACCGTAAATGTATGTTTCCCCCACCATCTACACACAATACCCCATAATGACAAAGTGGAAATATGTTTTTAGAAATGTTTGCAAATGTATTGAAAATGAAATACAGAAATATCTCATTAACATAAGTATTCACACCCCTGAGTCATTACTTTGTAGAAGCAGCTTTGGCAGCTGTGAGTCTTTCTGGGTAAGTCTCTAAGAGCTTTGCACACCTGGATTGTACAATATTTGCACTTTTTTTATTTTTTTTTACATTCTTCAAGCTCTGTCAAGTTGGTTGTTGATCATAGCCAGACAGCCATTTTCAAAGTCTTGCCATATATTTTCAAGCCAATTCAAGTCAAAACTGTAACTAGGCCACTAAGGAACATTTAATGTCATCTTGGTAAGCAACTCCAGTGTGTATTTGGCCTTGTGTTTTAGGTTATTGTCCTGCTGAAAGGTGAATTTCTCTCCCAGTGTCTGTTGGAACGCAGACTGAACCAGGTATTCCTCTAGGATTTTGCCTGTGTTTAGCTCCATTCAGATAATTTTTTTAATCTTGAAAAACTCCCCAGTCCTTAACGATTATAAGCATACCCATAACATGATGCAGCCACCCCTATGCTTGAAAATATGGATGGTGTTGTATTGCATTTGCCCCAAACATAACACTTTGTATTCAGGACAAAAATTGAATTGCTTTGCCACATTTTTTGCAGTATTACTTTAGTGCCTTGTTGCAAACAGGATGCATGTTTTGGAATATTTTTATTCTGTATATTTATTTTCACTCTGTCATTTAGGTTAGTATTGTGGAGTAACTACAATGTTGTTGATCCATCCTCAGTTTTCTCCTATCACAGCCATTCAACCCTGTAACTGTTTTAAAGTCACCATTGGCCTCATGGTGAAATCACTGAGCGGTTTCCTTCCTCTCCAGCAACTGAGTTAGGAAGGATGCCTGTATCTTTGTAGTGACTGAGTGTATTGACACACCATCCAAAGTGTAATTAATAACTTTCTCAAAGGGATACTCAGTAACTTCACCATGCTCAAAGGGATGGCTATTCAATGTCTGCCCTTCTTTGCGAGGCATTGGAAAACATCCCTGGTCTTTGTGGTTGAGTATGTGTTTGAAATTCACTGCCCGACTGAGGGACCTTAAAGATAATTGTATGTGTGGGGTACGGAGATGAGGTAGTCATTAAAAAATAATGTTAAACACTAATATTGCACACAGAGTGAGACCATGCAACTTATTATGAGTTGTTGAACACATGTTTACTCCTGAACTTGCCATAACAAAGGGGCTGAATACTTATTGACTCAAGGCATTTCCGCTTTCCGCTCTCCACTTTTCATTTTCTATTAATTTGTAAAAATTTCTAAAAACATAATTCCAATTTGACATTATGGGGGGTTTTGTGTAGGCCAGTGACACAAAATATCAATTTTATAAATGTTCAATTCAGGCTGTAACACCACAAAATGTGGAAAATGTGAAGGTGTGTGAATACTTTCTGAAGACACTGTAGACATTCCTCAACAGCCTGGGTCACACTTTATCTGGATAGTCTGGATTTTCCATCTGTAGATGCTCTACAGATGGTCATACTATCAACAAATGATCTGTTGATAAGCAACTGCTCACTAAGGTTACAGTCAGGGTTAGGTTTAGGTTCAGAGTAAGGGTCAGCGTTAAGGTTAGGGTTAGTAGATAGTTGAACATGTTAGTGATAATCTGTAGATAGTCTGTAGAGCATCTACAGATGGACTATCCAAATAAAGTGTTACCACAGCATGTGATGAGTGACCTGTATATCAGTAAGATCAGTGCAATGTAGCTATGGATTCTGAACAGACTCCCAAAGTGATGTCACTGTTTCACATTAAGGAACTGCACATGATGACCTCATTAATACTTGTTTTTGTTCTCACTCAAAAATATGCAATAGGGAACTGAAATCAGTTTAGCTTGTGTCCTAATGAAACACAGTGGAAACAAAGGATTGGACTTTCAAACCAATGCTCTGAATGTATTTATTCATTCATACAAAAATGCAAGCAGCATTATAAATAGCTCTTATCCAATGGTCTGCTTTTCAATCACAAGAATGATATTCCATCTCTTTAATTTCAGCAACATTTCAGGCCAATGGTGAGTTTGAAGGTAGGGTGTGTTAGTCTGAACTAGCTTGTAGGCCTATATCTGGAGACATCCGGAAGGGAAAATGTGGGCTGCTTTTCTGTTGGAATGCCCCCCCAACAGATAAAGTTATTGTCAATGGAACAGATCTCAGTGTGTGTACCTGCAAACACCATCAACCTGAGTCGGCTAGCTGCCAATGATCATGACAGGTCTTCACAGGTTCGGTCATCCAATGGGAATCAATTACATCAATCTGTTCCTGAGAAAGACTTCATGACACACAGTGCCACCCATTATGAATTACAGGATCTCTACGGTGCCACCTTCCTGCATCACCTTGACAGGCCTTGGCCTGGTCCCTACACTACATAATCAATGATAGCAGCCTGTTCATGAGAGAAAGTTAATGACAGACAGTGCATGCTATGCTAAGGTCAACCAAAGTGCTCAACACTGTGGACCCTCTGGTCCAACCCTCTGGTCTAACCACACACTCATACAAAATCTTCACCAGACAGAACCAGTACACGGACATCAAACCCATTGATATCACCATAACAATTTTGGGCTCTGACAGTTAGTGATTCATTTTGACAAATTCGGTTTAAATATGTTCTCACATCTTCACTTCTACCCTCTCCCTTTGACTCATTTTTCTCTTTATCTTTATCACTCTCCCATGCTCCCATCTTCATCTAAGTCGGGACAGGGCGTGGGGTATTAGGGAAGGGTTGTCAGGGGTGAGCCCTCAGAGCTCGGCACTCCTTAGTCTAAAACAACCACCTTCCTAAAAGAGCAGAGATTTCAGGAAAGGAGAACAGACGGACTAGAGCTAACTGAAGAGGACAGATAGAAGGAATACTGAAAGAAGACAGAAAACATTTTAACCAATCTGGCAAAGGATACTAAAACCTATTATGATGGTGAGTCCCTTAATCTAACTATGTTGGGGTGATTGGATTATCTGATGGGATAATGATACATGTAAGCCTTTTGAGTTTCATATTGTATCTTGCACCACACTGTACCATATACATAGCCTACATTAGGTAACTAAAACTGGGCATGGGTCAAAGATGGTAAGGTATGCAATGTTGGTTCAGAAGGAGATGACGTGGTGTCAAATGATGTCCTGTCTTTTCATAACTAATTATAAGGCTAAATAATAACGTAGAATAATTTCACTTCAATTCAGTAGTGAGGGAAAAACAAGATAAGAAAGTATGCTGCCTGCCTTGGCTTAAAGCTAGAATCCTTAATTGAAACAATAACAAAACGTCACCCCATCTGTGTTGTGGTAAAAAGTTGAGGGATGGGCCTGGAGAAATGTAACCACTCTCAAATGCATAGACAGAGCTATGGACACGACAACTGACAATCCACGATCTCAAAATTATAGTTTTAAACATGTTTTGAGGCTATGCAGTGTTTGTTTACATTTACATTGTTTACAAACATTGGAGTAAAACAAGCTTGTATTTTGGGTTGTAAAACAAGCTTGTATTTTGGGTTCTGACAGGGAATCTAGAATCATTAAAGTAACAGACCAGTGTTTCCAGATTAATTAATTACAATATGAGTGAAATAGTTTTCTTTCAAACATTTGTAATTAAGTTAGTTAAAAAGCAGCTTTTGTGTGTTGAAATGGGGTGGGTGTACGTGTACCCCAACAACAGAATGTTGTGGGCATATACTGTCATAAAAAATAATCATGCCAGTAGACTGCTAATTGGCAAGCGTTTTTTAAACTGTTTGAGATAGCCTACAAGTTTTAGGTGGGGGTTTGAAGTTTTTTATGCTTTGGCCACATTTACGAGTATAGAATGAGTCAACAACATAATTTGGGTATGAGTTAACAGAATATAAACTTTTAAAAAGTTCGATTTTCAGCAAAAATGTATGTAGCGACTAAGGATTCCAGCTTTAATTGAAACATTTTACAAGGTTATTTATCTGCAGCTGCTGCAGTAGGCTATGGCCAATGTGAGACTGCGTGACATCAAATAACTCCTCCTAGCGTTTGGCTCGAGGCAAGCATCAGTTCAGAGAGAAGGTTGCAACTGACGGGAAAGAAGTGCAGCAGGGTGGTCTACCTGCCTTTGGGAATTATAAGAGTTGAATGCATGAGTCTGCCACTTTATACATAGGAGCTGGGCGTCATTTACACATAATAACGAACTAGGGACTCTTTGATTGTCCTCTGTCAATTTTAAAGGATTGTTTCAATTTGCGGTTATCGCAATGAGTGCGACGGTTGCTTCAGAGAGCTGCTTTCTGTCCGCCCTACAGCCCAACACCGCGGTCACCACTTATGCAGTCCCGTCCGATGTGCAGTTGGGACCGAGGGGTTCCATAATGGACGAGGTGGAAAGGACTAAGAGGGTTCAACAACAAGTCCATTTGCGCCTCGCCGAAAATAGGTCCTCATCTCTCACACGGCTGAACGGCTCGAACTGCATCTCCCCAGGTGGGCAACTTATTATACATTTTAGCATGTGTCCCATTTTAGAAATATGAGGCATTTGTTTTTCAACTTAAACGCATAAACGAATTACCAGCTGTGTGTAGACCAGACCAAAGTTTTGGAGTTCTTTAAATTACACCCTTATGGAAGATGGATCAACCCTACACTTTCAACACCAGACCAGTCCAAACTTACTATCATCCGTTTTCCTTTGACGTACAAAACATGGAAAAGGTCATTTTATCATTGGTAGCCTAAAGACTTGTCAATATTGATTGATTATTATTGTATTCTAATCAGTGAAACTAGTCCTTGTCTTGGCAGACTGGTCTTGCTGGTACCAGATGGGGTTAGTGGCTTATAGTGTGGTGTGAGTAATCATACAGCGGTTTCCCCTAAGCCCCCTCCAACTCCCCATCTAGGCTATATTACTCTCTCATACATACCATAAAAATGCAGCCCTGCAGGTATTTCATAACATGCAGGGGCAAGGTAACACATCTGAGTGTTCTGACCAATGGTCCTCACTTCTAAATAAAATAAAATAAATAAATTGGTCATTTAGCAGACGCTCTTATCCAGAGCGACTTACAGGAGCAATTAGGGTTAAGTGCCTTGCTCAAGGGCACATCGACAGATTTTTCACCTAGTCGGCTCGGGGATTAGAACCAGCGACTTTTCGGTTACTGGTACAACGCTCTTAACCACTAAGCTACTTCTGGTGTCTACAGATGCTCAGCCAAACCAGTAAAGCATTCAATCTGTCTTGCCAGATGCCAAACTTTCACAGTAATTCTGTATATAAAACGTTATTCATACACAGCTGCTTTTACACAGAATATGTGATATTCTGGTATTCTGAAAAATCATAACATTTAGTCACAGTCAGGAATCATCACTGAATGTGGCAATGAACCATATTATGTACGTGACAGATTCCATTTCATGGGTTTGTCATTCGCTTCTTACAAGGCTGTGGCACACAAGGCTTTAGTGAGAGAAGATAATTATTGAAGAAAAGGGTAATATTTAGTCTTCAAACTTTTTATCCTTGTGCTGACTGATTTAACACTAATAATAGAAGGGGAATTTAGCTGAATTCCTCAAACTGGTTACACAGTTGGGACTGTGGCCTCTTTTAAAAGAGAATGTTTTGAACACTAGAATGAGATCCTCAGGCAGCTGGTTTAGTGGGTCAGGTTTTTAGGATGTCAATTTCTGATAGCTGACACCTTATTACATTATTTCTTACAGGATTGGGGAGGGAAATGATACACAATACAGTATAATATGATAAAGTATAATGGTAGTTTTGAACTGCTAGTCATGGTGGTTATTGATAACATAAAGCTCTGATAAATAAATAAAATGGGACTCTGATGTATGGAACATTCCTGTCCATCCATTCAGCTCTTCAGAATTGGTTATCAGAAGCACCAAGCTGCTCAGCTCATGTTCTATTTTGGACAGGGTTGAGTGGGTTGGGTTGGATATTGTGGCCAGATGGCGTCTCAGAAAGAACTACGTGAAACCAACACATAAATCAGTCAGCTGCCTGTGTTTTGCAATGAGAAGGCAAACAACTTGGGTTGGGAAAACTATACTGTTAATTATAGTGCTGTTTAAACTGTAATTAGAAAAAGGTATTTTAATTGAAAAACAGTGATAGTAGGCCTATTTCACTCAGCAGTGAAGTACAGTCCCAACAATTGATCATATTCATGTGTGTGTGTGTGTGTGTGTGTGTATGTGTGTAAGTGCGTGTGTAAAACTCATAATGGAGGGGGTATCAGGAATACAATGCAGTCTATTTGACAAAAGCTTATGTTATGGCAACTCCTATTCAAACTCAACAGGGGGCTATAGATAATACTGTCTCAAATGACTTACAACACTATATTATCACACTGTTGCCATGGTAATACAGTGAAAACATACAGTACTTGTATACACCGTAAGAAAAGCAGATTTTTATGACCTAATGTTCAGACGTCCTAAAGGTAGAGTAACACTGATCTGCAAAGTAGTGGACAGAGCTCAGCTCTCACACGGTGCAGAGACAACTTTGTGCATGCAGGGAATTAGTTTAACGAACCTCCCCTTGGGTGTTTTTTTCTATCACTATTAAAAGTTTATGAGTTAAGATATACATAAAAGGTCCGGTATTAATATCGAATTGAAGTGAGCGTCTGTAGTCAGCGTAAAAAATGTTTTTGTAGCCGTTTCCTGTGAGTAAGTAGACACTCTTTTGACATGGAATTGGCCTGTTCAGTGTCAACCCTCAGGCATGCAATCCTCCCACACAGTTTAGTTGACCTCTCTCAGCCCCTGCTAGGTCACTCTGCCAGGAATCAGCCTCACTGGGACATATCCACTCAGTTAACCCTCACTATACCATATTAGTTAAGCTATAGTGTCAACATTACTTTCTAGTGTTCATTATTAACTTGTCCAGTATGAAATGCCAGGGTCAGTTTTAATCACTCTCTCACAAAAAAAGAGTATCCCAAAGGTATACTAGCCTGCTTGCTTAGTCCAACATAATCCTGTCTCTTCCCTCAATGTTTCTATATCTCAATACAGTGCAGCTCCAGTTTCAGGCTAATCCACTCTAAAACATGAGGTATTGTGCAATATCTCCCTAGGTGTGTCTTTACATTTCTACATGTTTGCTGCTTGTCTTGGTGTACAGCTGAGGCTGATGTTGTTGTTGTTTTCTCATGCACAAACATAGTAACCATGAGTCCAAATAGTAAAGCAAGTGGCACAAAGCTAATCAGAGTCATCCTTTGTCACACTGTTTGGTAACAAGAACAGGTGCTTCACTGATATGTAATTAGACTAATTACGAAGTTGTAATCTCAGGAGAAAATTGTGGTTGCCTTCTCTGTCTAAGACAAAGTCTTTCTCTATCCACATGTAGACCATGGTGGCACAATGAGATATAACACGTACAACCCCGGATTCAGCTCTAAGTCAATGGTGTATAACACAGGGAGCAGGACCATGACGGTGAGTACTGTAGGACTTCATATTTTCTAATGTTCAGTTGTGTTGATTTTTGTCTTCATGATAAACCCTAATCTAACAGCCCCAAAGTCCTGCTTTTCTAGCTGAATGCCATGCAACCTTTGTCCCTTATCTAAACCAGGGGAGATATGCGTTAAAAAAAATAGACGATAAGCTCCACAGTCCTACCACAGTGACACACTTCACAGCTGCACCCTCACAGCACATACATGCAGTATTTCACAGGATCCTATCATGACTGTGTTTAGATGAGACACAGGAACAAGAATCACGACAGGATTCTACTGGCCAAAGAGTCTTAAAACATCTTACCGATGACCTCATTTTTAGACTAGACAGTTTGGCCAATGTTTGCTTTTTTGGGGATTATTGTAGTGTAGATAGTTAAGTCTAACAGTGTCCTCTCTGTATGTCCTCTAGATGCCCCCGGTATCCCAGCAGTACTTGGGTGGTGGGTACTCGTCTCGCTCAGCGGTGGAGTTAGGACCCAGATACAGAATCAACCAGCCTCCAGTCAACACTGGCTACCACCACCATGACGACATCCAGCTGGGTGGCTACCAGACTAGCCGGGCGAGGACCACCAGGTCCAGATCAATGTGTCAGGCTGACCAAGAGGCAGTGGCTCTGGGTGTGGGAGGCCTGCTCACCCTGCCCCACCAGCAGCCCAACCCTGTGGCCAGCTGGGTGGCCCGGGATGGCATGGCCACAGAATGCCACTCCTACCATGGTGGAGGTATACCCACCCCAGCAACGATGAGGCGCACCCTCAGTGGAACCCTGGCGGGAGGCGGTGGCGGAGGGTGGAGGGAGGCGGAGCTAGTTTACCAGCACTCCTACAAAGGCCCCGCCCACCGTACCATCAGTCGCATCAACAACAGACAACAGCAGCAGCAACATCTGAGCTCAGCGTCGGGGCTGCAGCAGTGGCAGCAGGTGTCTGGCGGGAGCCAGTGGCAGTGTGTACGGAGGTTGGGGGCAGTACCAGAACTCCCTGCCCCGACCAGCCTCCCTGCACAGCATGAAGAGTGTAGGGAAAGGCATGGACGTGCCTGATGGGGGCAGGGATTCAGCTGACGGCAACGAGAAACTCGGAGGGTGAGAGATGCGTGGGCTGTTCAAATCTCCTGCAATATCAAAGGGACAAACTTAGCCCTAGGTACATTATGTTCTTATTCCATAACTGTTATAGGTTTCTGATTAACCTCACTCTCCTTTGCCTCCCTGGTGTTTGTGGACAGAATGCACAGTTTAGACATGCCCACTGCAGTCAGCTACCTCTTCATGTCCGACACAGCCATGCAGGTGCTGGGAGCAGCCTACATCCAGCACCAATGTTACCATAGCAGTGATGCCAAGAACCAGGTACCAGCTCCTTCTCAATAAATAGCCATTTACAGTAACATACTTCATTGCCCAAAATTGAATTTACAGCCCTACTGTTTAAACTAAACAGAGTTCTCCATGCTGAGCCTGATAGTCACATAGACTAGTCAGTCATCCACCTGTGTCTCCCCCTGACCCACCCTGTCTACAGGTGCGTCTGCTGAAGGGTGTCCCAGCCCTGGTGCAGCTCTTCAGCAGTGACAGCCAGGAGGTCCAGCGCTACGCTACAGGCGCTACACGCAACCTTATCTATGAGAACATGGACAACAAGGCGGCCCTCATTGAGGCTGGGGGAATAGCCAAGCTCATCAGTGTGCTGAACGAACCAGATGAGGAGCTTCGCAAGAACATCACTGGTAAGATCATCTATATACTGTAACAATCGGCTTGGATCTCAAACTAAGTTACAATTTTAAAGTTCAAGGAAATACTGTGTCAATATGAGAGCAACAAAAGCAAAACAGTAAAAGTGACATGAGGTGAGCAGAAGAAGCATACAGTATATTGTCATCAATCAGAGATTCATATCAACACTTTCTTTCAATTAGAGTCCAACTTAAAGTTCAAATCCCAAATAGAATCCCAACCAAAATAATATATTTTTAGTAGTGATGGGCACCGATATGGAAAACTACACTGCTCAAAAAAATTAAGGGAACACTAAAATAACACATCCTAGATCTGAATGAATGAAATAATCTTATTAAATACTTTTTTCTTTACATAGTTGAATGTGCTGACAACAAAATCACACAAAAATGATCAATGGAAATCAAATGTATCAACCCATGGAGGTCTGGATTTGGAGTCACCCTCAAATTTAAAGTGGAAAACCACACTACAGGCAGATCCAACTTTGATGTAATGTCCTTAAAAAAAGTCAAAATGAGGCTCAGTAGTGTGTGTGGCCTCCATGTGCCTGTATGACCTCCCTACAACGCCTGGGCATGCTCCTGATGAGGTGGCGGATGGTCTCCTGAGGGATCTCCTCCCAGACCTGGACTAAAGCATCCACCAACTCCTGGACAGTCTGTGGTGCAACGTGGCATTGGTGGATGGAGCGAGACATGATGTCCCAGATGTGCTCAATTGGATTCAGGTCTGGGGAACGGGCGGGCCAGTCCATAGCATCAATGCCTTCCTCTTGCAGGAACTGCTGACACACTCCAGCCACATGAGGTCTAGCATTGTCTTGCATTAGGAGGAACCCAGGGCCAACCGCACCAGCATATGGTCTCACAAGGGGTCTGAGGATCTCATCTCGGTACCTAATGGCAGTCAGGCTACCTCTAGCGAGCACATGGAGGGCTGTGCGGCCCCCCAAAGAAATGCCACCCCACACCATGACTGACCCACCGCCAAACCGGTCATGCTGGAGGATGTTGCAGGCAGCAGGCGTCTCCAGACTCTGTCATGTCTGTCACATGTGCTCAGTGTGAACCTGCTTTCATCTGTGAAGAGGACAGGGCGCCAGTGGCGAATTTGCCAATCTTGGTGTTCTCTGGCAAATGCCAAACGTCCTGCACGGTGTTGGACTGTAAGCACAACCCCCACCTGTGGACGTCGGGCCCTCATACCACCCTCATGGAGTCTGTTTCTGACCGTTTGAGCAGACACATGCACATTTGTGGCCTGCTGGAGGTCATTTTGCAGGGCTCTGGCAGTGCTCCTCCTGCTCCTCCTTGCACAACGGCGGAGGTAGCAGTCCTGCTGCTGGGTTGTTGCCCTCCTACGGCCTCCTCCACGTCTCCTGATGTACTGGCCTGTCTCCTGGTAGCGCCTCCATGCTCTGGACACTACGCTGACAGACACAGCAAACCTTCTTGCCACAGCTCGAATTGATGTGCCATCCTGGATGAGCTGCACTACCTGAGCCACTTATGTGGGTTGTAGACTCTGTCTCATGCTACCACTAGTGTGGCGCAGTGGTCTAAGGCACTGCATCGCAGTGCTAGCTGTGCCACTAGAGATCCTGGTTCGAATCCAGGCTCTGTCGTAGCTGGCCGCGACCGGGAGACCCATGGGGCGGCGCATAATTGGCCCAGCGTCATCCAGGGTAGGGGAGGGAATGGCCGGCAGGGATGTAGCTCAGTTGGTAGAGCATGGCGTTTGCAACGCCAGGGTTGTGGGTTTGTATCCCACGGGGGGCCAGTATAAAAATATATATATATATATATATATATATAATTGTATGCACTCACTACCTGTAAGTCGCTCTGGATAAGAGCGTCTGCTAAATGATAAAATGTAAATGTAAAGCACCGCCAGCATTCAAAAGTGACCAAAACATCAGCCAGGAAACATAGGAACTGAGAAGTGGTCTGTGGTCACCACCAGCAAAACCAGTCCTTTATTGGGGGTGTCTTGCTAATTGCCTATAATTTCCACCTGTTGTCTATACCATTTGCACAACAGCATGTGAAATGTATTGTCAATCAGTGTTGCTTCCTAAGTGGACAGTTTGATTTCACAGAAGTGTGATTGACTTGGAGTTACATTGTGTTGTTTAAGTGTTCCCTTTATTTTTTTGAGCAGTGTATATAAATGCCATTTGCTTTTTTCTAACCGATATCAATATCATATCAGTTTTATGAATAACATTGCTACTGTGTGAATGTTTTATTTTCTGTTTACTTCTACGGCTTATGAAGTCCAGACAACTGCTTGCTGATTGCTCATTGCGCCAAGTGTGAATGTTCTAGGGGCCTAACCTACCCAACCACTTTGGATACAATGAAAAGCCTGTTGATGCCCCATCAGCAGGCAGTTAAGTATGTTAAGTTGAGAGGGTTTTGTGCCTGCAGGAATAGTCATGTATGTTAAACATTTTTACATAATTGTATAGGGTAACAGCAAGCATAAACCGATATCGATATCATATCGAATTATCAATATTGTTGCCCACCACACATTTTTTGGCAATGTATTTGTATCACTCAGGTGCTGAAGATTCTGTCAAATACAACAGAGGCTAATTCTAGTCTGCAGAGATAGAATCTGTCTGTACACAGGTTGAGCATGTGGATAGGTAGTAACTATGTACATTTTAGTCATTTAGCAGACGCTCTTATCCAGAGCGACTTACAGTTAGTGAATACATATTTTTATAAATTTTATTTTTTTCATACTGGTCCCCCGTGGGAATCGAACCCATCAACTGAGCTACATCCCTGCCGGCCATTCCCTCCCCTACCCTGGACAACGCTAGGCCAATTGTGCGCTGCCCATGAGTCTCCCGGTCGCGGCCGGCTGCGACAGAGCCTGGATTCGAACCAGGATCTCTAGTGGCACAGCTAGCACTGCAATGCAGTGCCTTAGACCACTGCGCCACTCAGGAGACTATGTAATAGAGGTTCCCTTTGTAAGTGGGTCAAGCTGGGAAGGAAGAATGCCCTGTAACCTGAGGACACTCAAATCCCTCATCCCATTGAAAGGGGCAGCCTAATTTCCCAGCAGCCCCTTGTGCTTTGTTCAGGCTTGGCTGCCTCCTCCTCTGAGTAAGTAGTCCTTGAGATTCCTGGACCCTGTATGTATTTGAACACTCCCCTGGGTCAACTGCACTGCACAGAGAAGGAGAGGGCCATGCTGCTCTGATCAGTTGATTGGAGGGTATGTGGAGCCACTGACCTTTCATTGGCTAATAAGAAAACGGAGTAGCTGCGGATCCCTCTTCCCGACAGCTAAAGGTCCGAAGCTTCTGCAAATGTTGGGAATTCTCTACTTTACCTACAGTCACTGCTCTACTGTTCATCTGCCCAGAGAACAGACTTCTCTAGGGAATGGTGATTGTTTATTAAAGTTAGATCAATGCTGAATCAATGTCTGCAACATCACATAATTATAGTATTCTACATAACATAACCTAATATAATAGCATAGTATAACGTTACTGTAAGAAAAAAAACAAGAAAGAAAACATTTCATTTGAGATTTTAGGATGATTGTGCGAATGGTAGCATTTTTCTCTAATGTGGCCAAAATATGGGCTTTGATGAAAACTAAACACAGGTAAGCTTATGCTAAAGTTTGTTAACACCATCTGCTCAAAAATGTGCTCACTGATCTAACTTTCATAAATGAAAACAACACTGTAGGCTACTTCACTGTTTAACTCAAGAAGATCTAAATGCATATCCCCATGAAACGGATTGAGATCAAATGGTTGCCATGCAGACCCTGCATGGCATTTCAGCTGTAAAACTTCACCTGTAAAATAATTATAATTCACGACTGACAGTGAGAAATATGAAGGTGTGAAGGGAGGGTGACCACAAACATTGGTGAGTAAAGTAGAGGTAAAAACACATGAGCAGAACATGATTGGGATCCTCAGCTCTGAGGAAAAGGGATCGAGGAGGGTGGGGCGGGGGCTGGATTACCTACGGATCCGCAGACTAGGCCATAAGATAAACCAATGTGTGGGCGATAGATGTGTAGCTTATGCTTCGTAAATCCTTTCCCTGACATTCTTATCATACTGTGAAGGTTAATGTATTATAGAAATAACATTTCCCATTACAGATCCGTAGTAGCATATTGATACATCAGATATTGTTTATTGGCCACATTGAAAATAGAAAATAGGCTCCCCAGGTTTTACTTTGGCATCATATGATGCTCCTGTAAGTCGCTCTGGTTAAGAGCGTCTGCTAAATGACTAAAATGTAAATGTAAATGACTCCCCATGTGATAACAGTGATTGTTTAGACCTATTGAAGTGAAATCATTTGGATGTCAGGTTATCAGCACACACTCTATCCTGGTCATAGAGGCTGTTTTGTGTATCCAACGGAGTGGTTCAGTAGACCCTGTCTCTCCTCTATCTGTCCTGCAGGTATTCTGTGGAACATGTCCTCAAAGGACAGTCTGAAGGAGAAGTTGGCCAGAGAGACATTGAGTGAGCTCACAGAGAGGGTGCTGGTGCCCCTGTGTAGTGGTGGAGATTCAGAGCTGATCCATCAGAGTCCATCTGAGGCAGACATCTTCTACAACACCACAGGTTGCCTAAGGTAGCTATACCTATCTACCTACATTTTGTATACATACACAATGTACACGGACTGATACATGTACTGTATACAGCTTCTCTGTACTCTCTTCCTCTGTTCAGGAACCTGAGCTCAATGAACGAGAGGACTAGGCAACAGATGAGAGACATGCGAGGGCTGGTGGACTCTCTGGTGGCCTACATCCAGAACTCCCTTCAGGATGAGAAAACAGAGGACAAGGTCCACCAACTGCTCTCCTTATGGCACATTTTTGTGTGTTTCTTTCACAACGTGATTGCTTCTTTTTCTGGGCATGTTATTTCAGGTCAAAACCTTTTTCCTGATTTTAATATCTCATTTGATTTGATCTCATATACTACAGGCTTCAGCAACTCATGGGTTCAGCTGGGGTAGAGTGAGAGCCAATCAATGTATCTGTACAGTTCATCATTAGTGGTTCTATTTGTAATTTCTACCAGACAGCTAGACTGGTCATGCTGTGGCCTATCTGCTGTGCCTTATGTAACTCATGCTGCTCTGAGAGACACAATGGCCACCAGTGTTTCCCTCTCACTCTCTCTCTCTCTCTCTCTCTCTCTCTCTCTCTCTCTCTCTCTCTCTCTCTCTCTCTCTCTCTCTCTCTCTCTCTCTCTCTCTCTCTCTCTCGCTCTCTCTCTCTCTCTCTCTCTCTCTCTCTACCCATCTTTGTCTGTGCCTGCAGGGTGTAGAGAATGCAGTGTGTGTCCTGAGGAACCTGTCTTATCAGCTGTACAGTGAGATCCCTCCCTCAACCCTACGGCGACTGGAGGGGCCTACGCGGGCCAGAGCCACTACTGAGACTGAGTCCATTGGCTGTTTCACCCCACAGAGCAAGAAGGCAAAGGAGGTAGCTGTCATTTACACAAGGCAAACCAAAAGGAAATATCAAATTGCGGCTAAACCTCAAGATACTGAAACATGTACAGTATGTTGTCATGCAATCCTGATGGATATGGGACCATGATCTGTTTTTTTTTTAATTAATCTATCTCCCTGATCTCTATAGCGACGGAACCAGGAACTGTCCACCTTCTCAGAGGTGGCTAATCAGCCGAAGGGGGCGGAGTGGCTGTGGCACCCCCAGGTGGTGGGGCTGTATAACCGCGTGCTGCAGCACTATGAGACCAACACGGCAACACGAGAGGCTGCAGCAGGGGCCCTGCAGAACATCACAGCCGGAGAGACCAGGGTAGGTCCCACCCCTCCTCTGCCCCACGGGCTGACCTAGCCATCACTCTCACCATGACAGGCTACTTATGCATCATTCAGATTTACAGTTAAACTGAAAATGTACTCACCACTGGTGTTGAATTCCCCTTCCTCCCTGTGTATCAGTGGGCGTCAGTGCTGAGTTGGGTGGCTTTAGAGCAGGAGCGGATGCTGCCTGTGGTGTTGGACCTCCTGCAGACACACAGCGATCTGGAGATGCGTTCCCTCACTGGCCTCCTGAGGAACCTGTCCCGACACAGCAGAAACAAGGATGACATGGGTGAGACTCTCAACCCCCAGTACCCCACACTGTTCATTTCTACCTCTGTCTCTCCTGCCTGCAACCTTGTATCCATCCATTCCATGCACATTAATCACAGTAATTCCCCTTATAAGAGACTTTAAAGAATGGCTACTTCTCTCCCTTCTGACCTCCAGCTACGAAGGTAGTGAACATTCTGGTGACCAAGCTCCCCACCGATGGCCACCAGAAGGAACCCTCCGGTGAAGTGGTGGTCAACATATGTGGGACCCTCAACAACCTGGTTGCAGGCAGCTCACTCGCAGCGAGAGACATCGCCTACTTTGACGGACTCCCCAAACTTGTTGCAATAAAGTCTTCCCACGACAACAGGTTAGTGAATCTTGTCTCTCAGTGTTCTTGGTTTTGTTATTCATTGTGTCTGCTTTTTATTTCCAATTTCCTGTCTGGCTCCCATTGTGTTTGACTATGTTTCTCTCCTACTGTAGCTCAGGGAAGCTGAAGGCTGCCAAGGCTGCTTCCACGGTACTCTTCAACATGTTCCAGTACAACAAGCTGCATAAAGATTATAAACAGGTGAGGCTAACACCATTTAACATAGGCATTGTGATAGATGGGATTGGAGAGCAGGAAACTGAGTCGTTTGGCCTCTTCCATTGTGCATGGCCCTCTAACCTCTTGTCTTGGTCCAGATGGTTCTTTATTTTCTTTATGGCCTCTAGCGGTTAGTCTAACTATTTTTTTCCTCAGTTCTAAGCATTATCCCCTCCCCTGGATCTACTGATATCCCCCATAGTTCTTTGGCACAGCAAATATAAATATTTTTATTACATTTTCATGGAAGTGAATTTTTCTTGTGGCCCTTAGAAATCCTCATTCTGTGCAGTTACTGCAGTTATCAGAGCAGCTTACCGATCACTGCACCTGTACACAGCCCATCTGAAATTAGCCCACCCAACTACCTCATCCCCATATTGTTATTTATTTTGCTCATTTACACCCCAGTATCTCTATTTGCACATCATCTTCTGCACATCTATCACTCTAGTGTTAAAACTAAATTGTAATTATTTTGCACTATGGCCTATTTATTGCCTTACCTCCATAACTTACTACATTTGCACACACTGTGTATAGATTTTCTATTGTGTTATTGACTGTACGTTTTGTTTATCCCATGTGTAACTCTGTGTTGTTGTTGTTTTTATCGCACTGCTTTGCTTTATCTTGGCCAGGTCGCAGTTGTAAATGAGAACTTGTTCTCAACTGGCTTACCTGGTTAAATAAAGGTTAAATAAAATAAAAAATAAAATCAGTTAAAGTTTATACAATCTAGTTATCTGTTATCGGTTATGTATTTAGACTAGGTTTTATATCATGGTTTGCTTTGCTTTAGTTGTTTTGGGGTTTATTGAACAGGACCAGTAAAACACCTTGGCTTGGTGGTTAGCAACTGGACAGTCCTCTCCTTTGTGCTATAGTCCTACTTGAGTTTGTATTGCAGTGTCTTGTCCCTTGTTTCCCTGGTGGTCAGTTAAATGGCATGTGTGGAATCTGACAGTGGAATGCTGGAAGCAGCCAGTGATTGTCTCTCACCAAGATAATGGCTGTCTGTTTTTTCTCTGTGGTAAATATCAATCTTCAGTTGACACTTGTAAACACTGTCTGTCCCTTCTATGTGCCCTCTTCACACTATAGAATATTTAGGCCCGTTTACTAGGGCCGAGACCATACCAGAATCGCGAAAAATTGTCAAACACTCCAGCCACCAAAGTCATAGACTGTTCTCTCTACCTCACGGCAAGTGGTACCAGAGTGCCAAGTCTGGGATCAAAAGGCTCCTGAACATCTTCTACCCCAAAGCCATAAGACTGCTGAAGTTAATAAAATGGCTACCTGGACTATTTACATAGACCCCTTTTTTTTCCACTGACTCTCTTGCACACTCACTAGACTCTACCCACACACTCACACATACTACACTGACACTCCAACACACACATATACACACATACGCTCACACACACAAAACACACACACACACACACATGCATATTGACACACACACACACACACTCACACATAGACACACTTTCACACGCACTGCTGCTACTCTGTTTGTTATCTATCCTGATTGCATAGTCACGTTTATCCCTACCTACATCAGTGGAGGCTGCTGAGATGGCTCATTATAATGGCTGGAATGGAGTCAATGGAATGGTATCAACCATACATGTTTGATACCATTCCATTGACTCCATTCCAGCCATTATTAAGAGCCGTCCTCCCCTCAGCAGCCTCCACTGACTTACATGTACATATGACCTCAATCACCTCAACTACCTCGTACCTCTGCACATTGACTCGGTATCGGTACTCCTTATTTTATAGTGTTACTATTTTCCTTTTTTTTTTTTTTAGCAAATTATTATTATTTTTTTACTTTTTAACTCTGCATTGTTGGGAAAGGGCTCGTAAGTAAGCATTTCTCGGTAAAGTCTACACCTGTTGTATTCGGCGCATGTGACAAATAGAATTTGAATCGATTTATTTGATTTGATACTCGTTAGTATTGTGGCAAGGAAACAAAACACAAAGCGGAATATAACTTCTTTAGTCCTAATTATGGAAACAAACATCATTATGATGTCATCCAGAGTCACATTTATTGATTTTCCAAGCTAAAGCACACAGTATTTTACATACAGCAGGTTTTTAAAGGACCAAAGAGTTTGATCTGCTTCGTGTTTTCATTTTTGCTATGGAAAAAATATTGCGATACTGGTATCGTCCCGGCCCTACTATTTACCCTTTCTAAAAACAAACTGCTCTATCTATGTGGCCTTCTCCCTTGTGTTTTACAGAAAGGGTTCACGAGGTGTGACTTCACTGACACGGTCATTTAGAGCAGACTGCTTGGCCCGTTGACTGGATTAATATTCTGGACCTGCTGGTAGAGCCAGCAGGAGGACCCCCACAATGAACCTGCCACATCTGGTCTGCAATGGATGCATTGATGGAACCTGAATTCTTCTGAAGAATGTATTTACCGGCCGCCAAGGACTGAGGAGAAGCATATTTTCTTTACTCAATATTGTTTTTTACATGTTTTATTGTATCACATTTTATTGGTCTATCAAAATGGACTGCTTTACCAGCTTAATATTTGTATTGTCATGAGAGTGTGTTGGATGACTGAGGAATCTTCGCTTCAGACTTCCAGATTCAAGATGAACAGGACTGTGTGTGTGTACGTGGTGCATGCCAGTGTGCATGCATGTGTGTGAATGCTTGGACTTAGTGGACTCATCCCTGGAAAAGGCATTGGATGCCTCCTTTCATCTCTGATACCACATGGGCTCAACCTGCCATTCCTACAGACATACTGTGAATACAATCCTCTAGATTTTGTTAGTTCTACAGTACATGGATGCTTCATTGAGAGACAAGAGACAGGATGGGTGCCCTCCAAACTCCCCTATGAATTAATAATCACCAGAGCATTTTAAAGAGCCCCTGCCTTTAATCTTCCCAGTCTCCACTTCATGGTGATACAATGTTTTCCTGTTCCATCCACGGAGGCTCTTCTGTTTATTTTCACCACAAATAACTAACAATAAACAGCATCTGACATGACCAGACAGTTGTCCTCAGTGTGTCCTTTTAGAATGAAAATATACTTCCCTCACAGATCTGTGCTACATTGTTTCATAATGGTTACTAATCGTAAACCCTCCCTGCCTCTGAAATTCACTCACCCTTGTGTCATTTATGACTAAGAAAGAATTTGTAATAATGACTTCTAAATAAAGTGCTGAGGAGTGCTGAATATGAAACCAGACTTTACAGTACTACCCAGTACAATCTCTGACACATTGATGTGTATCTGAGTGAAGCATAGTAGAGTTGGATGTGTCTGATACAGGGAGTTATCCCAACTCTGAACACAACTCTGAGGCCACTGCACACACAGGTCATCATTTCTCTGCATTATTCATCTACATGGGCTAGCTCAGACTGTGTTAGGTTACAGTATGTGAGGTGTTAGGTTACACTATGTGAGGTGAATTGCTTCTCATAATTAATGTAAAAATGTAAAATGTAACGGTTTAATTTAATTGGTTTGGCATGATACATAATTGCATTGTAAATATACTATCTAACTAAAGGGAACTTCTGTTTTCACTTTTGTACTGGTAAGTTGAATTACATGCACATAGTATGGAGGTTGCTCGGAAGCATTTGGGCTCCCAGTACTCTGGCTTCTCTTGTAGGAGGAACTGTTCTCATTGGCGGCAGGCCAAACAGGGTGTTTAAGTTTACAGATACTGTTCCTCAGTGTGGCAGCACATTATGTGGTGTGAACTGTGGTGAGAGGGTAAGGATCTTCTCCGGGAAGTCATGGGAAATGGTGGGGGAGTAAAAGGATCCGATAAAGAGCAAAGACACAGGCTAACAACCCTCTTATAAAGGGAATGGAAGAAAGCCTTGGAATGCACAGTAGGGTTTGGCTTGGTTTTATCTCCTCTGAGATCCATAGTCAGCAGAGAGAGACCAGAGAGGGGGGTTAGAGAGTTTTAGTGAGAAACAACAAAAGTTAAGAATTGAGAAAGTAAGATTTGTGATTAACTGTCCATGAGTTAGTCTGATATGTCCACGAAAAATGCTGTTTTTAAAGTAAGAACAAAAGTATATTTTATATGCTCAGTGCGACCTTAGTATTTCTGCAACCTCACTGAATGCATTCCGGATATGAAGTGAACCCACTAAGAGGATTTATGTTTTGGAGCACTGAGAATATTTTGGGTTTAACTAGTAGAGGGGAGGAACTCTCAATGAAATTACAGGCCAGGGGACATGGATAGAATTAATAGTTTTAGCTACAGTAAGATGACATGTAGTTAGAAACTGCTTTTAGCAGACCATGTAGATGAACCCTTTTGTTTTTCAGCACTTAGCCAAATCTGTTTCCACAAGGTAGGTTAGGTAGTTTAGTGCTGTATATAACTTTGGGCTGTAGAAGAGAAGACCACTCTGCCCTCTTGTGGTATACAGACACTATGATCATAGAGGGATGTTTCATGGCAACCTTCTAATGGACCAATTGTCCCTATAACCTCTTTTTTATCTCTTTCTTTTACTTTACCTTACCTAATGTGAAAAGTTTGTTTGTTGATCAGGCTCAACGTGTTAGGAAAATAGACAGGGTGCAGTCCACCAAATGGCAGTTCATTGTGTCTACTTAGCTTACCAGGAAAACAAGTGGAGTCCTCAAGTGCACATTCTGCTGAGAGTAAAATCACTGTAGGCTTTAATCGTTGTCCCGTCTGTCCATCAAATGTGAGAAACAAATGGACAAAAATACAGTGCTCTTTCACTCAGGTGACAGAGACTGATGAGCAAAACCCAGTCACATACTGTATGTACAATATACAGTATAAAACAATACAGCAACTCAAAATGTGCACCTTCCGAACAACAATACAATATCCATATTTAGTCCATTGGTATTGGCTCAAATTATTTCTGAATTATACTTAAAAAATGTATTCTTTACAAAAACTCTTGCTCATACACACAACATAAAGCAACCCTATGTTTGAATTTAAAACGGAATAACCAAATTTGTCCGACTTAATATAAAATAAAGAAATAATGCAGTGGATTAAAAGTAAAGTCAGGAGATGCATAATTATATAACAAAGATAATCTTTCACTAAGATAAATTACATTATACACACACTTCGTGATTCTATATGTTGAGAGAACATTAAGGTTACTAAAAGCATGTAAACAAGAACATATCAGGTTCATTAACAGGAAAAATCACTACAGTATTTGCAAAACAGGTTGTCACACCCTTACCAAAAATAAAACTACTGCAGCTCTTTGTAAAACATTAATAATGGCCAGAGTAAGGGAGTCAATGTATGGCATGTACAGTTTGTGAAACAAAATCAATCCCAACTCTGATACTGTATAGGCATCCCCGCTAGGTTAACTTAATGTAGCAGGCGTAAAATAAATCTAAACACTGAAGAAGGCTGTAAAGTCGAAAAGTCTGTGTACGCTATCCCTGATGCAGTGAAAATCACTTTAAAAATTAAGCAAGCTTTATGCAACATCTTTTTGAGTAAGGACCCATCATACCTTTTTTATTTATCTGAATTCACATGTTTTACGCACCAACCAAACTGCGATGGTCACCTTTTATTCGGAAAAATAAATTCTGAAACTACATCCCCTACATACTGGTCTTGACGAGAAGAAAAAAAAACTGTCAGGGGAGGTTCTCTTCTACACTGTTCAACCAATCCAGTAAATGTGGAGGAGGAGTTAAGATGGAGTGTCACCTTGATAATGTCCAAAAGCGGAAGTCGTGTCACAGGCTCTCTTTCCATTTCCCCTGAAAACTGGAACATCTGGTTGTTGGGGACTCAGCAGAGGCTACTACTAGGTAGACTGTATGGGTCATCCGTCATTCAAGAAAATACAATGTTATAGACCTCTTCTTATGAACCACAGTGGTGGTTTGGCATCTGGGGTCAGTCTGTCAGTCTATTGGTTCATTTATATTGGGGTACCCTTGCTTATATGTGAAATAGAGTTTGGAGCAGTCTGATCTCCGTAGAACCTCGTCGCCCCGATTCGGCTATCAAGATACGTTTGCATGCGCCACGAGTGACCAATAATCACACCGATATAAATAGCGTGTTGACCGTGTGGGGGAAAACTCAGAGGTGTTGGGAGATGGGGCTGTCCTACCTCTCATAACGACCAGGCACTAGCTATACTGTAAGATGCTGATCTCAGGTCAGTGCAGAGAGCATCACTTTTAATTAGTCTTTTTTCAAGTCTTCAAAGTCATGTGTCATGCTGGTCATGTCTCAGGATGTCCCTCCGTCGCGGTCATCACACATCTGTGGACTGGCTGTACTTCATATCCCTGTCAACACACACAACCATTTGTTTTAATCAGATCATGGAAATAGCTATTCACACTATGGTGATAATAAGTTCCATGCAGCTGAAGTACGGCAACACTTTATAATACATGTTCATACAAGGAATATTGTGGTAGTCTATAATCATACAGTATGTTTAAACTCACTGTAGTTCCTCTTTGAGTCTCCTGAGTTTATCCTTCAGTCTGTGGTTCTTCACCAACATGGGGGAGTCAGGCACGAACCAGGCAGCAATGAATTTAAAGATGACCACTACATGCTACAGAGAGAGGTGAGAGACAGACAGGCTTGTTGAATCAAATCCATGATATTTGGCATTGCTCAATGGCCATTTGGAGTTGCAAGGATAAGGTTTTGACAAAACCCTAAACCCACCTTTTTAGCTTGGCCTTTAATAAGTGATTTTATTGTTTTAGACATCCTTTATGTTTGCTTTTACATCTTTAGTTTTATTGTAAAGTGTGTCACAATTTTAAATGCACTTTAAATCATGTCTGATTTTATTGTGGGTGCAGAGCTTAATTAAAATCAATAACATGGAATTCAGTGATTCCTTATGTGCCAAAATCACAGATGCAAAGAAAGACGTACCTCAAATAGGACGACGAAGGCAAAGCGTACAGCCATGATGAACCAGAACTGGGAAGTGAGGCTGTAGTCAACATCACTTCTGTAGTCTTTATAGCTGGAAACACACACCAGTTTCACAATCAACAGTCTCCCCCAACTACCAATTTCTCTCAACAACTATTGGTATCACTGGACTGGGTTGCTTTCTCTTTGTGACTGTATAGACTGTAGCTACATGTATGGATGCCTGGGGATAATTGGTTGCTTTGGTTTCTGATTATACAAACACTCAGTTATAAAATATTAAGAGATGGGCTGTAGGGTTGAGCCAGGCTTTGGTAAATAGTGGCTTCCGTAGTGGTAGTATTGACCTAGTTGTGCCTCACAGATGCCCACCTGCATTGTGTAACATTGAAGCCGCTCTCTGTGATCAGTTGACTGGGGGAAAAGTCCTTACGCACGTTCAGGTCTGTTATATGAGCAGTGGATAGGGTGTCGTTGATATAGCCCTTCATACAGCTATAAGAGGGAAAAAAGGGATTATGGTCATATAAAAGCAAACCTGCAGTACCCTTCTCCAACTCATGAAGTTTTATGCAGCTAACCGTTTAGAGAACCCAAAAAATTATGGCCCACAAATCAACACAAAACATTCATTTAAAAGCATACAACTTTTGTAGGTACAAGACAGCTTGCTTATGCAAAATCATATTGGAAATACATTTCCATATCCAATTGTCTGGGAATTTGGAAACAGAACTAAACTGAGAGCCTTTTTCACAAACAGCTTGAAGGGCAAACAAATAGTCACATGGTAACATGGCGAGTCAGTATTATTACAACTTTAGGATGTCTTTGACATCTGCCACCAGAGGTTACCCACAGTGCTTTGTTTCATATGCAAATAAACCCATTTGCCCACATGAGGGCAGCATGGTTACTTACGCCAATAAAGACTAAACTAGGGAAATGTTTAACTCGATCTGCCTTACAAAGCCTTTGGAACAGTTTCAATAGAGAGAGACAGTAGCGAATATAGTCTTTCTATCAGATGACATTATCAACATTATTACTATGGCATTCATTGCTTTAAGACTCCAGACCATGCTCTGTGAATGGTCTACTCTAGGTTCAACCCATGCACCAGTCACTGCACAAGGTGCTACAGTAGAACTTACTGTACATCAGCTTCCCCGTTGGCACAGGGTCCGTAGTGGTAGCGGTAGACCAGCCGAGGGATGAAGTCTGAGGACACCCCAATGACTAGCCCATTGGCAATGACAGCCAGAACACCAATAGCTTCCAGAACCTTGGTCCATATACCTGAGGAATCATATTATGGGATGAGCACAAATACATACAAGCAGAAACATAAACATGGTGAGGAGTTTACCAGGGACGCACAAGCTTTTACATATACTGTTTTAACTCACCAATATCATTGGTTTTCTTGGGGACTAATCTACGTTCCAAGCTGACCATCTTGATGGCATCCAGACGGATCTCAAAGATGTTGTTGATGAGAGCCAGTAGAGGGGCCAGAGGGAAGGCCGCCACAAAGATGGTGGTGAAACTGTACTGAACAACTGCATGGAGAGAAGAGTGTAATAACGCAACAGAGATTCTACATTCAATACAGGGGATTGGGAAGTCAATAAAAACAACTGGGCAGAATCATTTAACATAAAACAGACCATGAATTACAGTGTAAGAGAGAGATAGAGAGAATCACTTCGGTGAAATAAATGAAGACGTGGGACTTAGAGAGACAATGAGACTTGGTCATGTGACGCACCCATTTCCAGAAACTCATTGAAGAGACTGAAAGAGTTGACGTCATTCAGATCGTAGTTGCGCAGCCAATCCCGCAGCTTGCAGATATCACATGGGTCATGGCCCCTCTTCTCCTCTTCGTGACATGCCTTTTTGTAGCAGTGGCCACACTTCCTCTCCAGCTTCTCAGTTGTAGTCCTTCTGAAGTAACTCTTTAACCAGCTGCACAATGACATAGGACATCCTAAAGTGAGAAAGTATGATGCTCCACTTTGGATGTCTAATTCAATTCATTATAATTCATTCAATTCATTAACTATAATTAATATTTGCATGAGGTTTTATCATCTGACTGTGACAGTCAAACGTTTATTTGCGTTACCAAAAGCTTATTCAACACATCAAAGGGCTTATTATTTATGCTTTATCTTGGCCAGGTCGCAGTTGTAAATGAGAACTTGTTCTCAACTGGCTTACCTGGTTAAATAAAGGTGAGAAAAAAAATCCACCTATTCATTTTCGCAGAATGTATCTATGTTAAGCAGGTAGATAAGCATAGCTATATACTGTACTTACGGCACAGTAAACTCAAAGATGTTATTCAGTGTCTGTTTGAGCAACATGATGATGGCCATTTGAATGAAGAGGTCAGTGAGGCAGCCACTGGGATGACACTGGCAAGGACAGGAAAAGGCAGAGATGGTAACATTACAAAGACACTCCAAACCGTTCAACCGTATCATAATCCCATGTTAAGTAATACTTTTTTTAAATAGCGATGAGACACCCACCTCCTCCAATCTCCATTTACCAGAAATACGAACATAGCTACCTGGGCGACCGTTTATCCTATGCACAAGAACAGCGTGTTAGATTCATTAAATGTAAGCACATATGCATAAACATGTATAATACTTACACATTTACAGTTCAGGATTCAAACATTTGAAGGATCACAGATACATGGACACTTGTGGATACAGAAAGCACATTCTCCATACAGCTAGGCTGCCCATGACAGCTGACACAGAGCAGTACCTTACCAACTGTTTTCCCCTTGGTTTTAGGCTAGTCTGCAATCTCTAGGCCATATACTGTCAGCCTGAGACAAATATTAACACTACACACATGCACACACACATTGCACTCCGTACCTGCCCAGGAAAAATGCCACATATATGAGTGAGGAGAAGAGGGTGAAGAACTGGAAGGTAAACATCTTGACAGTGAAGCTCCTCTCAGTGGCCGCAAATGACTGTGTCTTCTCTGCAGGCAAGAGCAGCAACATTAACTTAATTCACTGACTCACTTTGCTATGTACAATTCCATCTGATAGAATAACAGAGATGAACATGTACATGCTTGATTGTAAATGAAAATGTTCAATGCAAACATATGTTCTGCTCATCCAAATAAAGATGTTCCTCTTCAGACTCACCTATCTCACACAGCTTGAAGGCCACCGCCTTGTTGATCTATCCGGGTAAGAGAGGAGAAGAGTTAGGGACTGTGCAGGTCTACATGACAAAGGTTGCTGGTTGAAGCTAAACTTACTCTGGTCATAACTTGCATGGTGATGTAGTGTAGTACAGCACCCAGCATTACTGCTACAGTGTTGGCATGGTCCCTTACAAACTCCCATGTTCCCTCTGACAACAGCACAGTAGCAACCACACGGAACACCACCAGAGCCTGGGTCAGCCCGATGATCAGAACCAACTGGTAAGAGAACACACACACAGTGAGAGAACAACATTGACTGAACCTGAGCTAAGCACAGGTATGGCCCAGGATGAAAACTGCTACATATGTTATGCAATATGGCACTGAGTGACTGACTGGGACTGACCATGAGAGTGACCAGGACAAGGACTAGAGTGCTGCGCAGATAAGAATGGCGGAACTCTTTGGGATGGCAGTCTGGATCATTCACTACTCCCAGGATGAGCTCCTCCTGCAGGCCAGATGGAACAATATTCAGGATTATACCACAGCATCTGAGGTCATATTAATCACACAATGGGTCCCTACCATAAGATGACAGTAATCAACGGGACATTGTTTTTGTTATTTGAAAGAGTATATGATTGGGTAATATCATTGAGTAACAGACAACCTAAATCATGCTAAAACCATCCTATAGTGTACAGTATATCCAGACATATAATGGTTTCTTAAGCCTAAGTGAAGCCGTACCTCTTCCTCACACCAGTCAAAGACTTTCCATTTGGACACAAACGTTGCTTTGTGTCTCTTCCACAGCTCCAGAAAAATGGTAGCTGGAAAAATTTAAAGGACACAAGTCATGACAAAGTCAAGATTTATCTGAATTAAAAATGTAATGGATGGAATTAATCAGTTTTATCCTGTGGAGACTTACCCCAGACTGCCATGAACATAGCAAAGGCCACCGTCCCCTCATTGTCAAACAGATGACTCATCTGCACACAAGACACATTTTGAACATAAACTTTATGAACTATTTTTTAAATAGTAAAGTTTGCAATGCAGTATGGTAGAATGACATGAGTTACCTTGGCGTAGGTACAGGTGTCACGCAGCTGCCATACTTGACACCATTTGTCACACCTCGGGCACATAACGGTGTCAGACTCACAGACCTCCTTTCTGTAATATGAAGACACACAATGCACCTTCAGAAACACATGAGAGTTTTAAAGAGGAGCAACTCCATGTAACCTATTTTTTCTTCATACTAAAATGTCAGCATCAATCAGCTTAATAAAGAGTTTGGCTCAGTGGGTCTGTCATCTCACATGAGGGGGCTGGTGTTGAAGAAAGCCAGTGCATACAGGAACACAATCACACCCAGAAGGGCTGCAGGGACCAGCAGGATGGTGTACCAGCCCAACCACAGGTAATACAGAGCCACCTTCTCTCCAAAGTAACTCCTGACAGATACAGATACATTTCAGTTTGCATGCTCAAATTCAAACCAGAAAAAGGACATTCCTATTCAGTTAACACCCCTTAGTAGGTTTCCAGGTTTTTTATTTATTCATTAACATGGAGTTTAGTTTCACAGTTTAGTGTCATCTTGATAATTTCCCTTTCACGCCACTGAGGTAAATGACATGTTGTATTCCTATATGCATGCTGTATATTTAAGCAATAAGCCATGCGGGGGTGTGGTATATGGCCAATATACCACAGCTAAGGGCTGTTCTTAGCTGATTCAAACAAAGCTTGATGAGTTGGTTATTTTAAATCAGCTGTGTGGTGCTAGGGCAAAAACCAAAATGTGCACCCAGGGGGGCCCCAGGACCGAGTTTGGGAAACCCTGCTTTAGATAAGCACATCACATTTGGCTGCATCGGCAAACCCAATGTTCTATGTGGATAAAACCACGAGCTGGCATACTTCCTGGTAACAGAGTTAATTGCTTTGAAAGCCTCCTTTTGGTGTGGAAGCAGAAGTGAATCCTACACGAGTCCTTCGCGGAAGGGTTTTGAAATCTCCCACACCCTCTTTGAATCAGCTATTGTTTTCTTGAAGGAGAAAAGCATGCAAACATTTATCTATAACATGTCTTGCACAACTAGCTAGCTACATTCGTTCACGTGCGATCGGAGGAGAAGTCTAATTTCATACAAGCACAATTTCGTCCACTTTCCCCCTTCTCGCCGCCTCTCCTCGATTACCTATGACCTTTTTCAAAAGGAGGCCAGAGAGGACGGAGTTGAGAGGATGCAGGAGTTGAGCAAATCCAATTGAGAAAGGCCACTGTGAAACCAAAAGGCACAGAAACACAGCAGGATATACAGAAGGTCTTACCTGACATCATCGACAGGCTGGGCGGTAAAGAGAGCAGACCATCGTGCCCACTTTTGTTTCAACATCTTTTGCTTGCTCCTCTATAAAAACAGAAAGAGGCTCCTACAGTAGATGTATTTCACATCAATGAATTTCATATGGGCTACTTATGATCATACAAGGCATAAACAGCTACAATGCCCCTCAAAATTGAATAAGTAATCAGGTATACGAATAATTGAGGAGATGTTTTTTTTTACCTCATGCAGGCAGAACGTGGCCTCAAAGACCCCCTTCTCCTGGAGCTCTCTGAGGTTCTCTGTTGTGTTGAAATGAAAAGGAGGGTTAGAAGTGCCGAACAATTGAGGTCAGGGACAAATATGTTGTTAAAGAGATCAATGGATGTATAGACATCTGGAGGGAGCGCTTCACTTACCTCCTGTGTTGATATGGGTGTGGTGTAGGATGTAATGCACTACTCTGATCCTGAACGAAAAACAGGAACAAGGTAAGAGGACATGTTGGAAGTGAACGTTATTTGCATATGGAATGGCAAGAGTGAGAGTTCAATGTGTCTCACCTGGTTGAGTGAGGGATCCTGACACTCTTCCGGTCGCCGCTCCAGTTGCAAGCATCAGACACTTTTAGTAGGTACCTGTACTTGTCAAAGGTCTCCTTCGGGGCCCGGACACCATAAAACACCTTGTCATCATGAAGGATTTTCTGACACAAAAACAGGCAAAGTTCATGATGAGCATTGAACCAGGAGAAATTTGATCATTTTGGGAAGATTGGCCATGATGTTACAGTTTAACTTTCACCCATTCTCTACAGTTGGACACATCCCAGTAAAGTAACATTTCCTCGACATTGCTCCATATGGAATTTAAGCGTGATTCAATCAAGCAACAAACTCACTGTCACTTTCATGTTTTTCTTCCTCAGGCGGTCAATAAAAGCGATCTGCTTCAGAAATGTTGGGTTTTCCTGCTCCTCAACTTTGTCAGCAACTAAAACATAATCATATGTCCTCTGCTGGTGCTGTGGGAAACATACACAAGGCTTTCTGTATTCTAGGTACTGTGTCATACAAACAGGTTGATTAATTATCACCTGTATGACTATGTATGGTCTCTAAGTTACGAATGCAGTGATATAAATAGATGGTGTGTGTTGTGTTGTGTCTTACCAGAGTTGGGAGTAATGCCTCCATGGTATTGTCAAAGCCATCCCTGTTTCTCTCCTGCAGCTCAATACCATCCTAAAACACAGGGTAATGAAGAGGAACAATGTGACATCTCTATCTAGTGATACAGGGTCTGGTCCTCCTCCCCACCTCACTGCAGTGGTCTGCCAGGCATGTGCCAGTCAGCATGGAGCACAAGGAACCTCTCAGCTAACTCATTTCACATAATGGTCATTCACTACAGCCAAATCGTCATTGTGGCCTCACTAGCCTGTGTCGAAAAAAGGGATACTAACCTAATTCCTTTTTACAGTTGGTCCATGAGATGTCAATAACACACCTCTTATAGCAGAGGGGTAAAACAAATAAAGGCAACTGGGCCATCCCTCTTGCCATATCTGTTGTTATGCATGTTTCTCTCTAAGACCTGTCAGTCTTTCGCTTTCATTCTTCCAGACTCCGACAGTCTTTTCCAGATTACAGGCCCCAACACGCCGTCAGTGAAAATGTTCCATAGACTGCTCCTCACACTGAATGGGTGGGAGGGCTTGTAGGCTTTTTCTGTATAAAACGATGGGATTATTTACACCTCTGAACAAAATATAAATGTTGTATTCTAAGGCCACACTGAGTTCTATGCTCTGCTATGTCTCGAGAGATGATCCAATCTTGACTAATCATATTTTGGAGGTGTGCCACTACAACCCTCTTTAGTGCACTTGCATAAGCTTTAATGAGGTAACCTGTTTCACCAGTAGCACAGCCAAGAAGACCAGGCAAACGTTGAAAGGAGGCTGGCTCTGATGTAGGGTACTGTGTAGTGGATATGGCATGGGTTGCCAGAGGAGAGCTGTCATATATCAGGCCTCAGCATCACATAAATCATAGACACTCTTCATAGCAACATGGTCCAGGGTAAAAAGCTGATACCTGACAATTTCTCAAATAATAATAATATGCCATTTAGCAGACGCTTTTATCCAAAGCGACCTAGTCATGTGCGCATACATTTTTACGTATGGGTGGTCCCGGGGATCGAACCCACTACCCTGGCGTTACAAGCGCCATGCTCTACCAATTGAACTACAGAGGACCACAAAGATCTGCATGCTTTAGATGAGGATCATGGTGGGAGACTGATCAGCCGACTTTGAGTGAAGTTATGCTTTAGAACCCAAAGGCCAGATAAGTGACCTTTAAGTCTGAGATATTTTAAATTGGTCTGGGATTTTTGATTATTTATTTATTTTAGCCGCTGCAATGAATCTAGCCTATACATGGTCATACTACTCTGAGGGAGAAAATAGTTTCAGGGAACCTCAGCTACAATGAGCCACAGTCCTGTGCTGTCAGCCCAAATAAAACACCTGTAATATGAGGGCGTGTGTAACGTTTGACCCACATCTAGTCCATAGATAAGGCACTGTAGACCACTTTTGGTACAGTAACATAACACAACTCAGCATACTCACACACAAACATATTGATTTCTGATACAGCAGTTATTGCTAGACAGAAATAGATTTGAACCTAAGATTTGCTATGACTGTCACCTCAGAAAAGTATCTAAAAAGCAGTTTCATTGCCATAATTCATGAGTGAGTAGCCTTTTAAAATTACATTATTCAGTCCAACTGATCACAAATTGATTTTATACTCCTTCAAAATACTGTAGGCTACATGAAAACGTATTTCTTAAATGGTTTGCAGGTGAGTTGTTTATAAATAATTTTCCTCACCTGCTCTTGATCCTTGAAGTACATGTTGCAATACAATCGTAATCCAAATTGAGCGAATATTGAAATTCCCCATTCACATCTTCTGTCGTTGGAGCACCGTTTTCTTCATTACTCACGAAACGTTTACCCCTACTTCAGACAGGGAGCTGTAATTATACTAAAAATAAAATATAAAAAAAACTTCTGTACTGAGCTAAAACTAAGATGACTTCACTTCCGCGTTTCTGAGTCAATTGCTTTCAGGTAGGTAGCGTCACTGCTTCTCGAAGGTGAGGCGCTGATATTGAGCGCTTCCCGTGGAATAGCAATGCGGCCGTCTGGTCATAATAGGACAGTCGCTGTCGTTTAATAGGTCTACAGTTAGTGACCAAAACTCAGGCTCTTTGTATCTCTCCACCCCTGAAAGTGCATGCAAATGATTGTGCTTTGGCATATCTGTGAAACCAACGAATGCATTTAACTATTTGATGCTGATATGAATGTAGCAATGTCTATGAAACTCATAAGTACATTAATCAAATACTGTAATATAATGATACCACGTTGGTTAACTTCTTGATTAATCAAAAATTAAACACTATTGGCTTCACATCAGCCACGGAAAATACAGGAACAAATATTTAATTGAGGGAAGACTTTACTGCTCCAATAATCAATAATAGTTAAAGCAATAGGAAAAATAATGCCACTTACAAGGGTCTATTACAAATACAATTGTTTACATTACACTTCAACCAGTATACTTGACAATTAAATTCAATATTCTTTGGACTTCGAAACATCTATTTACATTAGCATTACTGACAAGTGCTTTTCATGTCTGTAGATAATATTCAAAATACACATTTTACATTGATTCTGATGAAAAGTCAAGAGGCCGAAACCATTCTCTTGATTAGGAAAAAACTCTACTGGTTGAGGTTCTACAGGGAAGCACTAAAATACTGGACATATTTAGGGTCCTTCACTATTTCCAGAGGACTTTAATTGATTGAGGTCATGCATGTGTACTCTCAGTCCTCATCTTTCTCTGACGTCTTGCGGAAGTTCTTCCTGTTGACGTTCCTATTAATGACGAAGCCAATAGGCGGCTGATCCTTCCTATCATTCAGCGTGCCCTCTTCGTCCCCCACCGGTGTCCACTTCCTCTTCCGCTCACTCTCCTTTGGGCGTTGGGGGGCGATTGCTAGGCCTATACCCTCCTCTTCTTCATCATCGTCTAAGTGACAGAGACCCATCCCCGTCTTCTTGGTTCGATCAGGCTTGTTAACTTCTGCAGCGTCATCCTTCTGTGGCCGGCTAGGCCTGGAGAACACGATCTTATGCTCTGAGCTACTGCTCTGGCCCTGGTTGAAAGTAGGTATAAAAGGCTCTTCCGGATCATCTACCATCGTGCTCTCCTTCTTCTGCTGCTGAAGGCTTTGTATGTACTGCTGAGCCACCATGCTATTCTTGCTGTCACTGGTCTCTGGCACGTCCTCCAGGTCGTAGCGAGTCCAGCGCTCAGGATTCACCAGGTAATCTGGCACTCCTCTCTTCTGAGGAGGCTTGCTGACCAATTCCCCCACCTTCTCCCCATACTTCTTTCCACTTGGCAGCAGTGGGGGTGGAGGGGGACGTGCAAAAACCCCGTCAATCACATTGTCCTGGCCCAGATGGGACGAGGTCAGCTTAGCGGCACTCTCCAGGCAATCAAAGATGCTTCGGCTGCGGTTGGAGAAGCTTGAGCTTCCACCTGTCAGACTGAATGCGGGTTTCTTGGGACCAGGACCGGAGTTCTGGTGCTCTTCATCATCAGATGAGGACAAGTCTTCCACCTCTGGGTCTATGGACTCATTACGCTCTTCAGGGTCGGAGTCACTCAGAGAGAGGTCACCTGTCAGCTTGATGGCATCACTGTTGGACAGCTTGTTACGGGCACCGTCTCCATGGTCCTCTTGCTCACACATTGCTCTCACGGGCCTGGGTCTGATACCACAGGAAAGAAACTACGACTTTCACACAGTCAAGGGGTCAAGAGCCTGGAAGAGTATGAGAGGGTTGTTCTGAGTGGTAATTGAAACATATCATTTGTATGGTAATATAGCATGCATTATAATATTTTCAATTTGCCAAGAAATGACTGACCTTAGCCGGGTAGAGCTGCAACACCCCCACTTTCTGTATCAGTGAGGTTCAATGGTGATGGCAGTCCTTCCACCCTGAATAGACACACAAAGATAGACATTAAAAACAGCAACACGGATCTGGTCATTTAAAGCTTAGGCCTATACTGTAAATAATAAGTACAATGACAGGTAAAAACAATGAAACCAGCATTTCAGAACAGTTGCACAACATCAACACAAGATGTCAAGTGTCAACTGCAGATGAGTAGGCCTATCAGTCCTCTGCAGCGTAGTGTGAACATTGAGTACTGTAAGTGGGTGCATCTGTACCTTCAGATAATGTCATGTTTGACATCCTATGTAATGTTACCGTTTGTGTTAGTGTGAGGAGGTATCTTACTGGAGTTGCAGACTCACAGGTTGTGGGAGCTGGTTGGGATGCTGCTCTGCTCAGATAAGACAACAACTGTGTGGGGGTAGATGACAGCTCCAACTTTTGCCATGGTGTGACCAATCCCAGACTGAAATGGTGTAGCGACAATCTGTAAAAAAAAAAAAAAAAAATACATGCAGATCAGTCTGTTACCCACTCACTGCATATATGTAAATTGTGATTACATTGCATACATACAACCAGAGTCATATATTTAGATGGATCTGCATGCACCACGGTAGCTCTGGTCCATCACGCAACGACAATGAGTTGCCTTGTATACCGCCCATAGAGATATTGTAGTTAGAGGACGCAACATTGTATCTGTCTCATTATGATGTCTGCGAGAGCATGGGCAGCACCACTGAGGCCATCTCCATTTTGAAGTAGTCAATTTTCTCCTTCTACTACTTATATGAGTTTGTAAACCAACTTAAAGGGGGCATACTGCCACCCGGAGTGTTGTTTGAACAGGTATAAAAAGCCAATGTTGGCGATTTACTGCCACCTGCAGTTATGGAACGTTTGCCCATGAGTATACTTAATTGGCTGAGCCCTCCTGATGACCTGGATGGAATTATGTGATCCTTCCTTAACCTATAGGAAGTCCCACCCAGTTGACTACTTAAATATGGTTAAAGTCCTCAATGGCGCTGCCCATCCTAAAACGGGCCAGAGTCCTCCATTTGGCTTAATGATATCGCCAGATAAACTCTGGTCCACGCTTGTGCATGCAGCTCGTAGTGCAGATCCCACGCATGCGCGTGGATCAGGGTCTTTTGACTATAAACGAAGTACTCATAAGCCGTATTTTGGGAGAAATTACAACCTGCACATACAGACAAAAGTTATCCCACACTATAAAAATGTTTACTTTGGTGAGTTACGAAAATCGTTTTATGAAAGGATATGGAAAACGACAGAACAGGGCCACTCGTCGTCGTGCAATGGACAAGACGAGCTAACACAGCGACTACGCCCCCTAACATTAGTAACTAGTTCGTGCAACTCTCAGCGCTCCTAGCTAGCTTTTGTTTGTCATGGTATTTGGTGAGAAGACAGCAGAAAAACATGGAGGGTTGAGTAGTTCACGAAGTAAACCAGTTATAGAATTCGACGTTTGCTACCTAATGTTAGCTAGTTGGCTGGCTAGCTGTAGCTGACTTTGAATAAAAGTAGGGTGGAACAAACCACAAGCATTCTATATCTTACAATACTTCATTGATACGTTGAAATGTTTTCAGTAAGCTATCTAGCTACTACATAAAGCGTTCAAAGCTGATTTGTGTTGCTAGCTAGCTGCATCTCCGGCGTTACCTTCTTCACGCTGGCACTGCAACTTCGGTTTGCATGCTGCAATGTATGCTGGGTAGGGTAGTTTCCCTCCGCTCCTTCCTTTGGTGGTGGGCTAATAACCCAATCGTTGATACTTTACCGCCACCTACAGTAGTCTACTGGATTGTAAATGTAATGCCGATGTAGGCCAACATCACAGTTTCTAAATCTACATCTTCTTCGCTGAGGTTTAACGGCGGTTGGCATCTAATTTCTGTTGCATTACCTCCACCAAGACTGGGGTATAAATCCATTATACTTTGATCCACAAAATGGACATTAAAAAAAATATATATATATATTAATGACCCTGCCATCTAACCCTACACTCATTAAAACCCACCGCCCTATTCCGCTATGTAACCCCAACGGCCTGGGAGGACAGGATACCACCGCTCAACACACACTGTAACTCTTCTGAAGTCAAATCTAGTAGGCAACCTCCAAATACTTATATGCCGCTGACACCACAACATCTATTTTCTGTGACTTAAGTCCCATCTCTGCTGTACAATTGATAACCATCGCTATGAACGCTAAGAATCCAACCTCACTGAAGCATATATCACTCGTTGACCTATCCCTCTGTGCTGGCTCAGATCTACTAGGCCTACTCACAGGGATTCTCTCAGGATCCCTCACTCTTGACCCATCCTCCTCTACTTTCTTCACTGTCTCAGCATAAGACACCTTCTGTACTACTTACTCTGACCCTGGTCAATTTAACCTACCTCTCTCACACCAACACTTCCGATCCCCAGCAAAAATGGGCTCCCCTACAGTTGACACACACAACTTTTTCCACCGAAACTACCAATGTCCAGTGTTTCCCCCTACTAATTCACAATAGTTTTTTTTCTCTCTCTCTAAAAAAAAACTATAGAAAGGAGGATACATTTAAAGAAATATCACCCATCTTCAATTAGTACTGTACTGTGTCGGAGAGAACCTCTCTTGAATAAAATGGAATTATATTATAAATCAATTAGGCCTAGTTATAAGAGAAAGTTGAAATATACAGTACCAGTCAAAAGTTTTTCTTTATTTTTACTATTTTCTACATTGTAGAATAATAGTGAAGACATCAAAACTATGAAATAACACATATGGAATCATGTAGTAACCAAAAAAGTGTTAAATCAAAATATATTTTATATTTGAGATTCTTCAAATAGCCACCCTTTGCCTTGATGACAGCTTTGCACACTCTTGGCATTCTCTCAACCAGCTTCACCTGGAATGCTTTTCCAACAGTCTTGAAGGAGTTCCCACATATGCTTAGCACTTGTTGGCTGCTTTTCCTTCACTCTGCGGTCTAACTCATCCCAAACCATCTCAATTTGGTTGAGGTAGGGGGATTGTGGAGGCCAGGTCATCTGATGCAGCACTCCATCACTCTCCTTCTTGGTAAAATAGCCCTTACACAGCCTGGAGGTGTGTTGGGTCATTGTCCTGTTGAAAAACAAATTATAGTCCCAATAAGCCCAAACCAGATGGGATGGCGTATCGCTGCAGAATGCTGTGGTAGCCATGCTGGTTAAGTGTGCCTTGAATTGTAAATCAATCACAGACAGTGTCACCAGCAAAGAACCCTCCCACACCATAACACCTCCTCCTCCATGCTTTTCGGTGGGAACTACACATGCAGAGATCATCCGTTCACCCACACCGCGTCTCACGAAGACACAGCGGTTTGAACCAAAAATCTCAAATTTTGGACTCCAGACCAAAGGACACATTTCCACCGGTCTAATGTCCATTGCTGGTGTTCCTTGGCCCAAGCAGGTCTCTTCTTCTTATTGGTGTCCTTTAGTAGTGGTTTCTTTGCAGCATTTCAACCATGAAGGCCTGATTCACACAGTCCCCTCTGAACAGTTGATGTTGAGATGTGTCTGTTACTTGAACTCTGTGAAGCATTTATTTGGGCTGTAATTTCTGAGGCTGGTAACTCTAATGAACTCATCCTCTGCAGCAGAGGTAACTCTGGGTCTTCCATTCCTGTGGCGGTCCTCATGAGAGCCAGTTTCATCATAGCACTTGATGGTTTTTGCGACTGCACTTGAAGAAACTTTCAAAGTTCTTGATATGTTCCGTATTGACTGACCTTCATGTCTTAAAGTAACGATGGACTGTCATTTCTCTTTGCTTATTTGAGCTGTTCTTGCCATAATATGGACTTTGTCTTTTACCGAATAGGGCTATCTTCTGTATACCCCCTACCTTGTCACAACACAACTGATTGGCTCAAACACATTAAGACGGAAATAAATTCCACAAATTAATTTTTAAGAAGGCACACCTGTTAATTGAAATGCATTCCAGGTGACTACCTCATGAAGCTGGTTGAGAGAATACCAAGAGTGTGCAAAACTGTCATGAATGCAAAGGGTGGCTATTTGAAGAATCTCAAATATAACATATCTTTTGATTTTGGTTACTACATGACTCCATATGTGTTATGTCATAGTTTTGATATCTTCACTATTATTTTACAATGTAGAAAATAGTACAAATAAAGAAAACCCTGGAATGAGTAGCTGTGTCCAAATGTTTGACTAGTAGTGTGTCTGTGTGTGTGTGTGTGTGTGTGTGTGTGTGTGTGTGTGTGTGTGTGTGTGTGTGTGTGTGTGTATATATATATATATATATATATATATATATATATATATATATATAGAAGGAATTTAGTAGTCTAGTCAGTTAGGCTCATATGGTTAGGCTGTACGAAATATTAATTCATTTGGTGAGAATTGAAGGGTTTTCAAAACCGTACAAAATGAGCAAACATCAAGTTTGAGGCAATTCACATGGGTAACATAACCCTCACAGACAGGATTCAAATGCTTGATGCACTAATTCCCAAACGCTAGTTGTGTTAATATTAGGCTACTTCTTTCTGCACAATGATTTGCCGACAGAATGTGCTTGGTTTTGCCACTCCCCTTTAATATGTATCGTGGATAGAGAAGCATTATGTGTGCAATCATAATAGGATAGGATATGCAGAGACAAAGATGGGCCATTCTTTCATCCATTGAATGCCAGAATCGTTGATTTTGTTGTGAAACCCAAGCCTCAAACTCAAAAACAGTGTGGCGCTAATCGAGTCGTGGGGTGGCATCCTCTATCTCCGTCCTCACTTTCCTGAAAAAGCAGCTCCTTCCTTATAGTCGGTGGAGATGAGACGAATAACGGGAATGGCAAGGGATGAAACTTTGATCGAAATGAAGAGCGCAATGGATTCCCAGATTGGAGGTAAAGAGCACATTCAGAGATTAGCCTACTTTGGTAATATACAAGGTAAACGTAGTAAACGTAGGCTATACCATAATCTTTGTTTTCATTGGCTATTAATACGTTTACTATAGCGCTTTCAGAAAATGCTAAAGGAAACACAACCAACCAAAGGTGAATGATGGGCTACTTCAATCAGTTTTGTGACTAGAACTACCACTGTCTATCATTTGGGTTCTGAATAATGTTTGGCTAATTACATGTGTCTGTGCCATATGCCACTGTGTTAGTGGGCTACCTGGATGAGAGGCACATACAATGTTTTTCCTAAAGATTCGCAAATGTAATGGAATTTACATGTTATTTATGACAGATTATGTTTCAGAAAAAGTTTCATGTGTTTGTACAGTTGTACAAGTAAATGGAAAAGGTTTGAAAAATAGTTCTGAAATGATTGAAAATACATGAGATGACGTCATTCACATGCTGTCAGGTCTACTGGGAAAGAGATGGACAAATTTGAACTGTCAAGTGTTTCCAGATTTATATGACATTTGACCAATAATTAATTACAATATGAGTGAAATAGTTCTCCTTACAATTTTTTTTAAATTAAGTATGTTAAAAAACAACTTTTCTGTGTTGGAATGGTGTGGGTGTACCCCAACAACAGAATGGTGTGGGCATATACCGGTCCCCAAAAATATTTATGCTAGTAGACTGCTGATTGGCCAGCTAGAAGATGACATCATCCTCTATAAGGAAATAGCAAGCATTTTTGAAACGTCTGTTTGAGATACAAGTTTGAGTGTTTTTTCTTCCTATTTATGCTTTGGCCACATATGAGTCAGCAACAGTATTTGGGTATGAGTTATCAGAATATGAACATTTTAAAGTTAGATTTTTACTGGACAGTTACTTACATTTTTACATTTTAGTCATTTAGCAGACGCTCTTATCAATCAATCAATCAATCAATTTTATTTTATATAGCCCTTCTTACATCAGCTAATATCTCGAAGTGCTGTACAGAAACCCAGCCTAAAACCCCAAACAGCTAGTAATGCAGGTGTAGAAGCACGGTGGCTAGGAAAAACTCCCTAGAAAGGCGAAAACCTAGGAAGAAACCTAGAGAGGAACCAGGCTATGAGGGGTGGCCAGTCCTCTTCTGGCTGTGCCGGGTGGAGATTATAACAGAACCATGCCAAGATGTTCAAAAATGTTCATAAGTGACAAGCATGGTCAAATAATAATCAGGAATAAATCTCAGTTGGCTTTTCATAGCCGATCATTAAGAGTTTGAAAACAGCAGGTCTGGGACAGGTAGGGGTTCCATAACCGCAGGCAGAACAGTTTAAACTGGAATAGCAGCAAGGCCAGGCGGACTGGGGACAGCAAGGAGTCACCACGGCCGGTAGTCCCGACGTATGGTCCTAGGGCTCAGGTCTCTCAGTTGGCTTTTCATAGCCGATCATTAAGAGTTGAAAACAGCAGGTCTGGGACAGGTAGGGGTTTCGTAGCCGCAGGCAGAACAGTTGAAACTGGAATAGCAGCAAGGCCAGGCGGACTGGGGACAGCAAGGTGTCATCATGCCCGGTAGTCCTGACGTATGGTCCTAGGGCTCAGGTTCTCAGAGAGAAAGAGAGAACGAGAGAATTAGAGAGAGCATACTTAAATTCACACAGGACACTGGATAAGACAGGAGAAGTACTCCAGGTATAACCAACTAACCCCAGCCCCCCGACACATAAACTACTGCAGCATAAATACTGGAGGCTGAGACAGGAGCGGTCCGGAGACACTGTGGCCCCATCCGAAGAAACCCCCGGACAGGGCCAAACAGGAAGGATATAACCCCACCCACTCCGCCAAAGCACAGCCCCCGCACCACTAGAGGGATATCCCCAACCACCAACTTACAATCCTGAGACAAGGCCGAGTATAGCCCACAGAGGTCTCCACCACAGCACAAACCAAGGGGGGGGCGCCAACCCAGACAGGAAGATCACGTCAGTAACTCAACCCACTCAAGTGACGCACCCCTCCCAGGGACGGCATGAAAGAGCACCAGCAAGCCAGTGACTCAGCCCCTGCAACAGGGTTAGAGGCAGAGAACCCCAGTGGAGAGGGGAACCGGCCTGGCAGAGACAGCAAGGGCTGTTCGTTGCTCCAGCCTTTCCGTTCACCTTCACACTCCTGGGCCAGACTACACTCAATCATATGACCTACTGAAGAGATAAGTCTTCAGTAAAGACTTAAAGGTTGAGACTGAGTCTGCGTCTCTCACATGGGTAGGCAGACTGTTCCATAAAAATGGAGATCTATAGGAGAAAGCCCTGCCTCCCGCTGTTTGCTTAGAAATTCTAGGGACAATTAGGAGGCCTGCGTCTTGTGACCGTAGCGTACGTATTGGTATGTACGGCAGGACCAACTCGGAAAGATAGGTAGGAGCAAGCCCATGTAACGCTTTATAGGTTAACAGTAAAACCTTGAAATCAGCCCTTGCTTATCCAGAGCGTCTTACAGTTAGCTAGTGAGTGCATACATTTTTATACTTAAAGCCTATTGCAGAAGTCTGTAAAATGGCATGTATTTGGCAATTTCTTTGTTGATTTACACATCAGCATTGACCCCAAATAAATTCAATATTATTTCTAATGATGTAATTATAATAATCTCCAAGCAGGTTTGTGATAAAAAAATAATTGCGATTGCAAGATGGATGTCTAATTCATTGCAAGGTTGATCTGTTACATACAGTGCTAATGTATAGGCCTAGTAAAGCTGATGCAAGCGGCACTCTGCTTATCTATATCCCTCTATTGAGAACTTACTAGTCACTTATTAGTAACAACTTAGTAGTCACACACGCTTGAAACTGGCCATTGTTGTGTCCATGCCTGCCCTTTTAAACACCATCAACTGCCCCATAACTTCAGTATTGCTCTAGCCCCCTACATCTCCCCTTAATGTGCTCTTGTGCTCCTGTGTGAATAAGCTGTGTCCTATGTTCATGTTTTCCTTTAAATTTCATGGCGAAAAGGAAACAAGTTGTAGGTAGACATCTGCAATGGTGTGCTAACACAGTCACTCACTGAAGACATCTGTAGGGAGGATTTGGAATGTTACAGTACTACTCTTTTTCCAATTGTGCTCAGTGACAAATAGACTTAAAGGTCACCACCCACTTTGGCGATGCACAATATATTACTAGATCACATTTGTTATACCAAAAATGTCAAATTTTGTCACAACTTGTGAGAATGTGGCAGTGTGCCTATACAGAGTAGCCCACAGAGATGACTTGGTCTCCAAGTACAGCCATCCACTGCACAATGTGTTAAGCTGTCATGGTAGCAAGGGTCCCTCGATGAAATGTTGCTGGTTGAGAGGTAGCTCAGAAAATGTAGAGCTGTTGTGGCTAATAAACAGATTTGAACAATCACAAATGTTCCTTTTGTTAAGAATACTTTGTAGGCTACAATTTATTATGTATGGCTTCACAGAAAGAAAGTACTTGAGCATTCATAATGTCGACAGTTAAAGTGGTTTCAATAATGCCGCAGTAATTATGGCTTTGAGATATTGTTTCATCCATCACTCCGCTGCTGGGAAATTAAGTGAGTTGGAGCAAGTTCACTGATGAATAGAAACAGTCAGGCTTCCCTCCAACCTCTCTCACACTGTTTACATCCCTCTTAGCATCTCACCACTATAGGGTGGCAGGTAGCCTAGTGGTTAAGAGCGTTGGGCCAGTAACTGAAAGGTTGCTGGTTTGAATCCCCGACTTGACTAGGTGAAAAATCTGTCGATATTCCCTTGAGCAAGGCACTTAACCCTAATTGCTCCTGTAAGTCCCTCGGGATAAGCGTCTGCTAAAATGTAAATGGCAACCATAAATGGAAGATTCCCCAAACAAACTCTGCTGCCCATTTTACTTATTTGGTATTACAGAAACCGGGCCAAGCGATGTGGTTCCACTATCTCTGAGCAATAGGCATTTCTGTTCCCACAATAACATTGATGCTTTTAATGTGAAGTGAGTTGACTGAGCAGGTTCATTTAAGGACAATCTGTCACTTGCCCTTTGGTGTTAAGGCTCCTTGTTAATAAAGGTCCACAGTATGGCTGACTGCACACCCTGGGTCTAGATAGTATGGAGTTCTGTGTTGATAGACTGCCCTTTCACACCAATGGCTTTGTGTTGGCTGTTATCAGGGAAAACCTTCTGGCGCAATAACAGAGGAAGATACATTTATATGTGTGTCTGTGTTGTGGATCACCATGTTGACAGTTTTATGTAGGGACTGAACGTGAATAGACTTCAGGTTCATCTGCATCTATAATACAGTTCTATTACATAATCATTTCTTTTGATAGTTATATTACCCACATGCTCACACTGGCTGCCTTGTTATGGCTCTTATGGCTCTATATCATTGAAATAGCCAAAATAGTTGTATTGAAAAGTTGCTATAAGGCACTGTAGTATTACCAAACACTAGGCCTGCTATTCTACAAACAACATCTCTCACTATCTCAGTAAAACCTCTATTCATTCACACTCAATGCTTTTAGGGATGAGACCTAAGCCTTTCATAGCATGTTGCCAATTCTGTATGCCTAATTGGTGGTCTTGATCAGGGGCAGTCAGGCACAAACTAGGCCTAAATAATAATAATTGCATTACAGCACTCACCCGTAATCATTGATGATCTAATAAGAAACTGTTATTAGACACCGCTTCCATTTAAGGTGCTTTATATCTGGCTAGGGACGGCAAGCCAGTGAATTCATCTTGGCTCACAGACTAGGGGGAGCCTCGGTGTTGCCATGGAAACTGACTCAGTAATTATATTTTCTGTTTGATATCTGAGTAATGTAGACTGTGGGCAGTGTCTGAATATCTGAATATAGGCGGCAGGGTTAACCCACTTCTCATTTCTGTTTCTGGATGTCTGGATTTGTCTCCTTTCACCTCCAATTGGTTATTATCCCTTCATTGATCTTCCACAATTACATTTCAATGGCCATGAGCAGATGAATATATCAGTCTTGAATAACATTGATCGATGCACTTGATCACAGTGGGCTTTGTTATTGTGTTGCTTTGTGGGTTTAGGAAGCTCTGTGCCAAAGCATTCCATGTTCTGTCTGTGGGTTAACCTGGGCATCAAATCTGATTAGGCTAACAGGCAACAAGCTACGAAGAACAAAGAACAACAGTTTGTTTTCATGTACTCTGCCATATCCTCAGTGGTGATTATGCAATATGCAACATGGCCAAAGGGTGCAGATGAGGAAAATTAGGGGAAAGTTTCTGAAGGACAAAATCAGTAAAAGTCTAACATGTCTACTTTTCCTCCTTATGCAAGAATGCCTCATTCAAACAGTATAGTATTAGAAGGATGAAATTTCATGTCTGTTTTAGAGAAGATAAAATATGAATTCTGCTATCTGCCCTGCCCATGATCCCTCGCTGGGAGGAGCACCAGGGTATTGGTCCACTCCACTGATCTAACTTTCTGGGTTTTGTCAAGGCACAGTTCCCTTCTGGGACTAGGGCTATTGTATCCTGAAGATAAGAAGGGAGATTTTGTTTGTTTCATGTGCAGAAAGTCATCAACAGACGATGTGAGAAAAGGGATTCAAAACAGCTTTCCAACTGGGCAAAAACTGGTTGAATCAAGGTTGTTTCCACGTAATTTCAACAACAAAAAATGTTATGTGATGACGCTGAATCAACTGATTTGGATTTGAAAAAAGTATTAAACATAAGGGAATTTAATATTTTTTTTCACTCAATTTACGACCTAAATCCAAATGACATGGTGTTTTGTTGATTTCATGTTGAATTCACGTTAGTTGACAACTCAACCAAATGTAAATCAAAACTAGATGTTGAAATGACGTCTGTGCCCAGTGGGTTTCTACCTTTAGCACTGGGAGTATGGCCTCCCCCTAAACATAGACCCTATGCTGCTTAATTTAAAACATGCTAAATAAAATGTATTTAAAAATCCTAAAGTTAGCGTTTGGTGACCTTAGCAAGGGAAACAAAAGCAAAGCATGGATTGGTCTCTCTTCCTACAAGGTAAGGAAACCAATGTAATTTCAGTGAACTATCCTGTATGTTGTCTTTCCCCTGAGGAGAGAGAAAATTGAACTTGGGGATGATGTCAATAGTTAGGCTATTGAAGCCATGAGTCATGTATGTTTGAGCCAGTCAAAAGAAACCAGTCTGATACATCCCGGTGCTATTTTTAGCTGGAGCTACAAAGATGATAAGAGTTTAGACATAATAGGTCACATCAGGCCATGGTAGCAACATAGTGACATTGTTGTGTATTCATTGTGTCTCCCACATCACTAACATCTTTCAACAATAGGATGTATGTTGCACAAGCCTCACATGCTGGCCTTCTAGATGATCCATCTGCTGTGTGTATGGCCATAAGACTTATGGCTGGTTATCTTACCATGTTGGTCATGAGTGAATGAGAATGTTGTGAATGTCGGTGGCCTACAGTGTTTCCATGATCAACTAATCAGCTCTAGTTATGTGGGGGATGAATGGCATATAATGGCCATTGATTTCCATTTAGTACTTATTGACCTATGTACAGACATATTGGAATGCTTTAACCTTTAGGCTAGATATCCATCTAATTAAATAGCTAGCTACAGGGTACAGCATCATTGTGCAGCATCACGATTCCTATTATAAACTGTATTTTATCTATTATAAACTGTATTTTTATCTATCATAAACTGTGAGAATCCCTGGCATAACATGAGATGAGATTGAAGCACTTTTATAGTTCGTCAGAGAACAATTTTTTCCTTCATCAATAAGCTTTCTCTGGTAGAGCCAACTGTAATATGATGATGATGCTCAGAGCCCTGGGTCTGGACACCACCCTCTGCAACTGGATCCTGGACTTCCTGATGGGCAAACCACAGGCTGTGAGGATAGACAACAACACCTCCTCCGCACTGACTCTTAACACAGGGCCCCCCATGGGTGTCCTCGGCCCTGTGCTGTACTCCCTGTTCACCAATGACTGCGTGGCTTTGCACGAAACCAACTCCATCATCAAGTTTGCTGACAACACCACGGTTGTAGGCCTGATAACCAACAACGATGAGTCATCCTATAGGGAGGAAGTAGGTGAACTGGCATTGTGATGCCAGGACAGAAACCTCTCCCTCAACATCAGCAAAACAAAGGAGTTGATTGTTGACTTCAGGAAGCAGAGGAGGGAACATGCCCTGATCCACATCAACAAGTCAGCAGTTTTGAGTTCCTTGGCGACCACATCACTGAGGACTTTACATGGACCAACAACACCACCACTCTTGTCAAGAGGGCATCTCTACTTCCTAAGGCAGCTGAAGAAATTTGGCATGCCACCCCGGGTCCTCTCCAAATATTATTGCTGCACCATCGAGAGCGTCCTGACCGGTTGCATTACGGCTTGGTACTGTCAGGAATTTCTCCGTCCACGACTGCAAGGCCCTTCAGATGGTGATGAAGACAGTCCAGCACATCAATGGAACCATGCTCTCACCCTTCCAGGACATCTACTCACAATGGTGCCTGAGGAAGGCCTGCAGCATCATCAAGGACCCCACACACCCCAGCCATGAGCTCCTCACCTCATTACCATTGGCCAGACGGTATTGGAGCATGAGGTCTGATACCAACAGGCTCAGTCAGTTTCTATCTAAAAGCCATCAGACTTCTGAACACTTGAACTGGACTGACCACCTGCACTGACTCTCCTCACCTTAGCACACATGCACTCACTCACTCACACACGCACACACACACACACACACACACACACACACACAGATATACACTCATCCACACACGCGCGCACACACACACACATAAATTCATACTACACACACATCACAATTGCTGCTGATAAATTGTGCCTTCCTGTATTATACTTATGCTAAACATTTTATTATATTCTACTGAGCCATTTACTTTATGTTCATATTCTTATCTTTTATTATTTCTCATTGTTGTTGCATTGTCTAGAAGGAACCTGCAAGTAAGCATTTTGTTGGACGTTGTATTGTGGTCCTCTGTAGCTCAATTGGTAGAGCATGGCGCTTGTAACGCCAGGGTAGTGGGTTCGATCCCCGGGACGTAAAAATGTATGCACGCAAGACTGTAAGTCGCTTTGGATAAAAGCGTCTGCTAAATGGCATATTATTATTATTCCATGTGTATCCTGTACATACGACTAATACAACTTGAAACATTAATTACAGGGGAAGCCCAGTAGCTGAAACAGAAGAGGAGGAGGTTCATCAGAGGAAAGTAGCTACAGCTTACCATTTAAATCACTAACCAGATTGGCTTGGTCTGATGAAATACATCATTTACCAGGCTCTCTAAAGGTTTATCTGGCCGAAACAATAGACAATCAGGAGGGTACTGTGACTGTCACTGGAGAGTAGACAGGTGCTACCGGTGTGTAGCAGGTCCTCACCAGCATCCAGGTGACAGCTTCTTTATGGCACAAGTAAAACATGGAATAATGTATTCCTGTCCTCACACTGCCACTTTCTGTGATTGAACCAAACAGGGAACATATCAAACATATTTAACAGCTGGCCTGTTTCTTTGAGGCTAGCGTGTCTGTGTCAGTGGTGGGTGCAAAAACAGATAGTTTTTCTGCTACTCTAGATATTCTAATTCTAGAAGAATTTGTGTATCTGTGATATTATAAATCCATCTATCAATGTCGAGCAGCACTTTGATAAGCAGACTAACCCCTTTGTCCTGTCTGTCTCTCCTCTGAAGAAGATGGCCCTGCTGTGCTGACAGCATTCAGGATGATCCTATTAACAGGTACGGGCAGATGAAAGGCTTAATGTGACGCCTGTCTGTCTGTCCATCCTTTCATCCTCTCCTCTCCAAACCTCACCTCCTAGTCAGTGGCTGTGTCTGTGGCTGTGCCTCTCCTCTCCAAACCTCCCCTCCTAGTCAGTGGCTGTGTCTGTGGCTGTGTCTGTGGCTGTGTGTACTGTTGTTGGTTACTCTGGGGCGTGTGCTGTTTGCTCTCTGCTCAGCCTCCCTCCCTTCATGCCAGCGGCTGCAGAGCCAGGCTCCTCATAGCGCCAAACCCAGCCCTATGCTACTCTGCATCCCCTGGTCATGTGTGAGTAAGTGCCAAGGCCCTGGGTTTACCAGTGGATCGAGGAAATGACCTTTCAAATCCAATACGCTACATTTATTGAATTTACCTATACCATATTTAACATTTAAAATATATTTTTTCATGTGATGTTGTTGGGATAATTTCATCTGTGCATCTCACTGTGGATTATTTGATATTTCAGAAAGGTAAACATGAGCAGAAAGCTGCCACATCTCTCCCTTTATAAAGATCTAGGGCCAAGGCTTAAGGCCAACACTCCTAGCAGATGCTGAAAGAACACCTGCACTGAGTGCATACATCTTTGTGCTTTTATCCAGCATCTAAGAAATAAAATAAACTAGGTGGTTCGAGCCCTGAATGCTGATTGGCTGAAAGCCGTGGTATATCAGACCGTATACCACAGGTATGAGTGACAAAACATTTATTTTTACTGCTCTAATTACGTTGGTAACTAGTTTATAATAGCAATAAGACACCTCGGGGGTTTGTGGTATATGGTCAATGTACCACAGCTAAGGGTTGTATCCAGGCACTCTGCTTTGCGTCATGCATAAGAACAGCCCTTAGCTGTGGTATGTTGGCCATATACCACACCCCCTCGGGCCTTATTGCTTAAATGGATGTGCATGACAATGTGAGATATTCATCCCTCCAGACTGCCCACTGAAGGTACTGGTAGGTCAGCTACAGTAGGACGAGATGTTTTCTAGGACTTCACCAATGGGGTTATCGATGTCAGTTTAATTTAGACTGTGCTGGAGACTACAGATGTGTTTACAGTAAGTGGGTGTTCTGCAGACAGTAGGCCTAAGTGGGTGTTATTTAGATGTACAGCTTCACAAGTGGATCTCCTACTATCTGAATGTGTATCTAGTTCCAGGAGGTGGTACACTACATGACCAAAAGTATGTGGACACCTGCTCGTCGAACATCTCATTCCAAAATCATGAGCATTAATATGGAGTTGGTCCCCCCTTTGGTGCTATAACAGCCTCCACTCTTCTGGGAAGGCTTTCCACTAGATGTTGGAACATTGCTGCAGGGACTTTCTTCCATTCAGCCACAAGAGCATTAGTGAGGTCGGGCACTGATGTTGGGCGATTAGGCCTGGCTCGCAGTTGGCGTTCCAATTCATCCCAAAGGTGTTCGATGGGGTTGAGGTCAGGGCTCTGCAGGCCAGTAAAGTTCTTCCACACCGATCTCGACAAACCATTTCTGTATGGACCTCGCTTTGTGCACAGGGGCATTGTCATGCTGAAACAGGAAAGGGCCTTTCCCAAACTGCTGCCAAAAAGCTGGAAGCACAGAATCGTCTAGAATGTCATTGTATGCTGTAGCGTTAAGATTTCCCTTCACTGGAACTAAGAGGCCTAGCCCGAACCATGAAAAACAGCCCCACACCATTATTCCTCCTCCACCAAACTTTACAGTTGGCACTATGCTATGAGGCAGGCTGCGTTCTCCTGGCATCCGCCAAACCCAGATTAGTCCGTCGGACTGCCAGATGGTGAAGCGTGATTCATCCCTCCAGAGAACTCGTTTCCACTGCTCCAGAGTCCAATGGCGGCGAGCTTTACACCACTCCAGTCGACGCTTGGCATTGCACATGGTGATCTTAGGCTTGTGTGCGGCTGCTCGGCCATTTCATTAAGCTCCCAACAAACAGTTACGTTGCTTCCAGAGGCAGTTTGGAACTCAGTAGTGAGTGTTGCAACTGAGGACAGACGATAATGCGCGCTTCAGCACTCGGCGGTCCCGTTCTGTGAGCTTGTGTGGCCTACCACTTCGCGGCTGAGCCGTTGTTGCTCCTAGACGTTTCCACTTCACAATAACAGCACTTACAGTTGACCAGGGTTGAGGTGGCGTCCTATGACGGTGCCACGTTGAAAGTCACTGAGCTCTTCAGTAAGGCCATTCTACTGCCAATGTTTGTCTATGGAGATTGTATGGCTGTGTGCTCCATTTTATACACTTTATACAACGGGTGTGGCTGAAATAGCCGAATCCACAAATTTGAAGGGGTGTCCACATATTTATGTATGTATGTATGTATATATATATATATATATATAGTGGGGGGAAAAAAAAAAAAAAAAAAAAAAAAAAAAGTATTTAGTCATTTTGAGTGAAAACCTCCTTCCATCAGCAAGGGCATTGAAGATGAAACGTGGCTGGGTCTTTCAGCATGACAATGATCCCAAATACACCGCCCGGGCAACGAAGGAGTGGCTTCGTAAGAAGCATTTCAAGGTCCTGGAGTGGCCTAGCCAGTCTCCAGATCTCAACCCCATAGAAAATCTTTGGAGGGAGTTGAAAGTCCGTGTTGCCCAGCGACAGTCCCAAAACATCACTGCTCTAGAGGAGATCTGCATGGAGGAATGGGCCAAAATACCAGCAACAGTGTGTGAAAACCTTGTGAAGACTTACAGAAATGTTTGACCTGTGTCATTGCCAACAAAGGGTATATGAACAAAGTATTGAGAAACTTTTGTTATTGACCAAATACTTATTTTCCACCATAATTTGCAAATAAATTCATAAAAAATCCTACAATGTGATTTTCTGGATTCTTTTTCCTCATTTTGTCTGTCATAGTTGACGTGTACCTATGATGAAAATTACAGGCCTCTCTCATCTTTTTAAGTGGGAGAACTTGCACAATTGGTGGCTGACTAAATACTTTTTTCCCCCACTGTATATATATATATATATATATATATATATATATATATATATATATATATATATATATATATATATATATATATATATATATATAGTGTATTTTTGTGTTAAACCATACTGTGGTAGTTTTATTTGACGATATGTGTTTCCCATTGTATTCATTTTTGAAAACATGGAAAAATGTATGTTGCTTGGGTGCTGAGGTGTATGTGAACGTATGTATACTATGCGTATACTATACTGTTAATGTGTGTGTGTTTGTGTGTGCATGCATACCTGCGTGTGTGTGTGTTTCTGCATGTGTGTGTATGTGCTGCTATATATTCAGTGGGGGAAAAAAGTATTTAGTCAGCCACCAATTGTGCCAGTTCTCCCACTTAAAAAGATGAGAGAGGCCTGTAATTTTCATCATAGGTACACGTCAACTATGACAGACAAATTGAGGAAAAAAAATCCAGAAAATCACATTGTAGGATTTTTAATGAATTTATTTGCAAATTATGGTGGAAAATAAGTATTTGGTCACCTACAAACAAGCAAGATGTCTGGCTCTCACAGACCTGTAACTTCTTCTTTAAGAGGCTCCTCTGTCCTCCACTCGTTACCTGTATTAATGGCACCTGTTTGAACTTGTTATCAGTATAAAAGACACCTGTCCACAACCTCAAACAGTCACACTCCAAACTCCACTATGGCCAAGACCAAAGAGCTGTCAAAGGACACCAGAAACAAAATTGTAGACCTGCACCAGGCTGGGAAGACTGAATCTGCAATAGGTAAGCAGCTTGGTTTGAAGAAATCAACTGTGGGAGCAATTATTAGGAAATGGAAGACATACAAGACCACTGATAATCTCCCTCGATCTGGGGCTCCACGCAAGATCTCACCCCGTGGGGTCAAAATGATCACAAGAACGGTGAGCAAAAATCCCAGAACCACATGGGGGGACCTAGTGAATGACCTGCAGAGAGCTGGGACCAAAGTAACAAAGCCTACCATCAGTAACACACTACGCCGCCAGGGACACAAATCCTGCAGTGCCAGACGTGTCCCCCTGCTTAAGCCAGTACATTTCCAGGCCCGTCTGAAGTTTGCTAGAGTGCATTTGGATGATCCAGAAGAGGATTGGGAGAATGTCATATGGTCAGATGAAACCAAAATATAACTTTTTGGTAAAAACTCAACTCGTCGTGTTTGGAGGACAAAGAATGCTGAGTTGCATCCAAAGAACACCATACCTACTGTGAAGCATGGGGGTGGAAACATCATGCTTTGGGGCTGTTTTTCTGCAAAGGGACCAGGACGACTGATCTGTGTAAAGGAAAGAATGAATGGGGCCATGTATCGTGAGATTTTGCGTGAAAACCTCCTTCCATCAGCAAGGGCATTGAAGATGAAACGTGGCTGGGTCTTTCAGCATGACAATGATCCCAAACACACCGCCCGGGCAACGAAGGAGTGGCTTCGTAAGAAGCATTTCAAGGTCGTGGAGTGGCCTAGCCAGTCTCCAGATCTCAACCCCATAGAAAATCTTTGGAGGGAGTTGAAAGTCTGTGTTGCCCAGCGACAGCCCCAAAACATCACTGCTCTAGAGGAGATCTGCATGGAGGAATGGGCCAAAATACCAGGAACAGTGTGTGAAAACCTTGTGAAGACTTACAGAAAACGTTTGACCTGTGTCATTGCCAACAAAGGGTATATGAACAAAGTATTGAAAAACTTTTGTTATTGACCAAATACTTATTTTCCACCATAATTTGCAAATAAATTCATTAAAAATCCTACAATGTGATTTTCAGGATTTTTTTTTCTCATTTTGTCTGTCATAGTTGACGTGTACCTATGATGAAAATTACAGGCCTCTCTCATCTTTTTATGTGGGAGAACTTGCACAATTGGTGGCTGACTAAATACTTTTTTCCCCCACTGTAAATGTCTCATAAAAGTCCGTCTTTGGTAACACACTCCCTCCCCCTCTCTCTGTGTTTGTTCAGCTCTGGACTGATAATGACTGTGCTTCACTAGACAAAAGACAGTTAGCAGTACAATCCTCACAGCTTGGCACAGCTTCTGTGGAAAACCCCTCTGCTAGTTTGACCTTCATAGGGGTTAGGGATGCTTGTGCTCAGACTCATCTGGCTGGCTGTCAGTCTCAACATCATTCCTAGCTCATGAGTTGTCTCTATAATTTACCTCTCAGCTGTACAGGGCGGCTCCCTCAAGCCTCTCATTGGCTTGCAAAGCACTCAGTCAAACCTCTTGTTCGTAAAAAAATATCCCCCTCATCCAATGAAAGAAAGGCTCAGGGCAGAAGGAGTCCTTCCTTAGTAAGCTAGATTGTGGCATGTCTGAGGGAACCACATGGCCTCTGACTGAGCTGCAGCCCCTCCCCCATTCCCTAACCTCCCCCACGGGAAGTGCTTGTTTCCCAGCATTCAGAAATAACCAGGCAGCAGGTAGCACTGCAACATGAGCACATTCCCTCTAGCAGTGTCTACCGGGCTGGGGGAGTATTCTGCTCTGCTGCTGGAATGCTGTGTGTTTCTGTCTGTGTGTGTCTAGATGGAAAGTGTGCTTTTGTGCTAGTGTTCATGGGTCTTTATAGGTATATGTGTTGAGTTCTTTCCCCTGGTTTTATCTCTGAGAGCTCTTGAGAGAGTGAGTGTCTTGATGCATATATCACCATGCTGTTGCCCTGAGGGCAGTCCATGTCAACACAGTGTTGTGTGGGGGTGTTCTGACATCTGACCACAACACAGTTCCACTGACTGACTAATGCTGTTTTCTTCACATCAGCAATCCCTGTCCTCAATATAGAACTATTACGTAATAGGAGGGAGAATGACTCGATCATCTGCAAAATCATTGGCAAATCTGTAGAAAAGGAATGTGGGTGGAAACAGAGTGATCGGTCATGGGATTTCAGGGGCTTCCAGTAGTGTATCTGATGACATTACAAAGTCATTTTAGTTAAATAACATAGCTTTATTTTTCTAGGATTCATTTAGCCAATTGTAGTGAAGGTATCATATATGACCACAGTGAACAGGTTTGACATTTTCATATCAATTGTATGTTGTGTCTCATTAAGACCTATTATGCTAATTGATGTGATGAGGCTGGAATAATTATGCTTCTGGACTAGTGAGGTAAAATATTTCAAAGACAAATAACCCATTGCTTTCTCTCTCTCAATTAAATTAGTGGATACACATTTCTGTACACATATTACTATGTCATTTGTACATTGTAAATAGTTTGCTGTTAAAGGGGCAATCCTTAGACCTATCCCTCTGGACACAGACCTCAGTTCAACGTACATTTTTTATTTACATTTGGTTGAGTTGTCAACGAACGTGAATTCACCATGACATTGGATTTAGGTAAAAATTTGGGTGAAAAAAAGACGGAATTCCCTTACGTTGATGACTTTTTACAAATCCAATCAGTTTTCCACGATGATTCAATGTCATCACATTTTTATATTTTATTGAAATGATGTGGAAACAACATTGATTCAACCAGTTTTTGCCCAGTGGGATAGATGCAAGGACTGACCTTCCAAGATATCAAAATTATAGTTTTAAGCATGTTTTGAGGCTAAACAGTGTTTGTTTACATTTACAATGTTTACAAACATTGGATTAAAACGAGTTTATATTTTGGGTTCTGATGGGGTTTGACAGTGTTCTTCAAGAATCAATGGGCTCATATATATCATTATACTGTACTGTATATCCTAAGTCCAAAAATGGATGTAGCAACTGCAGATTGCCCCTTTAAACGAATCTCTGCTCCTGTTTATTTTCTCCGCACAGAGGAATATAATGGCCACAGTCATAATAACTCTATAGAGGACGGAGGGACACAGCTACCTGGACACATAGAGGTGAGTCCCATGACCCCATGTTGACCTGCCTGGACCCTGTCCTTTCCCTCAACATGAACATATCCCTGCCCTAGTTGACTTCCCAAGCTCTCTGTGCTGTAATGCAGCAGTGTTCTGCAATGCAACGGGCAAATTCATTGAAAGCAACAACAACAACAACACATCAGATTATTTACATGATAAAGGTTAACGCAATTCTGAAGGTATACTGGATTAGTAGATTCATTTTTGCACTTATGTGCGTATATGGCTGTACGAAATGTATGATTATGTGCTTGTTTTTAGTCTTCCTCCACATGCTTGATCAAACCTCATCCATGATCAATATTGTTGACCAATAGTGAGTGTGTATTGAAAAGAGGTTGTTTTGCATGCCTTTGTCTACCTTGCCTACATTGGAAACAACTGACCTCTTTATACTACTGTTCTCATTGTTCAGTCACAAGACCTCAGTGTCTCTCAGAGAGCTCCTCTCTTTATCAGATTAGCGCTCCCCAGGCAATAAGCACAAACTAAAATGCTACCTACAGAGAGAATATTAGTGTGTCTGTGTCGGTGTTCTCTATCCAGCAGGAATCTGTTGTTCAAGGACGAGGGAACTTGAACACTTTCTCCCTCACTCATATTCAAGCATGCTTTGACACATAAAGGTGGAAGGCCATACATTTCAAATTGTTCTAATATGCTTTCTCCAACTTAATTCTGTTGATGATCATGTGAATTGTATGCTGTATCCACACACTGTTTCCTTCCTCCCTGTTTGTGGGTGTGGGGGCTGATAAACGAAAAGGGGAGGGGCTCTGTTTCTATTCCTGATCACAGTGTGTCCTCCAGAACCAGGATACTGCTTTATATAGGGATCCACCTATGCTTTGTCGCACACAAAGCTAATTGGACTGAAGTGCTTTTCCTCCTAGTCACACGGTGAAACAGACCCCACACAGGCAATCCTTCTTCACAAATTAAGTTCAAAAGATGATGTAGGACCTGGAATCGGTGAACATAATCTTAGCCGATTGGATCCAGGTCCAAGGCTGTGTCGATAAGGTTTTTCCCCCTGTGTCGTCCTGACTGCAGGGCATAGCACTGTACATACTTAGCTATACCCCTCAGGTGGAATAACACCAGGAGTAAACAAACCTAGTTGAGAAACAGCCTTTAACCCACTGTATATACAATCTCCTGAATTTCACAAGCATTTAACTTTTTGACAATGGTGCAGTTTCTCTATACTGAGACTTTCTCCTGCACATGCTTAATATGCTTATAAATCAACTGGAGTGTGGAGTGTTGAACTGAGGGTAGCTGCAACCCTGGCAAACTGGAGAGTGGAGCGTTGAACTGAGGGTAGCTGCAACCCTGGCAAACTGGAGAGTGGAGCGTTGAACTGAGGGTAGCTGCAACCCTGGCAAACTGGAGAGTGGAGCGTTGTGATTGAAGAGTATTGTCAGTGCCAGTTTTGGGGCTTGAATCAAGAAGTGGCTGTATACTGGTCTGGGATGATCTGAGAATATCAAGGATAGGTGTAACGTTATTATAAAAACCAGAAAGTTCATTTCAGGCCCTAGTGCAGTATGTACCTCTTTGCTTGCCATAGTTGAGGGCTAAGTTTAGTATAATGATAGGCATGACTTTTTGCAAGTCACTGGAAGATGTCCAGGATCCACTGCCTCTTAACTCCTATTCAAGTTACATAAGACAAACCACACAAAGAGAGAAGGTCCACACTCATTACAAAAATAAATCTGTTTATTTCATTTTGGGGCGTGTCCTAAACTATATACTAAACTACTACCATGTACTTTTAACGTGCTTTTAACGTACATCGTCACATTCAGTAAACAGATGTTCTCTGTTCATAGGAGGAGGAGAGAAATAGTCTGTGTGTTTTCTGACACTCTTCTCTGTCTGCCCTCCAGACTGACAGACTACAGCAGAACAAAGACACTGTGTTCTTCAGGGACGGGGTTCGCAGGATTGACTTCATACTGTCCTACCTAGATGACAAGGATGGAGAGAAGAAGCAGGTGGGCAGCATAGTGCACCATAATCAACACAGAGACAGAGAGCATTGTGTGGTTACAGAGAGACACATGACAGTTTATAAACACGGACATGACAGCACAGTGCATTAACCTTGGATTGGTCAGGCTTGCTTTGACCACATGACCAGCCTGAATCAGTGTATTAAGAGGAGAAGGTGGCTAATAGGAAGTGGTTGACAAGTTGCCAGTGGTTGAAACTTTGTTGTTGGGGAAATTGACAGAGAGGCAAAGATGTCATGCCACAGACAGACCATGGACAAACCAAGTTTCACTATTGCAAGGCTATGATGCCTGTGCCCTCTAGCTTCTGATTTTGGGACTTTGAGAATGCTGTGACTGGTGCCAGGCATTCTTTCAACAGAGCCTCTACAAGAACAGAATGGATCCTCCCCAGGATAAATGATGAGAGTGAATGGGGAAGTTAGAATACAAGGACGGATGGAAGGATAAAGTGATAGCAGCAATGATAGAAGGGGAGGGAGATACAAGGATAAATGCTTTTCAGCCCTGGTCCTTGCTATTGCGTAAAGTGCATGTGTGTCTGTCTCTGTGTATTTGTACAGGAGAGGAGGAGGGAGTTTGAGGCCAACCTTAAGAAGGCTGGATTGGAGCTTGAGAATGAGGACAAATCGGTGAGTTACCCATCCGTAGCACGCTGGTGTCCTCTAGTGGTCATCATGCAGCAGCACATCACATTACTGCAAAGTGGGGAATATCTCAGCAGAGCTTTCTTAAAGGGGAATTCCACTCCACAGTCTTCTTTCCTCAGTGGTAGAAGGGTGTCTAACATACACAAAACATTAGGAACACCTGCTCTTTCCATGACATAGACTAACCAGGTGAAATCCAGGTGAAAGCTACAATATAAGGAAGGTGTTCCTAATGTTTGGTATACTCGGTGTATGTTTCTATTTGTTTTCTTTGCAACCTTTTAGGTGAAAATGAGTACTATATTCAAATGGAGAATTTAGAAAATTAGTACATTTACTCAATCTTTTAAACGATTCCTCTGTTTTGTGCTTAAATATATGGTCAGTCAAATTGCCTCGCTCTGTCCTCTCTCTCAACTCATTCCTCTTAGGACTCAGATGATCTGAAAACGCACTTCCTGAAGATCCACGCCCCGTGGGAGGTGTTGGCCACCTACGCTGACGTGCTGAAGATCAAGGTTCCCTTTAAGGCCAGTGACATCCCCCACGGACAGGACGTTCCACTGGAGTGGCTCTCCCGACCGTTCCGCCTGCCAGAGAGCGTGATGCGCCCACAGCCTGACTACTTCACCTCTCCATTTGATAAGGACAAGATAGACTTCTTCCTCATCAACAACCGAGACACCTTCTTTCCCCCCTCCACACGCAACAGAATAGTGAGTACAGTATCTTAACACAGAATCCACAGAGACACACACACACACTGATCTGATGTCCCTTCCTGTCAGGTGTACTACATCCTGTCTCGCTGTCCGTACTATAAAGAGGACCGCAAGGAGAGAGACAAGAAAGGTATCAAGCGGTTGCTGAACAACGGGACCTACACCTCAGCCTTCCCACTTCATGATGTAAGAAACACGTGACGCCCTACCTACATCTGCACGTTTACATAAGGACAGTAGATTTAATGTGATGATGTCAGATTTGTTCTAAAACTAGAACTGATTATGCTCCTGTCTCCTATGCTGTCAGTGTCGATACTGGGAGAGGGACACAAATGACCAGTGTGAGAGCGAACGCTACCACCTCTATAAGAATTGGGCTAGGTTCCTCTGTTTCTACAAGGAGCAGCCCCTCAACCTCATCAGGTCAGACAACATCGGCTGGACATCGGTTACATTTCCCCCATGCATAGACGCAATGATCTACAGGGGGGGGGGGCTTTAAACTTACTCTTGAAAGTTGTAATAGTAGAATGCACAAGGTGCAATTTCGAAATTGGATAGTGCATCATCAGTTCCTCTTGTCATGTTAGTCATTGCATACCTTAGAGAGCTATTTATAACTTGTCATAAATGTCCAGATCAACTAACCCATGTCAGCTAATGTTTTTTTATTTAGGTTTTTTAGCCCATAGATATTGTTGTAATAATTGTTGTTACTCAAATATCACATGAATACACATTACACATCGCAAAATGTATAGAATTGCAAGAAAATTAGCTTTAAAACTGCAAAATGTTCTTTGCACCCCATGACAAAATGTGTAGAATTGCATGAAATAACCTGCAACATTCTCTCCCCCAACAAGAGGGGTGTGAACAGTTTATGTCATGAACAGTGCTTGTGCCCATAGAAATAGACATGGCACATGTGCACACGCAGGGGGGACGCAGGATGTTCCCCAATGCTGGAAGGGGGGCCCCGAGTGAAACATGTTGGGAACCCCTGGTCTATAAGACCATGCAAATAATAAGTGTCCCTACTCCCTAATGTCAAATAAGTTGAATTAGCTCTGTATTATTAACAGGAAGTATTATGGGGAGAAGATTGGGATCTACTTTGCCTGGCTGGGCTTCTACACAGAGATGTTGTTCATTGCTGCGGTCATGGGCGTCATATGTTTTACCTACGGTGTGCTAAGCTACGATGACAATTTAACAAGGTTAGTACCACCAGGGGGCAGAAAGGTGCCTTATTTGAAAAATAGGAAAACACTTCATTTGCTGCGTTTAAACAGGCAGCCCAATTCTAATATTTTTCCCGATTATTGGCAGAAGATCTGATCTCATTGGTCAAAATACAAATTATTGGGCTGCCTGTTTAAACACAGCCTTTGAATCATGCCCAAGTGGGCTCTCATAGACACATACATACACACACACACACACACACACCTGATGGTGTGTATTCAATATAATAATAATTATTATGTAAAAAAATATATACATCTTTGTTGTTGCACATCCAACAGTACACTAAATCACACAACTGTGTCAGTCTGTACAGGACATGTTTAATCACGTCATATCAAATGTATTAATGTTCTTTCTCACTTTCTATTCTTCCTCTTTATCTCTCCCACAGTAAGGAGATCTGTGACCCCAGCATTGGAGGGAGTATTGTGATGTGTCCGCTGTGTGATAAGAAGTGTAGTTACTGGAAGCTCAACTCCACGTGCCTCTCATCCTGGGTAAGGGAACATACACAGTTTATTCTGTCATAACGTAATCTTTCCTCAAATGGCTAATCATAACTCTTGATGATTAGCCATTACATCTAATTCTTGATGGCTCCTCACACTTAAAAATAATGTCTGTGTAAATATTATGCATGACTAGCTTATTCTTATATTGTTTAAACCAGCCTGTCAATCAAAGCCTGTGAGATCTCCCATGCTGAGGGTGCAGTATGTCATCTTGCTGTGGCCAAAGCACAGCATGTCATTTTGTCTGGGTGGTTAGGAGCTCATCCTGTGCTGTGTTCCCTCTTCCAGCAATCCCATCTGTTTGATAACGAGGGGACCGTGTTCTTTGCTATGTTTATGGGGATCTGGGGTAAGTGTCTGTCCACTCTGTTGTTGCTCTATTTAACCTGTTGGAGAATTACAGTACATCCCCTGTGAGGGAGACAGACTGTTACTGTTAGAGTTTAATGACCCGCCAATTCCCTGTCGGTTCTGCAGTGACTCTGTTCCTGGAGTTCTGGAAGCGGCGGCAGGCCCAGTTGGAATATGAGTGGGACCTGGTGGATTTCGAGGAGGAGCAGCAGCAGCTCCAGATCCGCCCGGAGTTTGAGACCAGGTGCACTGACCAGAGACTCAACCGGATCACCCAGGTACGGGCTGACAACTTGTTAATACACACTACTTGTAATACTGTGAAAATTCTAAAGTATTCAATGTAAACTACTGACTGGGCTTTCTGTTCTTTGTTACTGTGCAGGAAATGGAGCCATACCTACCCCTCCCCAAAAAGTGTGGTCGCTTTTGCCTCTCCGGGGTTACTGTTCTGTTCTGGGTAAGCCAACATACTACACAAATTCTGTGTGTCTGCAAGCATTTGTTCGCCATTGTGCAGTATACTGGATGTGCATGTGGATTTTGTATTCTCCACAGATACTTCTGATTGTGGCCTGTATAACTGGGGTGATAGTCTACAGGCTGGCTGTGTATGCAGCCTTCGCCAGCATCATGAAGGACAGCCCCACTAAAAAGATCCATCTGGTGGGCTCTCTCATCACCCCGCAGCTTGCTACCTCTGTCACCGCCTCCTTTATCAACTTTGTCATCATTATGATCCTCAACTTCTTCTATGAGCGAGTGGCCATCTGGATCACTGATATGGGTGAGGAGGAGAAGATCGTTATCATGATGATTATCTCAGGAGGAGCAGGAAATGCAGGGAAATGGAACACAGTTGGCACATCAAGTTAAAGTGATGTTTACCCCAAGTCACATTTCCTACTCATTATTTTAAAAACATTTTCTCTCCTATAAATATTCACTGATACCTCAGAAATACGTTGCACCCATTAGTGTATGCCTCTGACCTCCTACTACTTGATTCAACAGAAATTCCCAAGACACATCTGGAGTATGAAAACAAGTTGACAATGAAGATGTTCCTCTTCCAGTTTGTCAACTACTATTCCTCATGTTTCTACGTGGCCTTCTTCAAGGGCAAATTTGTGGGTTACCCTGGCAACTACACTTACATGTTTGGCAAATACAGCAGGCTGAGGAACGAGGAGGTGAGCTTTTTCACATAGCATCTACAGCATATCAACACATCATTCTACTATATGAAACTCACTTTTGAAGAATGAACTACAGTATTTATGTTTTGATGTCAAACCTAACTGTTAAACACCCACTGCAACTTGTCCCAGTGTGACCCAGGAGGCTGTCTGATTGAGCTGACCACCCAGCTGGTGATCATCATGACAGGGAAGCAGCTGTGTGGGAACATCCAGGAGGCCTTACTGCCGTGAGTTACACTGACCTCTCACCAACTTCTGATAGACTGCGAAATGTACCTCGATCACCTTTCAGTTGCATATGTAATCCACCATGGGGTGTGAACCAGCTTGAACTTGTTAAAGATGTACGACATTCAGTATGTAAATTGTACACATGTGCCCTCCTCAGAGTTCAATTTTCTCTCGATCTATGTTGTATCCTGTCAGGCTGCTGAGGAACTGGTGGTGCAGCAGGAAGGCCCGGAAAAACCAGTACAGCCGCTGGGAGCAGGACCACGACCTGCAGAACTTCAGCCAGCTGGGCCTTTTCTATGAGTACCTGGAGATGGGTAAGAAGGCCCCTAACCCACTTCACTCTCTTCCCACAAGAGACTGTGTAGGGCTGTTCATCAACATGCTCTCTTTCTCTCTTTCCCTCCTACTCAATGCAGTAATCCAGTTTGGCTTCATCACTCTGTTTGTGGCCTCTTTCCCCCTGGCCCCCCTGCTGGCCCTCTGTAACAACATCCTGGAGGTCAGAGTGGACGCCTGGAAGTTCACCACCCAGTTCCGCCGGCCTGTGGCGGCCAAGGCCCACAACATCGGAGCCTGGCAGGAGATCCTCAATGTGGTGGCCATCTTGTCCGTTGTCACCAATGTGAGTAGGAGTAAAGCTGGTTGCATCATTGTTGTTATCAAGTGTTCAAATCTATGTCTTTACTGTTGAACAGGCCCATTTTATCATTCATATATACTGTATAATCAGAATACATAAATAAATAGTTAAATGTGTCTCTGATCCCATCTCATGCTCTCTCATCTCCCCAGGCATTCATCATGGCCTTTACTTCAGACATGATCCCCCGCCTGGTCTACCTGTATGCCTACCACCCTGGCTCTGAAGCCACCATGAGTGGCTACATCAACAGCAGCCTGTCAGTGTATGACATCTCCCAGATCCCTCTCCTCAGTACGCCCGAGGATGGGGCGATTCCTGCCTGGTTCAACAGCTCCTTCATCACCACCTGCAGGTGGGTAGAGACCGCAATGCCAGGCCACTCACATGCACATTTTATACACCCTTTGTCTTGACTTCACTTGAAGTCTTGACTATGGAGCTCTGATTGTATTCATCCAGATGTTTACCGAGGACTGCACAGGTCAATGCTTGGGGTTTAGCAGTATTGAATGTAGTTGCTGTGTCCTGACATTGGCCCTATATGTTGTCTCAGGTATCGTGACTACCGCTACCCTCCAGGCCACCAGAGGCAGTACTCCCAAACTATGCAGTTCTGGCACATCCTGGCAGCCAAACTGGCCTTCATCATTATCATGGAGGTAAGCCATCCAAAATATGTCTATCAAACACAGCACATCTCTCCCTTCTAAACCAGCAGGTGCTCTCTACATTACATACAGTATGCTCCAGAGCCCAGTCTTTGCTATCACTGTCTTTCAACATGTTATCATCTGTACTTCATAAGGTGAGTGTGTGATAATGGTATGCTCTGTAAAAACCCTCTTCCTTTCCCATCAGCACGTGGTGTTTGTGGTGAAGTTCTTTGTGGCCTGGCTGATCCCGGATGTGCCGTCCGAGGTGAAGGCTCGGATCAAACGGGAACGTTACCTCATCCAGGAATACCTGCACAGCTACGAGGTTGAGAAGCTCAAGATCCAGCTGAGTCAGAGTTTTATCATTGAACCCAAACCTGAGGTCTGCACTGCCACCGACAAACATGACGTGTTATCTGAGTGCCTGTAGGCCCCCAATCAGTAACTCTCCTCCACTGATGGTAAACAGAAATACAGTAAAGGGCTTCTGTCAGTGGGGCAATCCTATCAACTTTTCTCTTTGTTTTGTTTTGTTGTTTGTTAATTCTCTAATGAGCAGCTAGCAGATTTCAACCTTTTCGCCTATATTAGGACTTGCATTGGAGGCAGGGACGGAATAATTTGATCGATGACCACATCTCGTCACCTTTTCTCAGCCTCCAATGCTGTTGCAATGCAATCTCCTATTGTTCAGCTTGATTCATGTGCTCTGTGAAATTATGTTTCTTGTAAGTGAATCAATCATTCACTGCCAGTGTTGATTGTGATAGGATATTATGGAATCCTACAAAAGTATGTGCCAACTTGTTAAGTGTTCAGTTAAATGCTATTGAGTATTGTATTTATTTAGAAAACCCTCTTAGGCCTCACTCCCCCCTATCTGAGATACCTACTGCAGCCCTCATCCTCCACATACAACACCCGTTCTGCCAGTCACATTCTGTTAAAGGTCCCCAAAGCACACACATCCCTGGGTCGCTCTTCTTTTCAGTTCGCTGCAGCTAGCGACTGGAACAAGCTGCAAAACACACTCAAAGTGGACAGTTTTATCTCCATCTTTTCATTCAAAGACTCTTACTGACAGTTGTGGCTGCTTCGCGTGATGTGTTGTTGTCTCTACCTGCTTACCCTTTGTGCTGTTGTCTGTGCCTAATAATGTTTGTACCATGTTTTGTGCTGTTACCATGTTGTGCTGCTGCCATGTTGTGTTGCTACCATGTTGTTGTCATGTGTTGCTGCCATGCTATGTTGTTGTCTTAGGTCTCTCTTTATGTAGTGTTGTGGTGTCTCTCTTGTCGTGATGTGCGTTTTGTATTTTATTTTTTATTTTTTATCCCAGCCCCCATCCCCACAGGAGGCCTTTTGCCTTTTGGTAGGCCGTCATTGTAAATACGAATTTGTTCTTAACTGACTTGCCTAGTTAAATAAAGGTTAAATAATAGATATATAAATAATAATAATTGTACCAGACAATATACAGCTTCTTGAAAAAATGTAATCTAATGTTCACCTTATCCACAATATCATAATATGTTACTAACATATGTCCAGCAAAGACTGCCAAAGATATCCCATGGCTTTTACCAGCAGCTATGTAATTAATTACCTTCAAAGAAATATGCATGTTTGATAGAATGTAACATATAAAATCTAATTGATTTGCCTTCAAATGTTGGCATGTTATCTGCTTCAATTTGGCTGTAGCTGGGCTACATTAAATGTGATGTGTTTTCATTTCATTACTGTCATGTATTTGAGATATTTTCATTGGAGTCAATGTAAAAACTGTAAATGAAAGCCCCAATGCAGCCGTTTGTATATTAATATCAAATCATTTCTGGGTAACAATTAAGTACCTTACCGTAATTTATTTCCATAAAAATGTGCTAAAATTTCTTTTTAGCAATTAAATATTTTCTCAAGCAAGAATTTTGCTAGGAGTGGTCTGAGTGGGGAGAGGGGAACGGAAAACTAGCTGTTATTGGCAGAGAGGTTTGGAACTCTCTTTATTATTGGTCTATCAACCAATTTACAACATGGTGATGTCACCATGGAAAGCTGAAACTTCCGTCCCATGCAAACCTGATAATTAAAAAGTCCTGTGTAGATTGTATGTTCAACCAGCAACTATTAGGAAATAACACTGATCACATTTTTTCACACTTTTCGAATGTTAGTTTCATCAGCTGTTGTACAATTGCGATATAAACACAGGACAAACAGCATTCTTTAAAAACAGTTTCTCCCAGCTGGGTAATGATAGATAGAGATACTGTAATGGTCCAAGAGGGTAATGCACCCATACATCTACTGTATATATATTGTGTCTGTTAGAGCTATTTCCAATGGATATAATCTACACTCAGTTTGAAATGTTTTGAGTGGCATATTAAGTCATACCAGACAAAATATTAGCCCTGTTTTTGGGGTCGCATTCCTCTTTCTTGTTTAGATTTATGGCGAGATATGCAACTGTATGTGTGATTTCTTCTGGGGTGGGACCAAAATGTGTTTTTGCCTGTGTTACTCGCACATGTATCTATCTGCTCTTTATGTTAACACTTATCAAACTCCTTGTAAGCAGGAAAATCAGATTCCTCAGCCCTGTTAGTCATTACCCACTTAAGTTAAGTTGCTCATTCCTATCAACTTTTTCTGTCACACTCTGTGTCTGTATTCAGTAGCACAATGGGAGGCCTTCTCTTTTTAATTTGGTTTTAGCACAGAGCACTTATATGGGACTGATTTTATTTAGCAAATGAGTCTTTCAGACAGAAAACTCCACTACATTATCAGTGTTTTATGTCAATCATTCCAACATGTCTGGATGGTATCATATTAAAAGGAAAGTTGACTTTAGATTACATGTTTCAAAGCAATTGTTATTCAACTTCAAAAGGGACTGCAGCTTATTGAATCGATTTCAAGTTACTGTAATGTGACTTGTGCAAACAGAGGTGTAAGGAAACATGCATAATTTAAGAACTTGGGTGAACTGTCCCCTTTACAGCAATCAATTCTCACTATTTTATCACAGCCTGTATACACATGAAGAATGTTGGGATATGTACAGTAGTTTTCACATTAATTTCAGTAAACAAACTTCACTTATTATTTAGATTGCTGTACAGATTACATTTATAAAATATAGTTTACTCAATGTAAGATTAGGTCTTATAATGCAGTTAATTCTGTAATTTATTGATCAGATTTTATTTGTAGGCTTTTTCTAGGTTAATCTGTTTTGAGCTAATCTGTTTTGTAAATGTTAATAGCCTCTCATGCTGATGGTGGAAACTATACCCTTGGACAATTTTACTTGGTATACCTTCAACTTCAAAGTCATATGCTAGATCTCTATCTCAGGCTTGTCAATATTCCAGTGGTTGACTAACACCACTCTCAGCCATACAGACAAAATCCCTTGGGAGACTCTTGACTCCTCATGTCCTTCTTGCATGCAGAGTGCAAGCCATAGTACATGACCAGAAGACCAATGCCTTAAATGTCTATGTTTACTTTTTGGGATGTTCTTCAAAAACAATAACTTTCTATTGTTCTATTCCAAATGATGTTTCACAACTCATATTCTTTAATATCATAGTCTGTGTTGTCTAAATATGTTGTGTCTTGCTTGTTTTGCATGAAAGGCCATTGACCTTTTAAACAACATTTTGATAATGTAATAAAATAAAATATTTCAGGATTTTAAATGTGTGCACTCTACAATTACTGTATAACTAAGCAATCTCAAATTCACATTTATTTACAGTTGTTCAAAAACATTGTCAAACAAACATGTATAGAATAGAATAATTCAGGCATGACAAATGTCAGGCATGACAAAAGCAGCCTATTCATATGAGAAATACTTCAAATCTTTGACAAAGAACAGTCAATATCAGGTTTTTTTTTTTAATAAAGTTTATCATCACCAGTGGTGTAAAGTACTTAAGTAAAAATACTTTAAAGTACTAATAAGTCGTTTTTTGGGGTATCTGTACTTTACTTTACTATATATATTTTTTGACTACTTTTACTTTTACTTCGCTACATTCCTAAAGAAAAAATTATACTTTTTACTCCATACATTTTCCCTGACACCCAAAAGTACTCGTTACATTTTGAATGCTTAGCAGGACAGGAAAATGGTCCAATTCATGGACTTATCAAGAGAACACGTGTTCATCCCTGCTGCCTCTGATCTGGCGGACTCATCAAACACAAATGCATCTTTTGTAAATGATGTCTGAGTGTTGGAGTGTACCCCTGGTTATCCGTAAATTTTTTCAACAAGAAAATGGTTGCTGTCTGCTTTGCTTAATATAAGGGATTTGAAATGTTTCATACTTTTAACTTTACTTTTACTTTGATACTTAAGTATATTTAGAACCGAATACTTTTAGACTTCTACTCAAGTAGTATTTTACTGGGTGACTTTCACTTTTACTTTCTATTAAGGTATCTATACTTTTACTCAAGTATGACTTTTGGGTACTTTTTCCACCACTGTTCGTTTGTAAATTATGTCTGAATGTTGGAGTGTACCCCTAGCTATCCATAAATAATAAATAAAATTGTGCCGTCTGGTTTGCTTAATATAAGGAATTTTAAATTATACATACTTTTAATTTTACTTTTGATACTTAAGTATATTTTAGCAATTACATTTATTTTTGATACTTAAGGATATTTAAAACCAAATACTTTTAGACTTTTACTCAAGTAGTATTTTACTGGGTGACTCACTTTTACTTGAATCATTTTATATTAAGGTATCTTTACTTTTACTCAAGTATGACAATTGGGTACTTTTTCCTCCACTGATCATCACGATCTCATCGCAGCCAGTACTGCATGTAAAATGGACCGTACTTCGAGGATGTCTCACTGGCCTAATGCAAAAAACCTGACAGAATTACGCTAAATGCCCGCCAGATGGCGTCAGTGCCTCAATCCATTTATACTGTATTAGCATAAGGTAGTTGCCATCTTTTTTCAGAATCTCCATGTGTCTCTCAAAGGTGTCTGGCTCTCACATTTTATTATTTCACAATGACCCAACTTCAGAATGAATTGTGGTGGAACAGCAAGTCTCAAGAAATAGTCAGAAAACGTGGATTAATTGTTTTTTGACTTATTTGCAACATTGCTCCAATGAATACGCATGGAGTAGCCTCCCTATTATACCCTTCTACCCATTTGATGCTATAGTTACAGTAATGTGTGTGTGTGTGTGTGTGTGTGTGTGTGTGTGTGTGTGTGTGTGTGTGTGTGTGTGTGTGTGTGAGAGAGAGAGAGAGAGAGAGAGCAAGCAGAGAGAGGTGGGTGAAAGTGTATGTGGGGGGATGCCTAAATTATTGATGGATTACTGTTTTCACGAGAGCTCATTCGATGGGAATCCACCCTCATCTGGTTTCCATAGCACCGCCCTCCGGAGGCTAAGACAGTCTTTTATGTAGGCTACATGTAGGCTTCATGCCTGATATAAAAACAAATATTGGGAAAAGTTGTAAAACTGAAACTGACTTGCGTGTGTATGTCACCACACTTTGTAGGGTTATGATTTCCAAATGCAATCAAACCATCTAACCGTCCTTTCTTATTCCAGCCTGAACCACTCCCTAAAACAGTCGACTACAGTGTAACAACAATAGCTTTCAGGACAGTAGGCTATATTGAACATTGCTCTGGTGATCTGACATGGAGATGCTGCGTGCACCACGCGCAGATAGTGTGCAAGAGGCTGTCGCTGACCTTGGTGCTGAACAGCCAGAGGTTCTCACGACGTCAGAAAAGCTGGCGCTCTCCACATGAGACGCGTGAGCCCAGCTCTGTGGTTTACAGAAGCAACTCCACACACCGCTAGTTCCCGCTTCTACTGGTTGTTTTTTGTTTTAAATTATATGGTTATCACCGTAGACGCTTCTAACGTTTTTCTCTTTCGTTCGCTTTAGGAATGATCTGTTGATTTTCATCGCGATGGCATTGCATGCACTTGTACGCGATGCGAACGATGAGTTTATAATGCTGAATGGGGAATCAGAGCTCATCTGATTTCTCTCATATGTAGGCGTTTTTACAGCGATCGACGCGTGATAGGCTACAGATCTTGTCTGCTTTTCTTTTCAAAGAATCAGATACATCGCTTGCTCCACGGGTTTGTTCGGTCACATTGCACCGTAACATGAAGCTTAAACAGTAGACATATTTGAGAAAAACATCACATTTGGATATGGAGTCCGTCAAGATGAGAGCCAAAGAGGGAATGAAGGAATTTGGGGCGAAGACCCTGGGGCAGATGTACAAGTAGGTGTTAAAATGTAGTTTTATATGCAGGTTAGCCCATGTTTAAACATGGGGCTGGTTATGATTTCTGTATTTTCAAGTGATAGGCCTACAATATGGTGGTGTAATATGGTGGTGTAATGGTAGTAGACCACTACTGTACTGTACGTTCCTATCCCATGCCGAGAAGTGTGTTACTTTTATCTCAAACAGCTTGCAGTCATGGTCACGCCTCTAATAGACGTAGTGGGAAAATTCTGCAATTCTGCATAACCTCGTGAAAGCGCAGGAAGGACCTTGATGCATGTGGAAAAAGTCAATAACACATTTATGCATTAAACAGATAGCTGTGAAATGCATTTGCCGTGAACTAGCCTAGGATGTATGCTATTAGATAAAAATCCACGGAGTGTTATCTTCGTTTGGAATTGGCTTGTGACCGGGTCCCTGTAATATTTTAAATATTTTACTGAAAACCTCCTGTAGTTGTGTGAGGGTATCTCTTTATTATTATTATTATTATCTCTTTCATTATTTACGGGATGGGTATCGATTTATTACTAGTAGCCTAAACGTCTAACTGATTTTTCTTGCTAAGTGGCAAGGGCTTCATTCAGACATCTATTCTGATGCTTGTAGTTGTAGCCTACTGTCAATCAATGTATTGTTGAAGCTCTAAATTAATATATTTCGTTTTGGTTTGGATATTCTTTTTTCGATTCATTGTTACTTCCTTCGATAGGCCTATTTGGATTCCAAATCCCATTTTAAACTTAGGCTGTATGAAATAACAGTTACATGTTATTGCGTAAAAAATATGTATTTTTCGTTGGGCATAACGAAATGATCACCTTAATGTAATTCATATAATGACACATTATGGGCAGTAGTTTTGATATTCCAAATGTATATTCTAAACAGGAGTGCTTAATTAGCTATCTTCACTGTTATAGTGCCGTTGTGAATAAGATAGAGAGTTCCTTGTCATTTTATCCTTATGCCAATTTCACATAAAACATTTTAGGTAAAGGCCTAATACTGGAACTGGAGCCTAAGCTTTATTTGGGCTTATTTTTGGTAAACGAATTAATTGTGCATATGGCCATAAATACATTTGAAACCGCTGCATGAATGTTTGCCTGGAGAGATGAGCAACTGCCCAATCCGTGAATGCAAATGAGGGTGAAGGTGAGCGGTTGCTGCAATGCGGTGGACGCATCTTCAGTTGCTTCGTGCTCCAGTGTACGATGCTTTTTTTTGGCATTTGATTAAATTGAACCTGGTTCCGCTAACATACAGCGCTATTTTCTATTAATAGATGTTTAATTACCTTGCTAAAGTAGACTTTTCGTGTAATGAAAAAATCTAAAATATGTTTTAGATCATGTTAGTTGTCATGTTCTGAATCGTGTTGGTTATGATTCATCAAATAGCGCCCCCAGTCGTTGGGGCGAATACACTATTCTCATAAAACAGCGGATTGAATAGGCAAAGATATTTAATGTAGACCTAGATAACCTAATAAAATGATATTTTAGTACGCTATCCGAAGAAGATTTAGTCTCCTTCCTTATTTACTAAAACGTCTACATTTTAAATACTATTATTGGACATGATGCAGGCCATATTTTGAAGGCTACAGGCTATAATATATAGGCCTGTAGGTCTATAATTTAACATAATTACAGGCCTGAATTTTTGCTAAACTAAAATGCCTTTATTATGCATAACAATCAAATATCAAACGTAGGCTAATCTATTAATTTGAGGCTGATCAACCGAGGAAATTGGATGATATTTTGTTTTATTTTTAATCTGGCTGTTTGCAGGGTGATGGAGAAGCGACAGGGAACTGGTGAAGTTATCGAACTAACAGAGGATGGCAGGCCCTCTGAGGCCCAGGAGAAGAAAGCACCCCTGTGCGACTGCACGTGTTTTGGGCTGCCCCGCCGATACATCATCGCCATCATGAGCGGTCTAGGCTTCTGTATCTCCTTCGGCATCCGATGCAATTTGGGCGTGGCCATCGTGGGCATGGTCAACAACAGTACGATACACAAAGATGGGAAGATCATCATCACAGAGGTGTGTGTGGTGCACACTTTACTGACGTCAACACCGTGTCACCGCCCTCCTGCTCCATAATTTGTCGGCCCTAAAAATAGTCCAGATGTTGGAGATCTCTTAATATTCTCACATTTGACCTGACCTTGTATTGCAAAGAAAGAATAAGCAAAGGAACATTACCCTTAATGTATGGGTTTGATAGCGAGATTAATTTTGCTCCATGCTTTTTCAGTGCAGCCATGATAGGTATGCCACAACCAAACTAAACTACTGTATCCCATAATAACACAGCATTTAGCCTGTGTATCCTACACATCGAAATGGTGTACCGGTATATCCCTATTTCCTGTTATGATATGAGAGCCATATACTTTGGTTATTAAGGTTATTATACGGTATTATACGTTTTGTGAGTTATTATATTGAATTACAATGGAATTATGAATGTGAAGAGGATTTATTTTGATGTTTCATCGATTTTTAATGGTTTATTTTATTGTCTTTGTTCTTATTTCACTGGAAAGAAAGCAAAGTTCAACTGGGACCCAGAGACAGTCGGTATGATCCATGGTTCGTTTTTCTGGGGCTATATAGTGACGCAGATCCCGGGAGGGTACATATGCTCGAGACTGGCAGCTAACAGGTAGGCAGGCCTACATTCATATATATATGTATATTTTTTTTTACAAAAGTTCGCTTTCCTTCTCACAGTCTCAAATGGGATTTATTCGTTATTATTCAATTGATTACTAAAATGTATCACCATGAAATGAACGACCCTCAAGAAAAAAAATGAAAATAGGTCTGATTTATTTTAGTCATAAAGAGATGTAACCAATATGTTTGTTCCGATAAACTGTGGTGATGATGATGTGGATGCAGGCTACTGAAGCCTGGATATATTCTCGGTTTTCATCTTGTTATTATCACACCTCTTCCCGTCAGAATAAATTATGTGATAAACGAATTTTCAAACAAAATCTATATTTTAATGGTATGAAAATGTTGCAGACACAATGGCATCCCACAAGGATAGGCTACATTTGGCCGTTTACTTGGACGTTTCAAATCTTTACGACAATTCGGACTTCATTGTGAATGAGAGGGAGGATTTACAGGCCTATATTGCGAGCCAAGGTTTAACAGACAGTAGGTAGGCCTAGTAACCAGTGTGACACTGTGACTGCAATGGAGAAGGCCATTAATGGGGAATTAATTTGGGAGGGAGACGCTCAGTCGCCGACGTTGGCAGGGCCATTGAGATTTGACCGTGTAGCTCCGGTCCACAGGGCTTTCTGCCACCTGTTAATGAGGTCCTCGGGGGGAGCCGTGTCTAATTTGCTGCATTCTGGGGGCATGGCGACCAGCCCGGTCCTCGTCGCCAAAGGCTTACTCACGCTCATATGCACGGTGCACACTAAACATGGCTTATAAATAAGGTTTAGGCCTAGCCTACATGAGACCTGAGCAGCATTTAAATATAGGATATTACAATAGGAAATCTAGGTTTAATTACTATATATTTCAGTGGATATTTGGTCCACTGTTCATAATAGTAGTATCCATAATCATTTGGTGATCGCAATTCATACCCTTAATAGACATGAAGAAAAACAATCCATTTAGCAACATAAAATGTTTTGTTGAGTATATACAATATTATTATTTGTTGAGCAGGCTATTTAAATATGTAAGATATATTCCATTTGTATAATGTATAACATGTTTATTGTCTATATGCTTTCTTGATTGACATTGATGTATGAATCAACCTGTCTCGTGCCAGCGAGTTTCCTCAATCGGATTAGAGGTTGCCCCCCGCGTGCCTGTGGGAGGGGCGGGGTCTCGGGGTGTGTACAAAACGTGACAAAAATTTAAAAAACCATGGTTCGTGTTATTCATTAGGGATTGCCTCCACTGGCTCAGCTGCGCTCAAACCAATGCAGTCTGCTGTCGGCACTCCCTGTCATCACGCTTTAATTTCTTTCTCCAATTTAATTATTGCTATCTAACCTAAATAGAAAAGTTAACGGTGCACTAGCTAATGCTTGACATGAAAAAATCCTAGTCTTGAATATTGTAATTATGCAAGAAAATTATATATATTTTGGACGTAAGATTGGCAATTTGATTAGAAGAATAAAACCAACCGGCCGAATATAGGCCTTATATAACCGTTAGAAAAAGGGATAGAGAAATTATATTGAATAGCCTATTCGAATAGGACTAAGTCAATTTTTGATAGTAAGCCAGTAACCGAGTGTGGACTGTGATATGTTCGATGGGTCCCTGCTGAATATAACCAGAATGGCCATAAAAAAATCAGCGATTAATAAATTAAACATGAAGTCAATGAGAGGCCTAGGCCTATGCTATTTCTGTTTCCCGCTTTGAATAATAAATTGGGCAAAACATGAATAAACCTAAAATAAATCGCTAGGTCTACTGGATACATTGTTTATGAACATTATCTATAGGCCTACGACATACTATATATGCATGTTTTCATATTTTTATTTCTTTTAGGGTTTTCGGTCTAGCCATTTTCCTTACCTCGACGCTCAATATGTTAATCCCCTCTGCGGCGCGGACGCATTATGGACTGGTCATCTTTGTGAGGATATTGCAAGGGCTGGTGGAGGTAAGGGCTTCTTTAATTAAAAAGTCACATTTCTGGAGAGCTCTTTTTGATATGCAAATTGTAATAGAACCTGTGTAGGCCTATCCTGTCAATAGCACCGTTTTCGAAAATAGCCAGTTTTCCTTTGTGGCATTTCGATTATGATTAGGCTACAGTATATCAGAGGCAATGGAATAGAGTCAGTACAACAGCCAGAATGCACCCTGGGGAAATGTGAGACTGTTGTATTGATCTGCAGCTGGGTTATTTGTTGTGGGAGAGTCCTCTCCTCTATGTCTGTTATAAAAAGATGTTCTGCTTTTTTGACACAAAAATTAACTGTCCTAGTTGCCCCATCTTGATTACTGTCCAGTAATATGGTCAAGTACAGCAAAGAAAGACCTAGCAAAGCTGCAGCTGGCTCAAAACAGAGCAGCACACCTTGCCCTTAACTGCACATACACAACTAACATCAACAACATGCATGCCAGTCTTTCCTAGTTGACAGTTGACGAGAGATTAACTGCTTGTCTTCTAGTTTTTATGAGAAATATTACGGTGATGAAAATTCCAGATTGTCTGCATAATCAAATAACATACAGCTCAGACACCCATACATACCCCACAAGACATGCCACCAGGGGTCTCTTCACAGTCCCCAAGTCCTAAACGAATTGAAGGCAATGCACAGTATTATCCTGAGCCATGATCCCTTCCATCTCCAATTACTCAAGCAAACACCAAAATTACCTTTAAATAAATGGATAAAACAACATCTCATGGCACAGTAGGGACTGTGAAATGACACACACACACACACACACACACACACTCTAACACGCACATTATTATTTAGTTGTATTGTTTGTATATCGTTGTATTTTACATTTGTGTGCCTGTTCTTGTCTATCAGTGTATCAGTGTTTTCCCACTGGGCACAGACGTCAATTCAACATCTATTCCACATTGGTTCAACGTGATTTAATTGAAATGACGTGGAAACAACGTTGATTCAACCAGTGTGTGCCCGGTGGGTTGTTACTTGTCATGTTTTATGTTTTTGTGTGGACCCCAGGAAGAATAGCTGCTGCTTCGGCAAAAGCTAATAGGGATCAGAATAAACCAATAAACTTGTTGAAACATATCTGCTCTGCTCTCTGGTAGTAACACCACAGTTAAGAAAATGCTGGTCTAGCCAGAATCAGATTCCCAAAGACAATGTGCTGATACATCAGCAGCTCATAAATCCACTGTCCAGTAGGCATAGTGAAACATGAGATGTTGGCAGCTGCTGCCTTGTATAGTAAAACATGATGCCGTGTTGATACTGAAGGGCAGGCTACAACACATCCAGCTAAACCGACACACCATCCTGGCAGCAGAGCCAACCATTGAGAATCATTTTGAACACCATAGATGGAATTTTAGAATAATACTTTATTGTCCATTATCTTGCAGAGAATGGAAATGTGTATTTATGCTCACAGCCCTGACTCATTACTAACTACTTTCAATGCAATAATTATTTTAAAATAATTGGCTATAGGCTGCATTGGCTGTGAGTAATATACATAGGGTTCAGATGAATGTCTTGTGATAATGAATGGTGTAATTCAATAACAACAGCACATCTACATGTTTGGCATTGATGGCTGAGGTGAAACTGGGCCAGTAGCTCCCAACTGGGTACACATTGGTTGAATCAACGTTGTTTCCACGTCATTTCAATGAAATTACGTTGAACCAACGTGGAATAGACATTGAATTCACATCTGTGCCCAGTGCCCACGTCTGTCTCTTGATTTGAATGAGCCATCAGGTGACAAAGGCTAATCTGGTTATGTCTTGTTTTTGTCTCTGTAAGGAAAGGCTTCAGTGTTTTGGATATATTCAGTAAATTGTGCACAATGAATTAAGTTGGGAGTGGTATACATTCCATGTGCATACAGGAGGACCTAAAAGTGATCCATACACTGTATAGTGATCTCAGATCAGTTCAGTGGATAGCTAGGAGAAATCTCCTCCTAGCATGTCCATGCAGATTGCATTTTCCAATAGCACACTCTGTTCCAATTAGCAGCTAATTAACATTTAATGGCAGCAGCATTGTCAGTGTTATGAGAGGCTCATCAGTTAGCTCAGCGCACTGCGTCTCTTATTAATGTTAATCAAAAAGGCAATGAAAAGAGAATGTTGGTTTTTGTTTGTGATCATATTTGATTTACAACCATGCCAGCTCATATCTGGTAGGATCTCCTCAAGTGATTGTCAGCTCAGTGTAGGCCAATCTATTATTAGTATGTCTTATGTTTACAATTTGTCCCATTATTCTGTGACAATCTATGTTTGAAACCATCTATTTGTATCACACAGTTTCCTACATTAGTCTTTAAAATGGTTCTGTGCAACCTCGTGTTTTTTATTTAAAAAATGTTATATGTATTAATCAGTTGAGCCAAAATGGGGGAAGTATTTGAAGGACATGTGAAGAAAGATTAGAAGACAAGGTTAAGATGACAAATGAATGTTGCATTTACTTAATGAAACCCATAGTGGGTACAGTAACACATTACACTATATCTCAGCTATCTCGTTAAGGGCGATAGACTGTAATAAGGCTCAAGATTTAAGGCCTGCCCACTGGGCACACACTGGTTGAATCAACGTTGTTTCCATGTAATTTGAACCAACGTGGACTAGATGTTGAATTGATGTCTGTGCTCAGTGCATGGTTATTTCATGTTCATAAATGTTGTATTTTACCTAATGAAACCCATAGCGGGTGGTAACTGTAACAAAAGGCTTACCAGTTTAAGAGATGACATGTTATCCCAGGAAAGGTAGCCTAACGGTTACAGTGTTGGGCCAGTAACCGATAGGTCGCTGGTTCGAATACCTGAGCTGACAAGGTGTCGATGTGCCCTTGTGCAAGGCACTTAACCCTAATTTGCTCCAGGGGCGCCGTACTACTATGACCCTGTAAAACAACACATTTCACTGCAGTTATATGTGACAAATAAAACATTATTCTTATTTTTTAATTAGATGTTTTAACCCATTGTGTGTTGTAACTGTAAAAAGTCTATGCTTAGCTTTACCCCAGGATATCCATTATTAAGGGTGGTAACTATAGAAACAAGGTAGCTTTGTTCACGTCAAGGGAATTTAGCAGAACAAGGTTGCTATATTCACATCAGGGGAATTTAACGAAAAGTGTCAACCTATTTGCAATGCACCTCCTTGTTATTGCATTTCCATTTTAGTGTTTTGCACTTGCATTCAATAGTGTCTATGAATCACATGATTATGAAGGCATAAATGTAAGAAAGCGTGTATACTTAAAATGGATGTAGTTCTGTCCTTGTGATGTACTTGTGTACATGTATTATGTCATGTTTTATGTTTTGTGTTTACCCCAGGAAGAGTAGCTGCTGCTTTAGCAGTAGCTAATGGGGATCCTAATAAAATGCTAAAAACTAAGTGTTAAGCAGTGTCGCTAGAATCCATTACTATTGCCATAAGGAGCAGGATCATCAGAATTTTCTGGCCATCTTATTAATTATAACTTCATAATAATAGCAGCAGTATTATTTATTTATTTAGTTTAAACCAGTTACCTACTCTTAGTTGCTCATGGTTCTGTGGTGTGTGTGACCTACCCAGGGAGTGACCTACCCAGCCTGCCATGGGATCTGGAGTAAGTGGGCTCCCCCTCTGGAGAGGAGTCGCCTGGCTACCACCTCCTTCTGTGGTAAATATTATTTTCAATAGTATCTTATCTTACCTGTCACACTATGGTAGTGAAGCAAGAGGTACAGTAGTTGTACTGCTGACTATTTAGATGTCCTTTTTCCTTCTTCTCTTACCCCTCTCTACCATTTCCTCTTGCAGGTTCCTATGCTGGTGCTGTCATAGCCATGCCTCTAGCAGGGATCCTGGTGCAGTACTCAGGCTGGTCCTCTGTATTCTATCTCTATGGTATGATAGAGTTCCATGCCGATGTTATAGCTTCCAAATGGAAAAAGCATGAGCTGATGCACACCCATCCTGAAGAAGGCACTGCGTGCCAAAACGTTGGTTAGGTTTACCGATTCAATTGTTGGGAGCATATATAGAGTTTTCAACTTCTTTCTTTCTTTTTATATAGCTTCCAATCTTTTCTAAATTATTTTTTTAAAATCTTCATCACATTTTAACCAACAACCTATTTGAAAATATGTTGAGTATAGTACATCATCTTCAGGAGATTTTAAAGCTAGTTGCTGATGCTTTCAGACGTCCAGACCATTGATTTCTCCCCAATGTTTTGGTGTGTCTGTTCTCCAATAATTTTCCATCTCTCCCTGGACTAGATGAATTTGGCCTTTCTGTCTGGGGTTTAGTCTTTGGGGGATTTCTGAAAGATCAGGCTGCCTGTTAAGAATTTCATGTTTTCATATAGGCCAATCTAAGCTTTTCACGTGTCCACATACAACAATGACACGATTAATACACATTTATAATAGGGTTTCTGTAGCTTTGTGCTTGGACCCCTAATGACTGGAATAGTTACATAATCCACAACCCATATTTTATTTATCCTGTGTAACAATCTCAATATCACTGTGCAGGGTGCTTTGGGATCTTCTGGTATATGTTCTGGATCCTGGTGTCGTATGAAAGTCCTGCTGTGCACCCTACCATCACCCAGGAGGAACGTGTCTACATAGAGGAGAGCATCGGGGAGAGTGCCAAGCTCATGGGCCCTGCTGAGGTGAGGGACAGGGCTTGAGGTTGGTTGAATAAAAGTTGTTTGAAGGGTTTCAAACAACTTTCACTCAACTAACCTCATGCCCTGCTTCTCTGTTTCAGTGAAATAATCAAAATCAGTGTGAAAATTTGACAAAGTTTTATAGTAGGCCAATATATTTTCTGAGTGATATTAGAACAGAGTTCTCAAAGTCTTCAAAGTCCACTTCTCCTCAAATCAATTCCTATGGTATTAAATTGGGAGATGGTGCTATACCCCACTTTCTACTTAGGCGTGTTTTGATCTCTGCTCGCCTGAGGCCTCATGTATGAACCGCTAGTAAGTACAAAATATACCCCTAAATGCGCATGCGCCAGTTTCACACCCAAAAAAGTTGACATTAATAAAAATCTAACTTGTGAGAATGTGCTCACCTCCCTGCAAACTTTAGACCATGCGTATGCGCATCTCTGCTAGTGGAGTGAAAATCTATGTGTTTTATTTGTTTAATCTAACATATAGACATAGGAATCAGTTTCCTATTTATTTTATTTTCATATCCATTGCAGAATAAATTCCTCACCTTATCTAGCCGTGATGGGTTCATATTCCTGAAGTAGCCATACAACAAATTACCATGCGCATCTCTCATTGAATTGGACTTAGTAGCCTACCAAAAAGATAGGCTATACAGTGCATTCGGAATGTATTCAGACCCCTTGACTTTTTCCACATTTTGTTACGTTACAGCCTTAATCTAAAATGGATGAAATTCTATTTTTTCCTCATCAATCTACACACAATACCCCATAATGACAAAGCAAAAACAGATTTCTATAATTTATTGCACATTTATTAAAAATTAAAAATTGTAATATCACATTTACATAAGTATTCAGACCCTTTACTCAGTACTTTGTTGAACCACTTTTGGCAGCGATTACAGCCTTGAGTCTTCTTGAGTATGACGCTACAAGCTTGGTAAACCTGTATTTGGGGAGTTTCTCCCATTCTTCTCTGCAGATCCTCTCAAGCGCTGTCAGGTTGGATGGGGAGCGTCGCTGCACAGCTATTTTCAGGTCTCTCCAGAGATGTTCGATCGGGTTCAAGTCCGAGCTCTGGCCGGGCCACTCAAGGACATTCAGAGACTTGTCCCGAAGCCACTCCTGCGTTGTCTTGGCTGTGTGCTTAGGGTTGTTGTCCTTGTTGGAAGGTGAACCTTTGCTCCAGTCTGAGGTCCTGAGCGCTCTGGAGTAGGTTTTCAATAAGGATCTCTATGTACTTTGCTCTGTTCATCTTTCCCTCTATCCTGACTAGTCTCCCAGTCCCTGATGCTGAAAAACACCCCCACAGCACGATGCTGCCACCACCATGCTTCACTGTAGGGATGGTGCCAGGTTTCCTCCAGACGTCACGCTTGGCATTCAGACCAAAGAGTTCAATCTTGGTTTCATCAGACCAGATAATCTTTTTTCTCATGGTCTGAGAGTCATTTAGGTGCCTTTTGGCAAACTCCAAGCGGGCTGTCATGTGCCTTTTACTGAGGAGTGGCTTCCGTCTGGCCACTCTACCATAAAGGCCTGATTGGTGGAGTGCTGCAGAGATGGTTGTCCTTCTGGAAGGTTCTCCCATCTCCACAGAGGAACTCTGGAGCTCTGTCAGAGTGACCATTGGGTTTTTGGTCACCTCCCTGACCAAGGCCCTTCTCCCCTGATTTCTCAGTTTGGCCAGGCGGCCAGCTCTAGGAAGAGTCTTGGTGGTTCCAAACATCTTCCATTTAAGAATGATGGAGGCCACTGTGTTCTTGGGAACCTTCAATGCTGCAGACATTTTTTGGTACCCTTCCTCAGATCTGTGCCTCAACACAATCCTGTCTCGGAGCTCTCCGGACAATTCCTTCGACCTCATGGCTTGGTTTTTGCTCTGACATGCACTGTCAACTGTGGGACCTTATATTGACAGGTGTGTGCCTTTCCAAATCATGGAAACAGGATGCACCTGAGCTCAATTTCGAGTCTCATAGCAAAGGGTCTGAATACTTATGTAAATAAGGTATTTCTGTTTTTTATTTTGTATACATTTGCAAAAAATTATGGGCAATTCTGTGTAGATTGATGAGGGAAAAAATAATGTAATTTTAGAACAAGGCTGTAACGTAACAAAATGTGGAAAAAGGGAAGGGGTCTGAATACTTTTTGAATGCACTGTATATATTTCAAGTTTTGTAATCCCATTGGCATCACGGTTTATAATATATAGTCGAAAGTTGATATTTTACATTGAAGTACACAACATGGTCTCAGGGCAATCTCTGACACTGACACTATTTACAATGGTATGTTACGTTACATTAGCCTCCTATTTTCTTTTTTACATAACATAACAAGTGTTTGGGGTGAAAGAAAATATACAGTGGGGAGAACAAGTATTTGATACACTGCCGATTTTGCAGGTTTTCCTACTTACAAAGCATGTAGAGGTCTGTAATTTTTATCATAGGTACACTTCAACTGTGAGAGACGGAATCTAAAACAAAATTCCAGAAAATCACATTGTATGATTTTTAAGTAATTAATTTGCATTTTATTGCATGACATAAGTATTTGATACATCAGAAAAGCAGAACTTAATATTTGGTACATAAACCTTTGTTTGCAATTACAGAGATCATAGGTTTCCTGTAGGTCTTGACCAGGTTTGCACACACTGCAGCAGGGATTTTGGCCCACTCCTCCATACAGACCTTCTCCAGATCCTTCAGGTTTCGAGGCTGTCGCTGGGCAATACGGACTTTCAGCTCCCTCCAAAGATTTTCTATTGGGTTCAGGTCTGGAGACTGGCTAGGCCACTCCAGACCCTGAGATGCTTCTTACGGAGCCACTCCTTAGTTGCCCTGGCTGTGTGTTTCGGGTCGTTGTCATGCTGGAAGACCCAGCCACGACCCATCTTCAATGCTCTTACTGAGGGAAGGAGGTTGTTGGCCAAGATCTCGCGATACATGGCCCCATCCATCCTCCCCTCAATACGGTGCAGTCGTCCTGTCCCCTTTGCAGAAAAACATCCCCAAAGAATGATGTTTCCACCTCCATGCTTCATGGTTGGGATGGTGTTCTTGGGGTTGTACTCATCCTTTTTCTTCCTCCAAACACGGCGAGTGGAGTTTAGACCAAAAAGCTCTATTTTTGTCTCATCAGACCACATGACCTTCTCCCATTCCTCCTCTGGATCATCCAGATGGTCATTGGAAAACTTCAGACAGGCCTGGACATGTGCTGGCTTGAGCAGGGGGACCTTGCGTGCGCTGCAGGATTTTAATCCATGATGGCGTAGTGTGTTACTAATGGTTTTCTTTGAGACTGTGGTCCCAGCTCTCTTCAGGTCATTGACCAGGTCCTGCCGTGTAGTTCTGGGCTGATCCCTCACCTTCCTCATGATCATTGATGCCCCACGAGGTGAGATCTTGCATGGAGCCCCAGACCGAGGGTGATTGACCGTCATCTTGAACTTCTTCCATTTTCTAATAATTGTGCCAACAGTTGTTGCCTTCTCACCAAGCTGCTTGCCTATTGTCCTGTAGCCCATCCCAGCCTTGTGCAGGTCTACAATTTTATCCCTGATGTCCTTACACAGCTCTCTGGTCTTGGCCATTGTGGAGAGGTTGGAGTCTGTTTGATTGAGTGTGTGGACAGGTGTCTTTTATACAGGTAACGAGTTCAAACAGGTGCAGTTAGTACAGGTAATGAGTGGAGAACAGGAGGGCTTCTTAAAGAAAAACTAACAGGTCTATGAGAGCCGGAATTCTTACTGGTTGGTAGGTGATCAAATACATATGTCATGCAATAAAATGCAAATGAATTACTTAAAAATCATACAATGTGATTTTCTGGATTTTTGTTTTAGATTCCTTCTCTCACAGTTGAAGTGTACCTATGATAAAAATTACAGACCTCTACATGCTTTGTAAGTAGGAAAACCTGCAAAATCGGCAGTGTATCAAATACTTGTTCTCCCCACTGTATATGTATTTTTTTAATATGGTTATTTATCTTTTATTGTAAGTGTGCAATTTGTCCTCTGTAGTGGTCATTAGGATGTAAATATGAACAAATGGGGAAAAACATAGTTGCATCTGGGTGTCCACTACATTTCTTGATAAGCTCTTATTTATAAAAAAAATATTACAACTCACTTAACTATTCCTGAGAAATTAACTTACTAGAAACAATTTGAAAATCAAACTCACAAAAAAAGATAATTAATAATTACACACACTTCTTTTCAATATCAATATCAATAAAATGTGATAATTTTGACAGCAGCCATTTTCTTTACTCTATATATTTTTTATACCCCAATTGGTAGTTACAGTCTTGTCCCATCACTGCAACTCCCGTACGGACTCGGTAGAGGTCGAGAGCCACTGCTTCTTGACATACTGCTCGCTTAATCCGGAAGCCAGTCCACACCAATGTGTCTGAGAAACATCATACAACTGGTGACCGCGTCAGCGTGCATGCACCTTGCCCGCCACAGGAGTACTAGAGCGCGATGGGACAAGGACATCCCGGCCAGCCAAACCCTCCCCTAACCCGGACGACGCTGGGCCAATTGTGCGTCACCTCATGGGTTCTCCCGGTCGCGGCCGGCTGTGACACAGCCTGGGATCGAACCCGGATCTATAGTGATGCCTCAAGCACTGCAGTGCCTTAGACCGCTGCACCACTCGGGAGGCCTTATGTAAAATATTTTGATAGTATGGGTAGGCTACAGTATTGCTGTGTGATAGGAGCGTAACATCATAGCCTATTTAATCTTGGAAAGCATTCAGACGCCTTGACTTTTCCAAATTTTGTTACGTTACAGCCTTATTCTAAAATTGATTACAAAAACAAATCCTCATTAATCTACACATAATAACCTATAATGACAAAATGAAAACAGGTTTATCGAAATTTTTGCACGTATTAAAAATAAAAAACTGAAATACCTTATTTACATAAGTATTCAGACCCTTTCCTATGAGACTCGAAATTGAGCTCAGGTGCATCCTGTTTCCATTGATCATCCTTGAGATGTTTCTACAACTTGATAGGAGTGTACCTGTGGTCAATTCAATTGATTGGACATGATTTGGAATGGCACACACCTGTCTATATAAGGTCCCACAGTTGACAGTGCCTGTCAGAGCAAAAACCAAGCCATGAGGTTGAAGGAATTGTCCGGAGAGTTCTGAGACAGGATTGTGTCGAGGCACCGATCTGGGGAAGGGTACCAAAAAATGTCTGCAGCATTGAAAGTCCCCAAGAACAGAGTGGCCTCCATCATTCTTAAATGGAAGAAGTTTGGAACCACCAAGACTCTTCCTAGAGCTGGCCGCCCAGCCAAACTGAGCAATCGGGGAGAAAGGACTTGGTCAGGGAGGTGACCATGAACCCAATGATCACTCTGACAGAGCTCCAGAGTTTCTTTGTAGAGATGGGAGAACCTTCCAGAAGGACAATCATCTCTGCAGCACTCCACCAATCAAGCCTTTATGGTAGAATGGCCAGACTGAAGCCAATCCTCAGTAAAAGGCACATGACAGCCCGCTTGGAGTTTGCCAAAAGGACACCTGAAGACTCTCAGACCATGAGAAACAAGATTATCTGGCCTGATGAAACCAAGATTGAACTCTTTGGCCTGAATGCCAAGCGTGACGTCTGGAGGAAAACTGGGACCATCCCTACGGTGAAGCATGGTGGTGGTAGCATCATGCTGTGGGGATGTTTTTCAGCGGCAGGGACTGGGAGACTAGTCAGGATCGAGGGAAAGATGAACGGAGCAAAGTACAGAAAGATCCTTGATGAAAACCTGCACCAGAACGCTCAGGACCTCAGACTGGAGCGAAGGTTCACCTTCCAACAGGACAACGACCCTAAGCACACAGCCAAGACAACACAGGAGTGGCTTCGGGACAAGTCTCTGAATGTCCTTGAGTGGCCCAGCCAGAGCCCAGACTTGAACCAGATCGAATCTTTGGAGAGACCTGAAAATAGCTGTGCAGTGACGCTCCCCATCCAACCTGACAGAGCTTGAGAGGATCTGCAGAGAAGAATGGGAGAAACTCCCCAAATGCATGTGTGCCAAGCATGTAGCGTCATACCCAAGAAGACTTGAGGCTGTAATCGCTGCCAAAGATGCTTCAACAAAGTACTGAGTGAAGGGTCTGAATACTTATTTAAATGTAATATTTCTGTTTTTTTATTTGTAATATATTTGCAAAAATGTCTAAAAACCTGTTTTTGCTTTGTCATTAAAAAACTTTTAAATCCATTTTAGAATAAGGATGTAACGTAACAAAATGTGGAAAAAGTCAAGGAGTCTGAATACTTTCCAAAACCCAATAATCTATTGATAAACTAAATATTGAACAACAATTCATATTTTGCATAGAAGTGTGGGCTGTAGAATTTAGCCTACTTTTAAATTGTTTCAAATATACAATCAATCTTGCAGAATATGCGGACAGGCACTCTCTATAGACTGCATGCATGTTGTGTTTCTCTCTTTCTCACCACTGCTACCCTTTCACCGGTAACTCATGTATTTTCCTCCCTTTTGCTCCATCGTAGAAATTTAAGACCCCCTGGAAAAAGTTCTTCACCTCCATGCCTGTCTATGCAATCATCGTGGCCAACTTCTGCAGAAGCTGGACCTTCTACCTACTGCTTATCAGTCAGCCGGCTTACTTCGAGGAGGTGTTTGGGTTTGAGATAAGCAAGGTGAGACCAGTGGAGCGTTCCCAGGATAGGGCACCAGCCTAAACAAACAGGGTTGCTGGGGAATGGTACTCAAGGCCTAGGTGAGGGATGTGTGAAAATGTTGTGCTAGGCTCTAACTGACTTAAATACCTTTTAATACCTCTATGTTGATGTTGATTGCAACTGTTCCTGTCCTCAGGTTGGCATGGTGTCTGCCCTGCCCCACTTGGTGATGACAATCATTGTGCCCATCGGAGGGCAGTTGGCTGACTACCTACGCAGCAGGAACATTCTGTCTACCACTACAGTCAGGAAGATCATGAACTGTGGAGGTGAGAGAGCCCCTTCAGCACATCATGCACAATTACAGTTGAAGTCGGAGGTTTACATACACCTTAGCCAAATACATTTAAACTCAGTTTTTCACAATTCCTGACATTTAATCCTAGTAAAAATGCCCTGTCTTAGGTCAGTTAGGATTACCACTTTATTTTAAGAATGTGAAATGTCAGAATAATAGTAGAGAGAATGATTCATTTCAGCTTTTATTTCTTTCATCACATTCCCAGTGGATCAGAAGTTTGCATACACTCAATTAGTATTTGGTACCATTGCCTTTAAATTGTTTAACTTGGGTCAAACGTTTTGGGTAGCTTTCCACAAGCTTCCCACAATAAGTTGGGTGAATTTTGGCCCATTCCTCCTGACAGAGCTGGTGTAACTGAGTCAGGTTTGTAGGCCTCTGTCACGGTCGTCGAGGAGTGAAGGAGACCAAGGCGCAGCGTGTGAAACGAACATGGTACTTTATTTAGTTAAAGCACAAAAAACAAGAAACACGACTAGTGAAGTCCACAGTCAACCTGACTGAAAACGGAAACAATAACCCACAATGCCCACAGGAAAACATGCAGTATAAATATGGCTCCCAATCAGAGATAACGAGCCGACAGCTGACACTCGTTACCTCCGATTGGGAGTCAATGACCAAACCTAGAAATAAACGTGACAGAAATGCAAACATAGAAAATCACCCAAAACCCAACAAAACACAATACACCCTGGCTCAAATACAAAAGTCCCGGAGCCAGAGTGTTACAGTACCCCCCCCTAAAGGTGCGCACTCCGGGCGCACCAGCATACAGTCTCGGGGAGGGTCTGGGTGGGCGTCTGTCCACGGTGGCGGTTCTGGCCCTGGTCGTGGTCCCCACCCCACCTTAGTCACCACCCGCTTCCCTAGCCTCCTCCACATGACCACCCCCCAATTAAACCCCACTGGATTAAGGGGCGGCACCGGACTAAGGGACAGTACCTGACTAAGGGGCGGATCCTGGCTGGCTGGCTCTGGCGGATCCTGGCTGGACGGCTCATGGCAGGCTGAAGGATCTGGCTGCTCATGGCTGGCTGACGGATCTGGCTGCTCATGGCTGGCTGACGGATCTGGCTGCTCATGGCTGGCCGACGGATCTGGCTGCTCATGGCTGGCCGACGGATCTGGCTGCTCATGGCTGGCCGACGGATCTGGCTGCTCATGGCTGGCGGAAGGCTCTGGCTGATCCTGTCTGGCGGAAGGCTCTGGCTGATCCTGTCTGGCAGAAGGCTCTGGCTGATCCTGTCTGGCAGAAGGCTCTGGCTGATCCTGTCTGGCAGAAGGCTCTGGCTGATCCTGTCTGGCGGAAGGCTCTAGCGGCTCTGGTCTGGCGGACGGCTCTGATGGCTCATGGCAGACGGGCGGCTTTGCAGGCTTTAGGCAGACGGGCAGTTCAGGCCCCGTTGGGCAGACGGCAGACTCTGGCCGTCTGAGGCGCACCGTAGACTTAGTGCGGGTGGCCGGAACAGGCCGGACCGGGCTGGCGACGCGCACCGTAGTCTTGGTGCGGGTGGCAGGAACAGGCCGGGTCGGGCTGGCGACGCGCACCGTAGTCTTGGTGCGGGTGGCAGGAACAGGCCGGGTCGGGCTGGCGACGCGCACCGTAGTCTTGGTGCGGGTGGCAGGAACAGGCCGGACCGGGCTGGCGACGCGCACCGTAGACTTGGTGCGGGTGGCAGGAACAGGCCGGACCGGGCTGGCGACGCACACCGTAGACCTGGTGCGGGTGGCAGGAACAGGCCGGACCGGGCTGGCGACGCGCACCGTAGACTTGGTGCGGGTGGCAGGAACAGGCCGGACCGGGCTGGCGACGCACACCGTAGACCTGGTGCGGGTGGCAGGAACAGGCCGGACCGGGCTGTGGAGACGGATAGGAGGCCTGGAGCGAACAGCGGACACCACCCGTCCTGGCTGAATGCCTACCCTCACACACTCTGTGTGAGGCATCAGCACAGGACGTACAGGGCGGTGTACCCCTGGCCTGGTGGCCTCCTGGATACTCCCCCTTTTCTCCTCCGTCAGCCCCGTCGTCCATGCCGTGTGCCCCCCCCTAAAAATTTTCTGGGGTTGACACACGACCCTCCGACGATGGCCCTGCTGCCGCCGTTGCTCCTCTCTCGCCAGGGCCTTGATCCTTCCCCAAGGTCCCTTGCCTCCGAGCATGTCCTCCCAGGACCACGATGTGCCCACCTGGGCCATCGCCAGCCTCTCCATCTCCTTGCCCGGTGCCTCCTCCCATGTCCAGTCTCCCTGCTCCTGGACACGCTGCTTGGTCTTTCTTTGGTGGGTTATTCTGTCACGGTCGTCGAGGAGTGAAGGAGACCAAGGCGCAGCGTGTGAAACGAACATGGTACTTTATTTAGTTAAAGCACAAAAAACAAGAAACACGACTAGTGAAGTCCACAGTCAACCTGACTGAAAACGGAAACAATAACCCACAATGCCCACAGGAAAACATGCAGTATAAATATGGCTCCCAATCAGAGATAACGAGCCGACAGCTGACACTCGTTACCTCCGATTGGGAGTCAATGACCAAACCTAGAAATAAACGTGACAGAAATGCAAACATAGAAAATCACCCAAAACCCAACAAAACACAATACACCCTGGCTCAAATACAAAAGTCCCGGAGCCAGAGTGTTACAGCCTCCTTGCTCGCACACGCTTTTTCAGTTCTGCCCACACATTTTCTAAAGGATTGAGGTCAGGGCTTTGTGATGGCCACTCCAATACCTTGACTTTGTTTTCCTTAAGCCATTTTGCCACAACTTTGGAAGTATGCTTGGGTCATTGTCCATTGGAAGACCCATTTCCTTGCGCTTTTGTCTCCTTTTTACCAAGCCTTTTTTTAAAAAACCTTGCCTTTTTTGTTCTTACTTTGTGGTCTTTCTTCTGCATCGTCTATGCAATCATCGTGGCCAACTTCTGCAGAAGCTGGACCTTCTACCTACTGCTTATCAGTCAGCCGGCTTACTTCGAGGAGGTGTTTGGGTTTGAGATAAGCAAGTGAGACCAGTGGAGCGTTCCCAGGATGGGCACCAGCCTAACCAACAGGGTTGCTGGGGTATGGTACTCAAGGCCTAGGTGAGGGATGTGTGAAAATGTTGTGCTAGGCTCTAACTGACTTAAATACCTTTTAATACCTCTATGTTGATGTTCATTGCAACTGTTCCTGTCCTCAGGTTGGCATGGTGTCTGCCCTGCCCCACTTGGTGATGACAATCATTGTGCCTATCGGAGGGCAGTTGGCTGACTACCTACGCAGCAGGAACATTCTGTCTACCACTACAGTCAGGAAGATCATGAACTGTGGAGGTGAGAGAGCCCCTTCAGCACATCATGCACAATTACAGTTGAAGTCGGAGGTTTACATACACCTTAGCCAAATACATTTAAACTCAGTTTTTCACAATTCCTGACATTTAATCCTATTAAAAATGCCCTGTCTTAGGTCAGTTAGGATCACCACTTTATTTTAAGAATATGAAATGTCAGAATAATAGTAGAGAGAATGATTCATTTCAGCTTTTATTTCTTTCATCACATTCCCAGTGGGTCAGAAGTTTACATACACTCAATTAGTATTTGGTAGCATTGCCTTTAAATTGTTTAACTTGGGTCAAACATTTTGGGTAGCTTTCCACAAGCTTCCCACAATAAGTTGGGGGAACCTCCTTGCTCGCACACGCTTTTTCAGTTCTGCCCACACATTTTCTAAAGGATTGAGGTCAGGGCTTTGTGATGGCCACTCCAATACCTTGACTTTGTTTTCCTTAAGCCATTTTGCCACAACTTTGGAAGTATGCTTGGGGTCATTGTCCATTTGGAAGACCCATTTGCGACCAAGCTTTAACTTCCTGACTGATGTCTTGAGATGTTGCTTCAATATATCCACATAATTTTCCTTCCTCATGATGCCATCTATTTTGTGAAGTGCACCAGACCCTCCTGCAGCAAAGCAGACCCGCAGCATGATGCTGCCACCCCTGTGCTTCACGGTTGGGATGGTGTTCTTCGGCTTGCAAGCCAACCCCCTTTTCCTCCAAACATAACAATGGTCATTATGGCCAAACAGTTATATTTTTGTTTAATCAGACCAGAGGACATTTCTCCAAAAAGTATGATCCTTGTCCCCATGTGCAGTTGCAAACCGTAGTCTGGCATTTCTATGGCGGTTTTGAAGCAGTGGCTTCTTCCTTGCTGAGCGGCCTTTCAGGTTATGTCGATATAGGACTCATTTTACTGTGGATATAGATACTTTTGTACCTGTTTCCTCCAGCATCTTCAGAAGGTCCTTTGCTGTTGTTCTGGGATTGCTTTGCACTTTTCGCACCAAAGTACGTTCATCTCTAGGAGACAGAAGGCGTCTCCTTCCTGAGCGGTATGACTGCTGCGTGGTCCCATGGTGTTTATACTTGCATACCATTGTTTGTACAGATGAACGTGGTACCTTCAGGTGTTTGGAAATTGCTCCCAAGGATGAACCAGACTTGTGTAGGTCTACAATTTTTTTTCGGAGGTCTTGGCAGATTTATTTTGATTTTCCCATGATGTCGAGCAAAGAGGCACTGTGTTTGAAGTTAGGCCTAGAAATACATCCACAGGTACACCTCCAATTGACTCAAATGATGTCAATTAGCCTATCAGAAGCTTCTAAAGCCATTACATCATTTTCTGGAATTTTCCAAGCTGTTTAAACTTCTGACCCACTGTGATACAGTGAATTATAAGTCAAATAATCTGTCTGTAAACAATTGTTGGAAAAATTACTTGTGTCATGCACAAAGTAGATGTCCTAACCGACTTGCCAAAACTATAGTTTGTTAACAAGACATTTGTGGAGTGGTTGAAAAACAAGTTTTAATGACTCCAACCTAAGTGTATGTAAACTTCCGACTTCAACTGTATATCCAAATGTGTTTGATAGAATAATAATGTTTTTACACAATCTGTATGATCGTGATACAATGACTGTAGCAAAACAATTCTGTTTGGGACTGACTGTGTATTTGTGTAATTAAATTGCAACTGTGATTGCCCATAGACCCTGGGTTACTGTAGCATGTGTGTGACTGTCTGTCTCTGCAGGGTTTGGCATGGAGGCTACGTTGCTGCTGGTAGTGGGATTTTCCCACACCAAAGCGGTGGCCATTTCCTTCCTGGTCCTTGCTGTGGGCTTCAGTGGATTTGCAATATCAGGTCAGTGCCTGTTAAATACATGGTATCAGAGAGTCTGCCAGTATAGATCACAGCTGCTTGTAGGAGACTCCTCCCTTACTCTGTGTAGAAAGAGAACAAATCTCCAAACTACACTGTAGATTCTGTCTAGAATGGCCACTATTTATTGCAGGTTGACGTTTATTGTCATGAATCTTGCCAGCGATTTTCTCTAGATGGGCCAGCTGCAAAGTCAAAATTCAAGTAAACAAAACTTAGCTTTTTGGAATTAATTTAAGGTTTGGGTTAGGCATTAGGGTTAGCAGTGTGGTTAAGGACTTGCAATCAGTAATATCCAGCTACAAAGGGAACAAGTACGATTTCTCACATTCCTCAAGCATCTATTCCAGCTGATGCTTGTGGCTCCAAGGCAGACCTTGATTTTACTACTACTCATTTTTCTTGGGCTTTCTCCTGGAGTATTTAATAATTCAGCGCAAGTCCCGGAGGAGCTGCCATACAGGCTGGCTGTGTGCAGCTACAGAGGACACTCAGTGTGGGGGAGGAGATTGGCTGGCTAGCTACTCCCTTTGCAACAAGATGGCTGCATGGTGCTTTGTTTTTCATCGCAATTTCATTTCCATTACATTTATATTATGTTTAGGATATTTCAGTAGTTTTGATACATCCACATACTAGTACTCCATTAAGGGACACATGTTCTTAATTAAAGAGAAAAGGTAATTACTAATGGTAGTTTTTAATACCTACCAAGAATGAGCAAAAGCTCTAGAGACCTTAAGGGCTAGATTCTATCAGATCTGCATTAGCCGACACCCACATAGCAGTTGTTTTGGCGGTGTCGGAGGTAGAACTGCGTTAGAACTGTCAAATCCACAAGCGGCTCCTTGCATTAGCTTATCGTGGACACTGCCATTGGATGCAAGTACGAAACCAACTGACTTTATAATATGACTTTATAATTAGAAGTTCATGCAGCTGCGTTACAAGTTCAAACACTCAAATGCGTGATGATCTATTGTCTACACCTCGATTAGACTGATAGGCTATGAATCCCCCATCCAAATGAACATGGAAACATGCATTAGAAGCCTACACTTTCTATCACTGTGTTGAACTTCTAACACGGTGGGGATAATAAGGAAGGGGGTGGTTTGTGACACTAAAGTTACACCTCCAACAACAGTCGCTATGCGGATGTCGGCCAAAGCGGGTTTACGCTCAAACTGATTGAATCGAGGTCTAAGTTATAGCGAAAATAGTTAAACCACAAGAACCATAACCCCTTGATTTTATTTAATCAAGTGCTAATCAATTGTTGTCTTAGAGATCTGTCTTATAGAGAGTAACTTCACACTTAAAACCTTGTATTTCATTCTGATCGTTCCTTCCATCAGGATTCAACGTCAATCACTTAGACATTGCTCCACGCTATGCCAGTATCCTTATGGGCATATCCAATGGTGTGGGCACCCTGTCTGGCATGGTATGCCCATTGATCGTAGGTGCCATGACAAAAAACAAGGTAAGACATTCTGTTACCCTTGGAAAGTCCATAAAACATTATGGTTAAACGTAGATTCATTATCAGATAGAATTACAAATCTCTGTGACTTTGTATAAAACACTTTATATTCCATCTGTCCCCATGCAGACTCGAGAAGAGTGGCAGTGGGTGTTCCTCATCGCTGCTCTGGTTCACTATGGGGGAGTCATCTTCTATGGCATCTTTGCCTCTGGAGAGAAGCAGCCGTGGGCCGACCCAGAGCTGACCAGTGACGAGAAGTGTGGCTTCATCGATGAGGATGAGCTGGCAGAGGAGACGGGCGACATCACCCAGAGTTACGGTGCCCTGGGTGGCGGTCCGGCCAAAACGTACGGTGCCACTACGCAGAACGGGGGCTGGGCCGATGGTTGGGATAAGAAGGAGGAGTTTGTTCAGGAAGAGGCAGAGGGAGGGCCGTACGGCTACAGGCAGGACCAGGACTACTCCTAGAGACAGCAGACACACTGACCATCACATGGTAGACTTATTTTGTAGTGTTTACCAGTTTAGACGAAACGAGTCAAAAACCAAACAAAAAAGATAACAATCCATTGTTGTATGTTTGCACAAATTCAAGTCATTATTTCAAAAGATAAAATTACTTCAAAAGATAATTTTATTGTACAAATAAAAAAATACTATAGAGATATAACACATATCAAATTGGCAGATCTATTTGTAAATGTAATATGCATAGAAATTATAGATATATTTATTTGGAGTGCAATTGTGTGTAAGTGTGAACCATTTCCACCTCATCAATCTGAGCTTCTTCATTCTGTAGAAGCCTGTTATGTACGATCAGACAAGATTTAGCTGGCTTCCTGGATCATCATGCCTAACTGGTTCTTATTACAACTCCTCATGAGCCAGCCATTGCAGTGTAAAAAGGGGTCTTAACCAGGAATGAGACTGTATGTCTTAGGTTGTACAGTATCTCTTCTGAATGCACTGAAAGTAGTGTGTCCTTTTAATGCACAATATCATTTTATTTTGTTATTATTATGTGTTTGTAAAACTATGGTCTTTAACACAAAGAGGCATAAAGATACAATAACGTTTTGAAGAACGACATAACACTTTCACCAGCTGATGTAAAAGTCTGTTAAGATGCATGAAAGAAAAAAATGATGAAGCGTTGCTCATGTGTTTACAGTACCAATTCGAGAGCTTGGGACTATATGGTTCTATCTGCATTTTTGTCAAATTGAGTTATTGTCATAGCCTTATTCTGTTCAATGTTCTCTACCTATATAGTACTCTAAATACCCCAATTCATGTTGTTGAGTTCAAAAGTTGCTGACACCATTCAAACCATTGAGGGTTTGGAACTTTGAAGCCAATTATCTCAGAATCATCTTTTTGCAGATAGAACCTTGTAGTCCCAAGCTCTCAATTTCATGCCTATAACAATGTTACATCAGTTGTTAAAAGTGTAGGATTGGAGGTTACAAACGTTCATAACTCAGTTATGTAATACTTATGATCATTATGTCCGTTTTATTGTCTGGTCAATTCAAGTCATTTCAAGGCATTTCAATGAGATTTGTTGTTGTTTAAAGGTAATGTTTGTCTATGGTGACTAAAGAAATAGAACTATGATGTATAAGAGCACATGGACAATATAAAGAAATTGCCATATTTTCCAGGAGAAGTACCATTTTGCCGGCATGCTGCCCGGCACTATCAAGGGCCTGTGCAATGCAGAGAAAGACAATTCAGGCTAGCATTTAGACTAGAGAAAGACCAGCCAGCCGATCCAGAAGTAGCCAATCAGTATATCTACTGTACAGACAGTCCAAATGGATTGAGTCAGCAGGAGATATGTTTTGCTAATGAAAAGGGAACATGTTTAAGACTGGGATAGTGATCCAGACAGACAATGTTGTTAAAGAAAACTATACCTTGCCAGTCCAGGAGGACAATTAGCCAGTTGGTGAGTGAGATTCATATTACGTCTACTTTTAAAAACATTAGAGCATTACTGAATAATGTATGTCACATTGAACGTTTACCATTCCTAAAAGAGTAGGTAGACAATCAAAAGAGCAGCAAGACATGATTTAGCCAGTGTGTAAAGAGTGGGAATGACCAGTGTAGAGATACTGGGTTCCAGTCAATGATTTATATATACACTAGATGACTGACGGGGCTCTGTTTAGAAGCCACCGCGCCTCCATCTTGGCACTCCCCCACCGTTGTAAAGAACATATTTTGGAAGCTATAGAAATGCATTTTTTTATGTCTACATTTGTTTTTGCCACGTTTATTCTATTACAGAAATCTTAATGCATACTTTTAAATTATATTATGTGAGCTAAACATAAAAATAATATATATATATATATATATATATATATATATATATATATATCTAAAAACATTTTCCTTAAAAATATAATTTTTAGAAAGTTCTAACATTACTGTCCCTGCTACATCAACAAAGAATACTTAAATAAATGTAATTTTGGCCTCAAAACATTTAATTGAAATACTGTAGAATTCCATTCATTCCTATGGAGGACTGCTTTTCTGAGGAGTGCCAATATGGCCGACCGGTGGCTTCAAAGCCTCTCATTGGCCAATACATAGCATCAGCAATCCAGGGTTTATATACATCATTGGTTTCAGTAGCGTGTCAGGGACCTAAACCTGCTTTTCACTGTCTGTCTGTGGAGACCTAAAGTCAGCACTTCACAATGTATTTATGGAAATGTATTTATGCATGGAACAAAGCCGTAGTCTGAATGTTCTTACTTTTTTATTTCTTTCACAAAATGTATTTTGTCTCTCAAACTGTTACTAATGTGTCAATTTCTTTGCACAATTAACCAAAGGTAACGTGTCGAGCTGGGTTTGAACAGGAGGGCTATATATTAAGGGAATTGCTGGACATTGCAGTGAAGGCCTCTGTAGGCCTCTCCAGGTGGCGCTAACCATACTCAGTGTACAAAGCAATAAATCCATGGTAACAGTTGTTGTCAACCATTGAAAAATGTAAAACACTAGCATATGTAACTAGAGTGTTTCTTTTACGTTTTAAGTCGTGTTTTTTGTGATATCAAATATAGAAAAGAACAAACACAAGTACTTGTAAAAATATAAAATCTATGTAGTTAGAGTCCTCCACACAGCTCTTTGACATGCTGATAATGCAAGGAGTTTGTGAGGGGACTGCTCACCAGAAGAGAATGATACCCTGGGCCATTCCTGAGACATGGATGATGTCCTTCTCCATATCTCTATGGTTCCACTCCTGTTGGTGTCTGCGCATCCGTTGTTGTTCTGTACAGTTTCCAGTGGTCGTTTTGGAGGGTGTGCTATTGTTCAGTTTTTTCTCTCTCTCTAAACCCTGTTGGTTTGATTGATGTGTGTTCTGTCAGTGGCTGGACCCCTAGTGCCCCTTCAACCATCTGTCTCTAACTACCTAACCCCCTTCCATTGTTGCAATATTCAATGACGTGAAGATTGTCTGTAAAGGTGATCTAACATTTACAAAAATGGCAGATGTATAACATGAAGTAACGGTACCTTCTTCCTGTTTTGTGCCTCTGAGTGAAGTTACAGTGTGATTCTATGGCTTATTTTGCTGTGTCAATGGAGAGATTTGTTGATGTCTAAATGAAATGCTCTATATATCCATTTTATAAAAAAACTAATGAACAAAACATAACTTGTATGTGTATGTATTTGTGTGAACACATCCACAATCGTACAGCTCAATCAGTAATGTCTGTATAGGCAGATGAAGAAGCCCGGCTTTAAGTCCAACTGCTGTATTTAGGATTCCAAAGGGGAAAGTGCTTAATGTGTCTGACTACTAACATCGATACAATGGTCCTTCAGAGTTACATGCTTGCTCCAGAGAGCCCTCTCTCCAAGAGAATTTGCTTTATGGTATACCTTGCATGATGTCTGCATATGACCAGAGTCTGTGTTGCACAAAGCTTACAGGACATGGTGACCCCTCTCCACTATAGGACCCTTCCTTCCTCCCTCTCTATTCTCCTTCTTTGACTTGCAGTGAAATCAATGGACCAGTCCCTCGTACTATTGACTGTTCTAACCTCTTAATGGAGATGGGAGGGAGGAGCAGCACTTATAGGGCTATTTGGAGGAACTGCTCGATTCAGAGTGACCCTTGGGACTGAAGCCCCCCTCGTGGTGGGAGACCCACCACACTCTTTATGAAACAGGTCCAGGACATATTTCCTCATTCGTAACATTCATCACTAAACTGGTACACCAAGTTTTTATATATTTTTTTACAGATTGTTAAATTGATAGATCGAGTGATTGTTAAAAGGTTGCTTTGAAGACCAGCGTGATTGCTAAGCATGGTTGCTTAGAAGGCACAGATGAATTGTTGAGGGCTTTTCCTCTTGCATTCACTGCTAATTGATACCAGCAGTCAGTAAAAAGATGACCTTCAGTTCAAATCAATATTGGCAGAAACTGAAAGGTTACTGTCTCTGTTAGACTTCCCTTTGTCTCAGCATGTGCCTGTGCATTAACAGAGAATCCTGTCACCCTGTCATGCCAATTGAATTAGCTACCTTCTACTCACCAACTCATTTACAACTGAAGAGATGACTAACTCCCAATTCAACTTTATTAACTGTGATTAATTCATTATTCATGCCGCTTCCCCTAAACTCAACAAAGGTAAAACTATGTGTTAACATTCCGCTATTGTCCTGGCTTTGTTTCCATTTAGTAGATAAACTAATTCCAAATAGAATAGGCCTACAGTTCGGCAGCTGTCAATACGTAGTTTTGTCACATTGTCAACTGTTGACTGGTGCCTTGGAGAAAACCAAACTGCTACCTTTAAATCAAATATATCTTCAGCTGCTGCTCAATAGCATTTAACACCCGATGAAAGGTACCAGTACACAGGAACAGGACTAGAGAGTATTTCAACACTAGTGATGTCTGTTTTTTGGTGGCTCTGTGAGGCATATTTCCTGGTTTCTCTGCTAAACAGCAGGATGTTTGCAGAAGCCATGGGGGCGGAGCTCCTTTGGTGATTGATGGCACCTTCTGGATCAGCAGAGGATAAACAATCAAGGGGGAGGGAGCGTGTAGACACAGATACCCTGCAATTACACCATGAGCCATGTCCTGGCTCAGCCCATTGCTTTCGTTAATTTGACAGGCTCGATAAATGTGTCACCAGCCCCTTAAATTATATTTTCTCCCAGCCAACCAGCCAGAACGGTCACGGTTCTCATCTCATAGCAAACAGGGGAACTGACCCATAACCCTCCGTGTGACCATCAATCCATCTATTATACCTACACTGTCTATCCCTATTCTGTCCTATATGATTATTAAGGCAAGAGAGCAAAATGGAAGTGTCTGTGTGGGTTTGTTTGTGTGTGTGTGTACGTGGTGTGTAAATTTACATGTATGCATTATGCAAGTGTGTGTGTGTGTGTGTGTGTGTGTGTGGTGTTAGTGCATATCAGAGGGTGTAGCTACATAAGAGAGTGTACGTCCATATGCTCAGTGGTTTAAAGATGACTGCTCATCTGTGGGTTGGGGGCAGGTGATACAGGGGCCCATGGGGACCGTGAGGGGAGGCTATGTGAAGCCAAAATCACTCTTTGATGACTGGGGCAGCACTGGAGCCTATGAGACCCTCTGGGCTTCATAAATAACACCCTGTTCTCCACATACAGCCTCCATGATACAGGGAGGAGCTACTGAAATCATTGTCCCAGGACACAACAACCTCCAGAGAGGATAAAGAGAAGCACAGCTATCATGCATTTCAGCACCTCTGTGCATAAAACACTGAATGAATGAATGAATGAATGAATGAATGAATGAACTGTCAGTAGTAAAGCGCCATGAACAGTCCAACCCACACAGACACCCTCTCCAATAGACCACTGCTACAGATCTCATCTATCATTTGGAGGTTTCATTACATTGGTGCAATAAAACACGAAGCTAGCAAATGATTTTTAATTGAATGAACTCTGTCGTTTAGATTCCAGACTGGAACAATAGAATGTAGAATCTTATTAGTGTAATGTCCCGGTTTCCTCTAGCATATCGCATGTCCTCTCCCCAGCCATCTTCAGTCATGAAGGGCCACGTGACTTTTTCACAGTGTTGCATGAATGATCATAGTAAGGCAGGATGCATATTTGGCAGGGGAGAGGCCTGGATTGGCTGGG